ATATTTCGATTCCGCCGCCGCGCATCCCAACCCACTTATCGTTGGTGCCGTCACCTACAGGCCCTTGCCGCTCAATATTTTCCGCCGCGATTACCGAAGACCGCGTCACGTTCTCGACTTCCCTGACGATGAGACGACTATCGCCATCGAAAGGATCACAAAACTCAAGAAACACACCAACACACACCGCACTCGCCGGCGAGTGCGGCAAACATATACTAGGTTCCGCCACGTACCTGGCAGGTTTTCCCCTATTAATGATAGAAGCGTTGCTGGAGTTTCTTCCGCCACTTCTTCTCCCAGCGCCAACGCTCTCCGAAGTGGTAGTAATGTTAGCTCTAGTAATTCCCCCAGTCAGATAATAGCTACCGATCGAGCCGAGGTCCGGCCCTCTCGGGCACCCTCGAATCGGAATGCTAAACGCGTGCTGAGTGACAGCCCAAGCCGAGGTCCCCTCTCGGGGACCCTTGAGCCTGATCACTCCATGGAGCGCCCGCCAAAGCGCCCTAAGAGCTTGGCGGCCTCCCAAACCGGTAACAATAATAGCGTGACGGCCCGAGCCGAGGCTCCCCCGGGAGCCCTCGAGCTTAGTCACCATAACGCGTAATAATAGTACGCCGAGGTTCAGGCTAGGCGCCTCGTGCGCCAGGCCACCTCAAGTCCGTCGGATCTGTAAAGGCCCCTAAGGCCAACAGTGGCTCATCCAGCCCAACTACTACTATTTGTACGATACGGCTCAATTGTGATGAAAAATAATAAACGTCTACAAGGAAGAACTCTTTTATTGGAAGAACATTCAAAATTAAATACAGTCCACTACAGATCAGAATATTCAATTCAAAGAGTTTAACCAACCTTTTGTCAAATCAAATAACATTTTAAAAAGCCATTGAACAGCTGACTACTTGACATCTACGATGATCAGTGTTTCAGAAGCCGGTCGATAGCACGCAACGGCCTGTAGCTCATCGTCGGCAAGGATCTATAGTTTTATTAAGTTCCGCCACCCAAAGGGTAAAACGGGACCCTATTACTAAGACTCGTCTGTCTGTCTGTCCGTCTGCCACCGGGCCGTATCTCATGACCCGTGATAGTTAGACTGTTAAAATTTCCACAGATAATGTATTTCTGTTGCCGCTTTGACAACAAATACTAAAAAAAAACAGTAACTAAACTACAATACATCAGACAAGATTTCTTTTGCCGTTTTTATAGACAATGTTACGGAACCGCGAAAGCGCGCGAGTCTAAAGGCCCATTTACACGATGCCATTTTCTTGTACATACATAAGCAATAATTGAATGCAATAAGTTGCACGCAATAATTGACCACCAAGAATTGTAAGCAACAGTTTACACGCAGATATAGTAAAAAAAATTGAATGCGATTATTGTATGCAAGTCTTGACAGGAAATAATTGCAAAGGTCTTTTGTTTACACCAATGCAATTATGTCTAGGCGATTATTGCTTTCAAGTTTTGACTTGTCTAAACACATGCTTGTATGTGCGTGTACAATTTATTGGCGTGTTGCTTCAAGTATTGCACGTATTTTTGACAAATTTTTAATGCAAGTGTTGAACGTTTTACAAAGGGCTGTTTTTTTAAAAAAATGGCTCAATAATAAGTGTTCAAGTTAGATTATGCTGATTAAATATATTTCATTGAGATTTATTTATTATGATCCATATATTATTATTCATATTTTTATCCAACTTTTTTTTACGGCCTTTTCTCAATATTTCTATCCTCAAAAGAACAGCAATGATTAAATACCCTCACTCATTGCACTAATTTTTGCAAAGTAAGAGAGAATGCAATTGAATACAAGAATTGCTTAAGAAAATATTGTGTGTGCTGTTTACACCAAGGAAAGTTTTGAAACAAAACTTGAAGCAAGTCTTGTTCAACAGTCAAGAATGTTATGTGCTGTTTAGACAATGCAACTCATTTATTGCTTCAATTTAATTGTATATAACAGGCAAGAAACTTGCACCGTGTAAATGGGCCTTAACTCGCACTTGGCCTGGTTTTTCATCGTTTATGTTCTCACAAAAACCTGTACATCTATCATTACTATCGAATATAATTTGAAAAAATAACTTATAACGAGATTATTCACAGAAAAACATTGTTTCAAGATTTGAACTAAAATCAATGTTGTATCTAAACTTGATAAGTGGCTAAGAATAAAAGAAAGCCTTGAATTAAGTTCCCCACAGTACTTAGAACCGTACGAAGAACGGCGTGCCCTTGGGAATCACCAGAGGTCATAGTAGAACTAACGCTAAGCTATACTCGATTGTTCGATAACTATTTCTACAACACACACGATACAACCGAACAACGATAAAGTGCAAGAGTTACATAAATTGATTGTGCAACTTTCATTTAACATCCATCGTACGGCTCGTGAAGCAAATATAAGGAAGAGTTGAATAATTAATTATGGACTATAAAGTAAGGCCGTCGATGTAAGCTATATAAGGCTATAAAAGCTTTGAGCTTAAGTCGAGTAAACACTTTTGAACCGTATTTGCTGTACACGTTACAAACGACGAAGTAAAAGTATGTAAGATTCGAATGTGCAAAATGTTCAGTGCCAGCTGCCGAAGTAAATTCAAATTTCACTCCTGAATTTATTTAATACATTCAAAAAGGAACCATGCAACTAATATACTAAAAAACATCTTCATTGGCATTGAATGAAGTCGGTTAAGAATTATAAATAAATACGTTACTTGCACATTTTATTTTAATAATTCAGTCTAAGTATATGATTCAATTTGAATATAAATAACCAATTCAATTTATATATAGTTGAACATTTGAAGGTCAAAGAAATTGTCGTGTTGATATTGGTATTGGAGGGATTTCACGTATGCGTACGTGACCAAATGTATTTTTAATTTATACAAAAGCATTATTTATTACTTCTAAATTAGTAATGTTGGTTTTAGATAAAAAGTTGACTTACCTTCAAAACGGAGGTTGCTCGTATCTCGCGAAGCCGGTAGTTTTGTACGAAGCAATTAACATCGATTATCGAATGAAAGTAAGATCACGTTTCAGCTCTCCATTTAACCTATTTCTTTTAATTAATATTTTCTATAAATAATAAAGCATGTAACGTTCCTAGTTGAGTGATAACTATAAAAATATTTTCGAATGCAGATAAAAATTTAAACAGTAAACATTAAAATAATTGGATGAAATTATTAGTTAAGATTAAATAATAATAATAATCATTAATAAAATAAAAACAACTTAAAATTAAACAGTGCACGTAGCACTCCCACTCCGCCCGAGCGATGCTATTGCACTGATTTTTTTTTAATATACAAATTAACAAATACGAGTGTGGCGCGCTGCTTTGACAATTTACTACAGCAATTAATTTACCGTAAATTACTAAATATTGAAAATCGCAAAAGTCAAAAAATAAAATAATGTTGTGGAATATTTGTAATACAACACAATACATTATCAGCTTATTGCCGTCCACTATTGAAAGTAAGCATCTCCCTTAGTGCGCCAACTATCTAATATTTGTAATCTTAAACAAATGTTTAAATTGAAAGAATGAACGAATAAACTAACTAATCACTATAGTATACCGAAATAAATGTTGGCCTCTGATACTAAAAGATCATACTTTGGCCATCCATGTACCATATTCGGTCATTCTGCTACGCTCATGTATTTTAATATTTTATCCTTATTTCGATATTTGTAGTACCGAAATGACTATAAATTTTTTGTCTTAGGTCTACATAGTTGAACCATTGGAACCATTGTGACTTTATTTTATATTATTAATGATGTTCTCCATTTCTTAAATTTATTTCTTAATTCTCCATCTACGACGGTAATTGGAATCCTCCTTCACATTTTTTGCTATATGAGTAAGGCAATTTTCATAATTGTTTATTAATAAATAACTAAAAATACATAGTGTTAATTTTATACCAAAAGTGTAACTAAATTCCAATATGTAAGCACTTTTTTAGCTTACTACCATTTAAAAAAATATAAAATCAAGGTTGCCAACTTAAAAATGTTTTCCTCAAATTAAAGGGGTAAATAAGCGTTGGGTTTTTTTTATGGGCGTTATATATTTAGGGTATATTTTGGGGATTTTTTCCTACTTTTATTTTTAATAATTTTTTTTTTAAAAATAAGGTATAAAAATAATGGACCTGAAATAACGCAATCTACCCTATCATATTTATATTTTGACTTAGCGGCTTAGGGACATCTAGTACAGTTTATCATTCCTAAGAATGAGAAGTTGAACTATAGAGCGAGAAGAAATTGATAGAACCGTCTATGTCTATTAAAAAGTGACCGTCAAAACACATTCAGTGCCGAAAGTTTTTAAAGAAAGAGCCACAAGTACTAAAATTTTTATCATTCATTATGAATCTCATTTTTGGAATTTCGGTAAAAATATTGATCGACTAAAGAAACTATAATACAATTCTTTATAAAATTAAATTCCCTACAACTTGTGTTTATTTAAATACTTATTATATTTTTTATGAGACCAAAATTTTCGCTGTAATATCGTTCACTGTATTTATACAATTAATTTGGAAATTAAGGTGAAAACCTTGGCGCTATTTATTGTTAAAATTTTTAGTAATACTATTTTATTAGGGGTTTTAGGAGTTTTTAACTTAAGCGATAGGGACATATATTTTCGAAAGTTGGTAACACTTGTATAAATAAGAGTGCGTTTTGTTCTTGCAAATGAGAATGATAAATATATACGAGATATAAATTACCATTTTTATAACAGATGTTCTATGCTTTTGAAACCGTCATACTATGGTGAAATATTTTATTTTAAGGGTTTGCTATAAACATAATGAATTATAATAAATTTTGACATACGTTGTATTTATTGCGACTTGGGCATGCTTTTCTCTTTTGATATCGCAAAACGCCACGTTCACAAGAAAAGGGTCAAGTCAATTTTGTTCGCATCGCAAAACAAAATGGCCGATGCTTCGAGAAAGGTGTGCCTCGGGAGTGATTAACAAGTTCTCAACGGCGAATATCCATTGAACTGCAGTGAAAGTTATCGTGTTGTATTATTGCTGGTTCGTAACATTGTTTTGTGATTAATTAAGGTGGATTTAGTATGCTTGATGTTCAGCTGACACCCGAGGGGACAAAGGAATGGAGGTGGCCCCGCAGCCTCGTACGGCATGTTCCGCGCTCGCTCCGTCCCGCAGCCCGGAGGCCGAGACGCTTCGCGCTGGCGTCTATCGCGCGGGAGCGGATTTTCGCACGGCATCCGTCGGGCCCGCGATTCGTGATGCTTATCCGAATATCGGTTGTATTCCAGCGGCGCCGGGCGAAATCGTCAGCCCCGCCGCGTGGCAACGCCCGCGCCTGCCCCGGGGCTTCGCCCCTCGCGTGTCGCCGCGCGCGTTTGGAGCCCTCGCTCCTGTCAATCCGCTATCGGATCTATAAAGGTAAGATTTTCACTCAAGGTGAGTCGAGGGCGCAAGATCGATACTGAGATGCAGCCATTTTGTGAAAGTAAAAATAGATTATTGAATTTTAAGACGCAGGAAGTTTGAAGCGTATAACGTATTGTTATTTATTAAGATTTTTTGCCAATAACTTATAATTTCGTTACATCGCGGAATAAAAACCGACATCTCGCATCTTGAAATGTGTCATTGTATAATCGAGTCAATGTCAGAAATCCGTACTTGTCCGATTTATGTCTAATTCATATCTAATACATATTGTTCTTTCTTACAAGAATTACGATATAACGGTAAGTTAAGACGCACACATTACATATTGTTATGCAAAATCATCATCATTTTTGATAGGAATCCAACTATAGACTACAAAATCAATGATTACTTTTAAAAATACTCTTCTCGAGATACTGTGATGGAATTATACTTTATTTGTTTCAAATCTAAGTAGTTAGCATAATGATGACCTATTGCTCAACAAATCAAAATATAGTAAATGTGTATAAGTAATTAGTTACATACTAGATAACTGTAATATAAATAATGTTGACAAAACTTACAAGAAAAGCAAACACTATAGGGATACTTGTATTATGAAAATAATTAATAAACAAACAAAAAGAAAATAATAGTGTTTTATTGATCATTCTATCAATTTTCATAATATAGTATGGGTTTGGTTTTCCAATCTAATAATTATAGTTTAATCTAAACATATGCCAGTTTCTATAAATTCAAAATTAATCTCACAATACAATTTGTTGAAATTAAAGGGTGTGGTTAAGCCAATTTACATAACCATTTACAATTAGGTGTAACAAGAAAAGAGCATTAGACAGAACAATCGAACTTAAACAAATTTTCTGCAACCACTCACCATCTGTTCACTAAATTAAAAAATGAACTCAACATTGATGTTGATAAAAACATTGCCTTCTTTCTTAGTTGTCTTCAAATAAAAAAAAAACTGTGTCCATCCTAGCTACTTATCTCCATGCATTCTATATGCAGACAACTTGCAGTTTTAGATTTATACTGATTTTGGCAATCTATAGGGAAAATGTTGTAATGATCTCCAATTTCATTGCTATTTATGACTACACAAAACACAATAAATGTAAGTGTTTTATTGGGAATTTCCACAGGGTATCGGTTCAAATTGGTTTTACAAGTAGGCGTTAAAAATATACTTTTTTGTAATTAACGCAACACACACTTCTAAGTAATCATCCTAAACCTCAATACTGGAACATTTCTTTAAGAGCGTAAATGTTTTCTTCCGTAAATGAGAATTAGTATAGATATGAATTATATTGATTTTTAACTTTAGCATATTCATGCATCATATTTTTCTGCACAATGCCTATGTCCCATTTATTTTTATTGGCCATGACCTGACTATTTTCTTCAAACGCCAAACTTTTTTTTCTTTTTTTTTTTTTAAATTACCCTTACTGTAGAAAAACACTGTCCCGCATTGTAACTATGATTTAAATACGTAAATTTCATGTGGACAAACATCCGAGTCCAAAATAATTATCTGCGGGTCACACAAACAGTCTTTTGTGGGACTGGAGCTGAAGCCGATACCTTGGCAACTACGCCACGGCTTCAAAGCCAACCCAGCTCTGTCTACCACTGTCAGGTGTAATGAAGTGGAAGTTTATTGCCGTTGCATAGTTTTAATGTCGGCTGGTGCTTTTTGCAGGATGTCGTCGCGCCGCAACGGCTCCGTGTCCCGGGCGGCGGAGGCTGCGTCCAAGAACCGCCTCCACATGGACCGCAACCCTCAGCACTCGCGGTTAACTGGTGAGTCTTATGCTTGTTGAGCCTATGGGGCCTTGCAGCACTTGTATTATAATAGTAATTGCTTCCGGCACTTACTATGCTTTTTCAGTACTACACTGTAGCCACCTGAAGTTCTTAGTAATCAATTTCATTTATGATTTTTTTTTAGTTTATTAGGTCTGCTTAACCGAATACAATCTAGCACGATAACAAAAGAAATATACACAGAAAAAAAAATAATTGCATCCTATACATAGCAAAAACAGCATACACAATGAAACTCAATATAACATTAGGTACAAAGGTTTATCTACTGACCACAATTACATGAGTAAAAACTATTTTTTTTTTTTTGTATATAAAACCAAATAAAACATACTTAAATAATTAAATTAATGAGTAAACTATTTAATACTTTAATGATATTAAAGGACCGTAAAAAACCTGGACACTTTCTTTTTTGTAGAGGCCCAAGAACCAGTAGATGTTGTGTTTGCTGTCAATATAAGTTGAGTGTTTTTTTTATGTAATAATGTAGCAAGCAATCCGGTCATTCTCTGGAAATTAACTTAAATAATTACTAATATGCTTTGATATCTTCAGGATGTGATAGCAAAATTTAAAAGCGTGGGACAAGCTAACCTAAATTACCCAGACTATACCAGTGTATGATACTCTCACTTCGCACCAGACATCAGCATGCCCATATCACATCCAAAGATGAAAATCATTTACCCACTAGTAGAAGCTACTGCATGGTTTTATAAAAATAATAAAATTAAAAAGCAATTTCATAATATCTTTATTATTATCTTATTCATAGACGCTTTCGCGTTCCTATGAAACGTCGAAATTTTACGTAGAAATTAATAAGTTCGTAAGTTACGAAAGAAACTCAACAGTTGCTCTTTTTTAAAAGGTCAGTTTACAATATAATATTACAAGTATAATATACTTGTTTTAGCCTTCGTGAGTATCAACAATATTAACACATTATCATTGTCAATATACTCCGCAATGGTATAATATCCTTTAGCCATAAGTTTTCCTTTAAATTCGTCAATTGGCAGACTTAATATGGGCTGCGGGATTTTATTATACAAGCGCACCCTTTGCCCATACGGTCTATTTACTTTTTGGAAAAGAAATGAAGGCGTAGTTAGTTTGTCCTTATTTCTAGTACTACTATAAAAAAAAAACTATGTACGCCATAGTATTGTAATACTTGTTAATCCTTAACCACATGTTAAGTTTAAATGAACCTCCTGTTTGGTACTTTGTCATTTTATTTATAAAAATTGCATGGGGCACGAATGTAGGACAACTAACTGTTGCCCATACAAATACGTGGTGTATTGATAAGAGCAGTTATAGCCCAGTATCCCGTGACTCGCCTTTAATTAATTTATCTCAAGCAACCTGAGTTTGATCCTCGGTGCTGGCACAAATAAAATTGTTTAAGTGCTGACATTTCACGTGCTCAGCGATAAAGCAAAACATCGTGGAGAAAACTCCATATTTTCGAAATAATAAAAAAATACAGCGTGTCTTTACAATCGCGACAGTAAATGAACACACATATACAGGATAACTTTGAAATTGTATTAAACATTTACATTCTTTAAACAGTTATAAAATTTTCCAAAACAAAGAATTTTAGAACACCCTTACGTATAAAACTGTAACGTAAAGTTCATATGTAAAGGTCACAAAGCAAATGAATGGGTTGAATGAATTTATAAGAAACAAAACATACTGTTAGAAGGAGAGGCTTGTAATGCGACGCTGTGGCAACGAATGAAAAAGTCTCTGAATGTATGAATCAGCCAGTTGTAGTTGTATAGGATGTCACAAATTTTGCTTCTTTTTTACTTAATTAGTTTGTTTGAAAAAGATTTTTTTTTTAATTACGGATTTTTTTAACGTTAATATGTTTTATGATTATTGGCAAGTAGCGTTAGACGTGAGTTCATTTATTGTCAATTAGTGGATAATACCCTCATACACTCTGTACATTGCCCAGCAGTGGGACATTTATAGGCCGTTACATTTATTTTACTATTCATACAAATACCCTTGCGAAGCAGATATGTGGGCTATGGTGCACCCGTTTCCCACCATCCAACGTGGTAGCTGATCCACATACAGGGGGGGGGGGGGGGGGGGGGGGGGGGGGGTTGCGTAAGATTTCGGAATTCATTTCATTTTGTAAAAATTCTCCTGCGAGACGAATAGGTTTTTAAAATTTTTCGATTAGATTATTTATACTCGTAAAAATGTAGGAAAAATACAAAAAGAAACCGCTGCGTAAATTTCATCGCTGAGAGATTTCCTCCCACAAAGGTGTTTTTAGGGTTCCGTACCCAAAACCTGACACCGCTGTCTGTCGGTCCGTCCGTTTTTCGCCAGGTTCTTTCTCATGAACAGTGTTAGTTAGACAGTTCAAATACTAAAAAACCTGGCAAGTGCGAATCGGACTCGTTCACGAAGGGTTCCGTACCGTTATGTGTAATAAACTAATTGGTAGGAACCTATAGATTGCGTATCAACCGCCTCGCGTCTGTTGAATTGGAGCCACCTTATTTTTTTTATTTTATTCTGTTTTTTTTACCCGCGCCGTCAGGGAATTAACAATTAGTATTTTATTATACACCAGTATAGCTCGTAGCTGGCGGAATCTTTGCCTACTTATTTGACATATGTTATATTTTGGACAGTGCACACAACACTTGTATCTTTATATGTTATAGCCTATGCGTCATTCTGATGTATAAGCTATGTTATTGTAAAGTTTCTTTAAAATCCATTCAGTGGTTTTTAACCGACTCCAAAAAAGGAGGAGGTTTCTCAATTCGACCGTATATATATATTTTTTATGTGTGTTCGTGGATAACTTGTCGCTAACTCGTCGCTTATTAACCGATTTTGATGATTGTTGTTGGAAAGGAGATATCCCAAGGGTGGTACCATGATAAGGAAACCCGGATCTGACGATGGCATCACATAGAAATCGAGGGCTATCTTCGAATGTTATAGGTATTAACAATGTTTTTAATTTTCTTATTGAAGTCGAGTTTTTTTTTTTTTGTTAAAAATTATACTTGTGTGAAATACTCAACTTCAATACTTTCGTTTCAATTATTTCAATAATACGTACTTTCTGGTATATAATATTAGTAAAGCATAATAGTAAATAGTAAGGATGGGTCATTAGATAATTCAGGCCATCAAATTCGTTCTTTATTCGAGACAGGCTTATTTTAAGCTTTTATTGGACGTCAAAAAGCAACCACCAGTGCATTGAACTACACCTGTTCAGAGAAGAACCGGCAAGAGACTGCAGTTTTATTATCTTATAATTTTTTTTTCAATTACATTACTTAATAAGCATGCTACCCATAATTAATAGTGGCATCAAGAAAAAATAATTAAAAAATAGATATAGTTTAAATAAACATTCAGTTACTACGTGACGCAATGAAATCAACAGTTGTGGGTTCTATTCATGAGTAGGTAAGAACTGTGTGGCTAAAGTTACGTGCAAAAAATAATGACTAATGTAAACCTTGATTCTCTGTTTGTTAAAGATATATTTATCACTTACTAGGAAATTCATTAACATACTAGATTAGAGCCGTGATAGCTCAGTGTCCGGGCGTCGCCTTTTATTCAATATACTCGAGCAACCTGAGTTCGATCCCCGGTGACGGCACCTATGACGTTTTTAACTTCAAGTGCTGACTTTTCACGTGCTCCGCGGTGAAGGAAAACATCGTGAGGAAACCTGCATATTTTCGAAATAATAACAAAAGAAAATTATTTTGAAGATATGTGAAGTCCGCCAATCCGCAGTGGGCCCGCGTGGTGGACTATGCCCCGATACCCTCTGTGTAGAGGAGGCCTTTGCCCAGCAGTGGGACATGTATAGGCTGTTACTTTACTAAATTAGCCAGTTTATTGAACGGTTTAGTGGCTTAGGTTTGTCCAGTCTGTTAATAATTAATAAACATTATTTATTCACACAATGTATAAAAGTTTTAAATAAATTTACTGCTATCAAAATAAGCAGTTTTGTTTAATCGCCATTCCATTTAACTTATTTATTGAAAAATTGTACGATCAGACTTTCGCCGCCGTGGGAATCGAACCCATACCATATGGATTCACGCCTATACGCTATAACAAAAAAGCTAAACGGCTGTTGGACACACCGACGAAAATCTCAACATATTTTATCTACATAGCTGTTTAATTTCTCAAAACAAGTGTAGCAAGAATAGCACATAAAAAAAATTTCATAACAAGATTCATAACAAATAATTCATAACAGTTTAGCACATAAAAAAAATTAATTTTAAAACATTTATTTAATAAAGTAGACGAAACTCTAGAAGTATGTATCGGAATTCACATTGATAACATGGTTGGTCTATCCTATGACCGTAGCTGCGATTTTTTTGACGTCCGAAGTTAAAAAAAATACAATTGCAGCACACCTGGTAGAAGTGGAACTTCTCAATAATATCACAATCCTTACTATCCTTACTAATATTATAAAGGCGAAAGTTTGTGTGTATGGATGGATGTTTGTTACTCTTTCACGCAAATACTACTGAATGGATTTTAATGAAACTTTAAAAATAATATAGCTTATACATCAGAATAAGACATACGCAATGTTTTATATACTTATTAAAATTTCGGACAGAAAGACAGATATACATAAATGTATATCTAAATATCTAAGACAGATATAAATAATAAAAAATAAATATCTATAATAAAAAATAAATATCTAAGACAGATATACATAAATGTATATCTGTCTTTCTGTCTGAATGTAACGTCTTCAGCCTATCTATGCAGACGTAGTCGCGGGTAGCAAGCTAGTAAGTACTAATTACACTACACACGGTACTTTACTTGTCCATATAGCTTCTTGTCTTGAGTCCTACATCTATAACGTAGTGTCGTATTAAGTGAATATAATAATAATTCCTAAAATAGATTGGCACTAGCTGTTAACCCCGACTTCGCCCGCGCGGCCATAGGGAATTTACTATGTGTTTTTTTAATTATACTCCAGAATATCTGGCAGATGGCTGAATATGCGTTGACAACCTTTTGAAAATTGGGCTCCGGCTACCTCACTCACCAGACGAAACGCGAAAGTAGTTGGCATACTTCCACTTTACGCTGGTCTTCTGTGGGGTCATCACATAAAAAAAAATACAAACTTTCGCGTTTATAATATAATTAAGGATAAACTTTAACATTTGCAGAAGCCAGAAGGAAGTTTTGGACTAAAAGCAAAGCGAATAAATTTTCATTATTTGTTTTTACTTCGCTACAACTGTACATTACATTTTATTGTATTTATTTCATTGGCCTAGGAGAGTAAAATTGTGAAAAGTTTATTATTTTACTCGTTAATAAATCATTTACTGGAATGAATGAATGAAAACACGAGTACACAAATACAAGCACAGACGCACGCACACACACGCCTCTAAATTCTCTTGATAAATATCTGTAATTTATCAAAAATTTTATGGTAGTTGCGGTATATTATTCTTGAGTTATTAAGATATAAGTTACTAGCTTTTCGACCGCGGCTTTGCTCGCGTTGAAAGATCTCCTTTAAGAACCCTTTATAACCCTTTTTCCAATTAAAAAATAGCCTATGTCCTTTCTCAGGCTCTAGACTATCTGTGTACCAAATTTCATTTAAATCGGTTCAGTAGTTTTGTCGTGAAAGCGAGACAAACAGACAGAGTCACTTTCGCATTTATAATATTAGTATGGGTTCTTAGTTACAAAATGGGACGGATTTTTTACGATTCAGGGGGCTTTGATTAATGTTTGTTATATTGTGCGTCATGGCCATCTAGCAAAGCACTTACACAGAGTGCAATGATGATGACAATTAATAGTTATTATAATTTGTGTGGTACTAAGTGAGCCGTGATAGCTCAGTGTCCGGGCGCTCGTCTTTAAATTAATATACTCGAACAACCTGAGTTCGATCCCCGGTGTCGGCACCAATGAATTGTTAATTTTAAGTGCCTAATTATTGCGTGCTCAGCGTTGAAGGAGAACATCGTGAGGAAACCTGCATATATTCGAAGTAATAACAAAAAAAATATTTCGAAGATACGTGGTCCGCCGATCCGCAGAGGGGCCGCGTGGTGGACTGTGCCCTGATACCGTCTGTACAGAGGAGGCCTTTGCCCAGCAGTGGGACATGTATAGGCCGATGCTTTACTTTTACTTTAAGTCGCGAGTTTTGTTTCAGACCCGTCGAATCCGGCCGGCAGGCGGAAGGAGATAGACAACGTGATGAAGCGAGCGCGCCAGGCCTCGCCCGGCAGCTGGGACCGGAAACTGCTGGAGGTCGAGGAGAAGGACCCTAACCGGTGGGTCTAACTAACAAACTCGCTGACACACACGCGCACACACACACACACACACACACACACACACACACACACACACACACACACACACACACACACACACACACCAGTTCGTTCGTTCTCTGTGCATCAAGATCCGTTGCGTAGTTTTAAAGATCTAAGCATACATAGATGACTAGACATACATTCGACCCCCCACTAGATGGAGTGACGACCTGTGCAAATGTGCGGGAAGTCGATGGATGCGGGTGGCTCAGGATCGTACTTCATGGCAGTCTGTGGGGGAGGCCTATGTTCAGCAGTGGACTCGAATAGGCTGAAATGATGATGATGAAGCATACATAGGGACAGACAGACAGCGGGACGATTTTGTTTTTTACTAAGTAGTGATAACCGATATAATAGTAAATGTTTTAAATTAAGCAATTGATTCATTTTATTGTTAAAAACATTTACATTGTTTTTTGTGTCTCTGGTATTTATACTCTACTCTAGACTTCGATGTTTTCCTTCACCGCTGGGCACTTAAAATTAACTTCTTCATTGACGACGGCACCGGGAATCGAACTCGGGTCGCTCAAGTATATTAAATTAAAATCTAGCGCCCGGTCACTGATCTATAACGGCTCTATATAAATGCCGGCTAACTTACTCCACCAACCAACTTAAGTTCAACTACTACCACCATCCATACATACTACGCCATATTAGTCTATTTTATCCTTTAAGAAATATTTAATTTATTTAGTTTAAAGAACCACCAACAGAACAGCATGTTCTTTTGTAATTTAATATGACAATAGTCTTAGGTACTAACTGACTGACTCCACTCTAAGGTACAGTTGATATGCATACAAATGAACTTGTATGGCAGATACGATAACTTAATACTTATTACAAGTTAGATAACTACTATAGAAAAATAAAAAATAAAAACAATAAAACAAAAATGAAATTGAAATGAAATGTCTAGAACAATATAAGATTATCCAATTTAATGTAGACGTTTTAGAATATTTTCGTAATACATTTAAATCCGTAACTTTTTACATTTAAATCCAAGTAAGTCAAGCTAAATAAGTCAATAATTATCTTTTCCACATTCGTTGTGCAGTCTGCCTATCCTCCTACGTTTTGATAAATATCGCGCGGCGTTCAAGTTGTTCCGCTTACATTATATGACATACAAGTGAATGTGACGGATGATATAGAATGTATTGAATGAATGAATGAATGAATATTCTTTACTGCACACACCATGGTAAAAAGAATACATTAAAAATAACAATTATGTAAGGGTTGTACAATGGGCGGCCTTATTACTTAAAGCATGAATGTATTATACGGAAAGAGAGCAGTTTATAGAGTTGCAATCTAATTACACCGATTGGCGTAGTTTGAGTGCCTTTGAGTTTCGGTGTATATTATAATATCATATATATAATATAATATCATTGTTACTCGTGATATGTTCGGCAGGGAATTTTAAACGATATCTGTGATAGTAATTCTGCAGAGTTCCTCGCCGTGAGTTGAAAGAGTCCCTGATTGACTATGTCTGTGAAGACACTTTCAAAGTAGTGTACACTGTCACTGTATAGTGAAGGAGTTACCATAGAAATAGGTTGACTGGTGTGTTTAAATTTTTAGATTGGATGAAGTCGGGACTTCCCTTGAAATGTTAACTGAATTATAAGGGGCAAGTTAGAATTTCTGATCATTAAGAAGAACATTCTGATCAATTCAAGAGAGTTTAAATAATAAATAATAATAATAAATGTTTTAGGACACATTTTTACACAACATTTTCTAGTCTCAAACTAAGCAACGCTTGTACTATGGGTAACTACTAGAAAACTGATAAACATACTTAAACATACTTTTCTTTTGAAAATAAATACACATTATACATATATAAACACCCGGACACTAGAAAAAAACTATGTTCTTAACACAATATCTTTCCAGTAGTGGGGATCGAACCCACACCCTCTGGCGCAGGAGGCAGGTACACTACCCACTACGCCATTCGGGTCGTCGAACCATCCTTTGTGGTTTAACCATCCTTTTTTGGCAACTCAACATTTGCAATTGCCATTTGACAGCTGATTAGTTAATTTCTACGATGATCAGTGTTTTAGAAACCAGCCGTAAGTGTTATGTTTTATGTTTTAATTTGTCTTTTGTTTCAAAAGATGGCGTCACACCGGCTACAAGCAGCTGTACCTGGACGGCTCTGGTTCGGTTTCGCCGCGTCGCTCCCGGTCCCCGATGCCCAGTAGGAGATCGAGGTGAGAGAAAAGAGAGAGAGAGAGAGAGATACCACCCTTCCCCCCCCCCCCCCCCTTCCTATCTCTTCATCTATTCATCATCGGTGGTTTGTTGTGCTGTATCGTAAATATAAGGCCAATTAAAACATACCACATATGTCATTAGACATGGCATAGGAAACAGGTCAGTTATTGCACAGGTCAAAATTGATTTAGTCTTTATTCTACGCTAATTATGACATTCATGAATACTTCAAATTAATCTTATTTTTTTTTATTTATTTATTTTTAATTTATGTACACAGAGTTATGGCAGAGATGTAAATAGATGAAATAATTTGTACAAAGGCCCTGCTTATTTCCTAAGAAATTTCTTCTAGCAGACCTGTGACTGGAAATTGGTTACAGATGGTAGTTAATTGTGTACATACATCAATTAAAATACACGTATATGCAATAATTATAAATATGATATCATTACAAAAATAAAAAACATAAAATAAAATGTATATACATACATTGACAAACATACATTATATACATAAATAAGTTAATAAATATATAAATATATATGTCGCATTTATACTGCCAAGGAAAGGTAGCGATCCTTAACTCTTTTCTTAAAAATCGTCGAATCTTATTTTAAATCTAAACAAGTTGACTTTGAATTAATCTAGCTTGCTCAAGTCAACCCGCCAATATTTGCGCTTCTACGTCAAGCTGTGTTAGGACAACGCAACATTCCTCGCTGTTGCACGAACGGGCAGGTCCGTCCGGGAAAGTACCACGACGTAGCCGGGGCCCACCTGCAACCTGTCTGTTGCAGATGTCAATGCACATGTTATCACTTTACATCAGGTGTACCGCCGGCACTTTTGGCACCTTTTCCACATTAAAAAAAAATCATTTTGCAATTCACTACCCTGTGTAGAATCCCAAATCCATTGTAATCTCTGCTCACGCCGTTTAATACACTTTTGCTCGCAGGTCTCCGCTGGCGTCGCGCCGCTCGCGCAGCCCGCGCAAGTCGCGCACCCGCTCGCCGAGGCGCAGTCCCCGGCGGAGCCCGCGCCGGAGCCCCCGCCGGAGCCCCATCAGGTTGGTCCCTCATTGTCGCTCGAGCCGTGTTAAACGTCGAACGCTCTTTGTGGTACTATTGGCAGCGGATAATATCTCTATGTTCAGGAGTTGCCCACTCCTTTTTAAATATTTTCCACAACGCTATCTAGTCCCAAACTAAACAAAGCTTAGTTAGCGGTTCTCAATGCCCTTGGCCGACGATCACCAAGTCACTCCGATTGAAAGAGCCTGGAGCGATCAGTTCATTACCAGAGTGTGTTATCATTTAAATAATCATTAATATTATAGTAGCCTTTAACACACAAACGTTCTTTTACTATTTTTTTAAATTTAGCTATTGATGCATTTTGAACGTTTTCTGGAATTTTGTTGTAATAACGTATACATTGTCCCATAAAAGATTTACTTATTTTACGGAGTCTACTTGTGGGTAGGATCAATTTATTTTTGTTCCTAGTATTTATATCATGAAGATTATTATGTCTTAAAAATTTATCCTTATTTTCATGGACATACAAAACATTTTCAAAAATGTATTGAGCAGCAACAGTCAATACCTTTATCTCTTTAAACAAGTTTCTTAACGATTCTTTGGGGCCCAGATTGTAAACTGCACGAATAGCTCTCTTTTGTAAGATAAAGATTGTATTAATGTCGGCCGCGTTACCCCAAAGCAGAATGCCATAAGACATTATACTGTGAAAATAACTAAAATATACCAAGCGAGCCGTATCAACATCAGTTAACTGTCTTATTTTTTTGACCGCGAAAGCTGCTAAGCTAAGTCTACTCGCCAGTCTATTAATATGGGGGCCCCATTGCAGTTTGGCATCAATAGTTATGCCAAGGAATACAGTTGAGTCAATAGGGTCCAACGCTTCCCCATATAAAAGTACATCAGTTTTTACATGTTTAACATTGGAGGAAGTTGTAAATTTAATACATTTAGTTTTTTTATTATTCAACAGTAAATTGTTAGCACTAAACCAATGTACTACATTAGATAGAGTATTGTTTACATCGTCATAACTTAAAGAACGTCGGTTTACTTTAAAGATTAAAGAGGTATCATCCGCAAACAATACTATCTCATGATAATTATTAACAAGATAAGGTAGATCATTTATGTAAATGAGGAAGAGAAAAGGCCCAAGAATAGATCCCTGCGGGACCCTCATATTTACCAAGGCCCCGGGAGATCTCTTGCCATTCACGTCAACTCTCTGAATTCGATGGCTCAAGTACGATTTCAGAAGATTGAGTGCGGCATCTCTTATACCATAGTGGCGTAGTTTCCTGACCAAGGTCTCATGCTGTACACAATCGAAAGCTTTGGTTAATTCACAGAATATTCCTAAGGCATCCTGCGACTTTTCCCAGGCTTCAAAAATATTCATAACGAGCTGAACACCCGCATCAGTTGTTGAGCGACCCCTAGTAAACCCATATTGCTTGTTATGTAATAAATTATGAGAGCTAAAATGCTGTAACATTTGATTCAACACGATTTTTTCAAAAATTTTACTAAGAGTTGGCAGTACAGAGATAGGTCTAAAATTATTGGGGTCGGAAGTACTACCAGATTTAAACACCGGAATGATTTTACTGTTTCATAAGGTCAGGAAATTCGCCACGATTGATACAAATATTAAAAATAGTTGCTAGGTAAGGTGATATTACATCAATAATAGAACTGATCACCTTAACCGAGATCCCCCTTAGATCTGCAGTTCTTTTAACATCTAAAGTTTTAAAAGTTTTAACAATTTCTGTCTTGTTTACAGTAGTAAATTTAAAGTTGACTTTACATTCCATAACATTCTTTTTTAGTAATGACTCAGCAACTGTCGGTGAGGAAAGAAGTGACTTGGTTGTTGAAACTGGAATGTCAACGAAAAATTTCTCGAAGAAAGTAGCAGCCTGTTGATTTGAGTTAATAGAATTATTATCATTAGTTATCATTAGGTCAGATTTGCGCTTCGTGACTCTTCCCGTTTCGCTATTAATTATTTTCCAAGTCATTTTGATTCTATCAGGTGCATTTTTTATTTTATTCCTAATATATAGAGATTTAGCAGTATACATAACGCAGCACATGCGTGGCCCTACTCAATGAAAAGGGCTGTGTCAAGCTTGTAGCTCGTAAGTTTCATGAAGCTTTAAGCTCTACAGATGGTGTTAAAATAAGATTATTAAAAATAATTACAAAGGTTTGAAACATATAACTAGCATCTTCCCAGCAAAGAGCGCTATAAAAATGAATGTCATTTAAAACACTTGTACCGAACAAGATTGACAACGAACCTAGTTGATACAACTGCAGTAATAGAACAATAGGGATGTCTCATATAAACCATTTTCGACTTGCAGCAGGCGCAGCCCTGCGCGAAGCCCCAGACGCAGCCCCGTGCGGAGCCCGAGGCGCAGGCCGAGCCCGCGCGGGCGCCGCGCCAGGCCTCCGCCCCCGCCGCCGAGGGGCGCGCGGCCGCCCTCGCCGCCGGACCCCAGAAAGGTTACTATCGACACTGTTACAACTTGATAACCTACATTACATTGCTTTAAGTATCAGCCTATACATGTCCCATTGCTGGCAAAGGCCTCCTCTGTACAGAGGGTATCAGGGCATAGTCCAACTGCGGATGTGTTGCTATAATGTTGAACTTATCTGTTAATCATGTAGAGACCTAATGTGAGTGAATCTAAATTTCCTGTGCCACATAAAATAACTATATAAAATATGTTAAACACATAATAACTCATTTGTTAAAAAAATAGAGTGATAAATTTACAGTATAAAGCAAATTGTAATATTATATCACATAATGACATATGGCAATGGTTGCTTGGCAAATTGGCACTGTCCAAACAGTAATTTGAATTGGTAAACTAAAGAAAAGTCACATTTTCAAAAGTAAACTGCATATTCTCTTACATTTGTGAAAGGTCAAATAAACAGTGTTTCCATTAATCCTTCAAGGATTGGACTGAGAATTGTAATTTCGCTTCAAGAGTTTATTGACTCTATCATTATTTTCAGTCATCCCCATCCGGCTCATCAGCGAGCAGCTGCTCTGACGAGTCCTGTTCTGTGTGCTCTGCCAAGAACAGGAAGACCGCGCCACCCCCCAAGCCGGTGAAGCCGGGGTGAGTAATACCATCACCCTATTGTGTTAGGGCCATGCAACAGTTTCCACTGTGTCACAAATGGTCAGGCTTTTTTAGAAGTACTAAATCAGTAGTCTTCCTTAATACCCTTATTATGAATGATTAAAACTGTAATAACAGTATGAACTTAATTAAGTTTCCTTTTTTTTCGGGTATTTTAATGTTGCCCGACTTGCCAACGCTTCCATACAATATTCGTTAGGTAGTAACAAGTAAATTTGTGATATTACACAGACTGCCACCAGCTGGTGGTTATAGTTAAACATTTTGGGGATTTCTCCTTACTGACTTCATCTCTGTGAGAGGGCCATGCTACTGCTTATGCTGTTGCACAAATGGGCAATCTTGTCCGGGGAAATACCACGGCCTCACTGAAGACCGGCGTGAAGTGGAAGTATTGAACTGTCCCTTTTCGTTTGGTGAGTGAGGTAACCGGGGCACTTTAAAGGTCAGCTTACTTTTAAAAGTTAACTTTAAAAGTTGTCAAGGGATCAGCAAGTCGGCAAGTTTTAGATGCCCATGGGTGGCGGTATTCGTTTAACATTAGGTTAACCGCCAGCTCGCTGGAACTTACTCTCTTACCAACAAAAAATAATTAAAATGGTGTCGTGGGACACCAGGTAGAAACGAAGTTCCTTCGGCTAATGTAGAATCGACACAAATTGCAAAAAAAATCGTGCTCAATTTTATGTAGGTTTTATTGATTTTTCTCCTAAATTTTGCTGATTAGTTTTTATTTAAGTACAAGAAAGTATTTAGGAAATTCAGTGTTTTAGCAAATAATAAATTACTTAAAAAAAAAAAACATCGTAATTCAAATTATCAACTAAAATAACAAAATATGTTTCTTTATTTTTGTTTGCACGTCTCATTTAACGGTTTTATTCCACGCACTTTTTTCCACGGATTTTTTCTTACGGTTTTACTATCACATTTTTTTCAGTTCGGTCGCGCAGCAAAATCCCTATCCCCTCCAAGCCTGCCGTAAGGAACTTCGTTCCAAAAATCACCATTAGTTTACTGCTATTTACAATCAATCTGATCGGTGGTTATTTTGGATGGTTACTTGCAGGTCGGCGTCGCCGTCGCGATCCGCCGTGAAGCGAGCTCCGCCCGCGGCCGCTCCGAGGGCGGTTCAGCCCACGAGGGAGCTGCTGAAGGCGCGCGAGGCCAGCAAGAGGACCAGGGAGGAGAAGGTGTGTATACGACCCTCGGATCTGAAACAGTGGCCCAAGGCTAGCCTTCGCTGTCCCCGCCAGTCTAGACAGCCTGGGACAACATTGCTTCTGTTGTAGTTAGGTTCGTCCGGGGAATACCACGGCCTCGTCTAGAGAGGAAGCAACGTTGGCAACGCATCTGCGACTCGGACAGGTTTTGAACATGTCACAAGGCATGAAAGTGATCTGGTTGTTTGCCACACTGAAAAGTCCCCTAAATTACAATTATAAATTCGCGTCTCATAAAAAAGTTGGACAACCTTTAATTTGGACTATTGTATAATTTTTATTATGACTTACCATTAAATTCTTAATATTTTGTCATTACACGACATCTGAATCACGTTTTGGGTAACGAAACAAACGCCCAGCTCCAGCCAGTCGCACAAATACCTAACCGAATCCGCGACCCCCGCCGCCGAAGCCAAAAGGGGGCCTTCCATTAATCACGTTATGTTCTTTTTTGCATTTTTAACCCCCCTTCTCCCCGTTGGTGATATGTGGTGAATTGAATTGTCGCGTTTATTGTATCATTAATCAGACATTTTGCCCCCTATCCAGACGTCGTGATAAATGGACGTACCGTGTCTTAGGTAACGGCGACACCGAATCATGAAAATAATCAGTTGCTATAAGTCATCAATCGAACCCACGTAACATCCGATACAGGTGCTGGAGTGGCAGCGCTCGCAGCTGGACGTGGCGAGCATAAAGCGCGAGGGCGAGCGGCGTCGGCCCCGGCCCGAGAGGCCCGAGAGGCCCGAAAGACCGGAGAGGCCGGAGAGGCCCGAGGGGGGCGTGTCCCCCGGCGCGATCGCGGCCGCCCTCGCCGACTCCAGCTCGGAGAGCGAGTCGGAGCGCAGCGCCTCGCCGGCCGCGGCCGGGGGCGGAGCCCGGCTCACGCTGTCCGAGCGCTTCGGCAAGATGGCGCAGTGGTCGCTCGACCGCTCCGCCCGCCTCGAGAACATGCGCATCACTAGGTGGGGATGTGGAACAACTTAATCGAATTAAAGTTTAAGTTTAATTGAAGGAGGCTCGTTTTTTTGAGAGTATGTATGTATGTATATATATAATATATATAAAATTATTGTTTGGCACGCTCTGCAGCCTGAACAAATATCGATATGTGTAGGCGCGAGGCGACGCTGCACGTGCGCATCGAGCGGGCGCAGCCGCCCGACGCGCCCGCCGGCAGCTACCCCGCCGAGCTGCCGTCGGCGGCGCCCGCGGGCCTGCCCTCGTGGGACGACGTGCGCGTGCGCTACGACTACTACAAGCAGCGCGGCTACCTGCGCGGCCTCACGCTGCCCGACTACGTCAAGTGGGAGGAGTGGTGGTACAAGTACCAGGTGATTGCGGCGCGTTTTTTTTTTAAACATTGACCTGTGTTCCCACGTGAGCCCACGGCCCCCGACGCCCGAAGCCGATAGCCGGAGTCATCATCACTCACCGGAAGTCTGGAGGGCTTGGGGCAACAAATGAGTCGAAGCTCCATTTCCAATAACTAATTTATTGTGAAAACAAGTATAGATTCTTTAATGATTTAACGAACATATAAATATAATCGGAAACAAGAATTATGAAAAAAATATGAAAGGAAATCACTTCCAATTCACGCTGGTGGCCTGCGTCGCCGTAACGGGGGTCACAACACGGCTTTAATGTCTCGTCGTCATTCCATACTCTTTCCATTGCATTGTTAGCAATGCGCGGCCCCATGCGTGCAGCGCCATTGCGCCGAGACTAGCACTAATAAAATTTTCCTACGTACCTGTGGTTGTTCAGTGGTAGAAAGAAATTCGGCCATAATTAATTTTAAAGTGCGTCTGCACTCCTCTATGTAAACTATATGTGTGGTCTATACTGTCCCGCAGGAGTGGCTGAAGCGCGAGCGCGCGTACGAGCGCTGGGCGGAGGGCGACGTGGGCGTGGGCGTGGGCGGCGGGCGGCGCGAGAGGCGCCGCCGCGGCGGCAGGCACCGGCGCAGCTGAGGGCGCGCCGCCCCCGCGGCGGTGCTGGCCGTAGACCTGGCAGCGCCCGCAGGGGGCCGACCGTCTGTCTCCTATTGCACTACTAGTTTCTTTTTAGGGCTCCGTACCCAAAGGGTAGAGCTCTGATAGCTCAGTGTCAATTACATTTGCTCGAGCAACCAGAGTTCGATCCCCGGTGCCGGCATCCATTCGCTATTCTTTCTTTTTAGGGCTCCATATTCAAAGGGTAGAGCCGTGATAGCTCAGTGTCAATTATATTTGCTCGAGCAACGCGAGTTCGATCCCCGGTGTTAGCAACAATTAATTTCAAGTGCTGAATTATCACATGCTCAGCGATGAAGGAAAACGTAGTGAGGTGGCTTGCATATTTTCGAAATAATGTTGAAACACAAAAATATTTCGATCAATTCGAATTGAAAAATTCGCCAATCCGCCGTGGGGTCGCGTGGTGGTCGGTGCCCCGATACCCTCTTTACAGAGGAGGCCTTTGCCCAGCTGTGGGACATAGGCTATTACTTTACTTTTTTAACCCAAAGAGTAAAACGGGACCCTATTTTACTAAGACTCCACTGTCTGTCTGTCTCCAGGCTGTATGTCGTGAACCGTGATGGACAGTTGAAATTTTCACAGATGTGTTTCTGTTGCCGCTATGACGACAAATACTAAAAAGTAAAATAATAAAATAATTTTAGTGGGGCTCCCATCATACATGGTTTTTTCGCCGATAATGGTACGAATCCTTCGTGCGTTATTCCGACTTGCACTCGGTCAGTCTTTATATTTGCACAGCCCTTAAATTAGTCTGTGTTGCAAGGACATACGCTCAATAGTCTTAAGGCCACACATAAAACAGAATTGTTTTGACAGATTTCTTGTCATAAATAATACAGGAAACTAAATATCCCAACTGTAATAAAACTAAAATTTATAAATCAGCGAAATTACTGACGTAAAACATTTTGTTTGCAGTTAAACTGGAGCGGGAAGCAGTCTGCCTGTAATGGGCTCTCTTACCGCGAGGTTTATGCGTCGACTTGGACTGCTTATGCAGTGAGTGTAATGTGCGTAGTGTGACCGGGACAGTGCAGTGTTGGTGACAGCCCGAATGGCAAAGGACAGTGGAACAGTGCACAAATGTATGGGAGATGATTTAAAAGGGGCCCCCGAGCCCAGTTTGAGTGATTTGACCTCTGATATAGATTATGTACTTCTGTACGATAGCAAATAGATTTTACAAGTCCATGTAGGCATCTCCACGTAATGCGAACAAAATCTAGTTGTCGGTTATTTATTTGTGTAATATTTGTACCGCCCGTGAGCGGTTTGTGTTTTAGATGTACAATAGAATCGATCGAGTATTATAATGTATGTTTATTCGTCTAGGTTAGTACGCGACAGATCTTGTGCATAATAGGTAATGTTAAACTCGCGGCGCCCTAGGGCTCTGGTGGCGGAGTTGCGAATGTATGCTTCTAGAGGCAGAAACAATTCATGGCTTTGTAAATATTGCTAAGTCCGCTAAATAAGACCGAAATAAGTTGAACATTTCTTGAATATAGTCGTGCAATGCTTTTGTTCCAGAATTACATATCCTGTATAACTATAATATATAACTTTATACGCAATGAATCATGTAAAAATGTACTTAATCTCTCTTGCACTCCACACTCTTCCGTAGCAGCTCTCGTAGGCGGCGCTACGGCGCCCAGAAGTGGGACGTGCTACGGGGCCCAGCGCGCCATCTATGTAGCTTTGTATGTCATTCGTGTTTTATAAACGTTAGACGCTAGTAGTAAATGTTTATCCATTGTAAAGAGAATCAATAAATTTATTTATAGACGGAACCGACGGCCTTTTATTTTTGAACCCCATACTCAATGATGGACCCTTTTAGGATAATTATGAATTTATCCACATTACTAATCTAGGAGATATTAAAGCTTTTGTTGAGCGCAACATTGTGTTGACTTAGTTATATTTATATTAAATCTATATTAAATGTTATTCACAATCAAATCTTTATATTCAGAAGAAATAGTTCTCCGATGTACAAATATAGCCCATAAACCCATTTTGCTAATTAGAATAAAATAAAACAAAATTAAAATTAATCTCATAAATCGCTACGCCTATATCTACTGCTTATTTTTTAAAAGAAAGAAAGAAAATATTTATATTTTAATGTTTAAAACAGACAATCTGTTTCCATTCATAGGCTATTAGAAGCAATATTTCTTACGGAAGGTGTTATAAAGGGACAAACGCCTCCGTGGTAACATTTCACTTACATACGCGCTAGGGTGGTGCTTCAGTTTTGTATTATATTTTTAGTGAGCGCAGTCAGTCTTTGATAATGAAATCCTTGGCCCCATCTTCATACGCCTCTGCTTGGAACCAATAAAACACATTGACGAGAAACTTGCTGATCGTCATTAATAAGCGCTTTTTTGACTCGTCGGATCAGCGCTCCTACTTACGCCGATTTTTAAAAGAAAATATAAGTAAGTTATGTTAGGATGTTTCATTTCAGCCTGTTTGAGTCCACTGCTGAACATAGGCCTCTCCCACAGACTGCCACGAAGTACGATCCTAAACCACCTGCATCCATCGACTTCCCGCACATTTGCACAGGTCGTCATGGGCCGGCCATATAGCTCGTAGAACCGATAACCGTCGGGAAAGAAAGGTTCTTATGTGGCGGCCTCGTAGTGGACATCGCAGTGTAGGACGACCCCCACTAGATGGAGTGACGCGATGTTTACTAACTATAATAAAGTTAATATACACATTACACTTACCTTCTATCACTCTTATATTCTGTTCTATTCAATCCAACCACCCCTCCTTATCTTAAGAAGCGATTTGAGTATCTCTCTGATTCTCACCCAGATCGATCTCTCCGTTCCAATGACAATTTAATCCTCAGAAATCCTCCCCATAGTACATCTTTCTACTCCAAATCCTTTTCTGTGGAAGCTGTTCGGCTCTGGAACTCTCTCCCACTACATATTAAGCGGGCACAATCCCTACCTATTTTCAAGCGACTTTTAAGAAAACACTTTTATGCCTCAATCATTGTGTTCCATTCCTCGATGTTGTCAACTTATATCTAAATACTTATACATTATTTATAACGTATATTTTTATATATCATGTTTGCATGTGTATTTATGTATAATTTATTAATATGTATTTACGTTTTGTCTTATAAGTTTCTCTTATCAATTCAGTGTACACCGTTACCCGATGCTACTGTTTTTACTATTTCCTTTTACTAGGTTGCCTGGAAGAAATCGCTTCTTAGCGATAAGGCCGCCTTATGTACAGTTTTGTATTATTTTTGTTGATTCTTCAATATCCGTTGTTTGTGTTCAATAAAGTATATTTCATTCATTTCATACTTTACCTATAAACAATATTGTAGACCAAAAACCTATTGACCAGTATTTGGTATACTTTGAAGAAAAAACTCTGTTGAAGGGGAATAGTTGAATAAAATATCATTTGTTATTAAATAAGGGTCCTTTTAATTATATTTATATAAAATGGTCTTTAGCATGTATTATAGTTACCATGATGTTTTAAGAGACTACCAATTGAGGTCATGTTGAACATACATAACAAATCTTAGCGCCTCTTGGCAGACAGAGCCTACCCTGGGCAAATTAATTTTATCAATAAATATCTCTAAATAGATTAACGGAAAAAACAGCTCAAACCAGTGAGTTCAAGTGACTTGCTCAATATATTACCAGAGGTTTTTTTTGGTGGCCAACTTGTGTTATTCATAATTATACAAACATCCACTCCACAATTAACAGTAATAACGGCTGATTTATTGCTATATTTGGACAATGGAGAGCAAAGTTGGAGCGTCAGCGCTTTTGCGAGGGCAGAGCACCCGGGCTGGTGGCCCTATGTAGACTGCGCTTGGCATCAGCTCGGGCTCTACCCCTAGTCTTCGGTTTCTCTATGACCTGGAATAATGGAGTGAAAAGAAACATTAATTATTCTGACAAGTGTTCTATCTAAGTATCCTTATGTATTAAAATATCCTCGTCTAAATGTTCCGTAGGGACCAGACCAAATTTCTGGGAAATCTTCTTTTGGCCAGCAATTGATTCTGTAGTTTGGTAGTGTTCAGATCAATTTTTTTATATTCAGTTTTACCCATGAATCGTAGGCGAAGGTGCGTAAATAATGATTATATATTACAAATTATCGTGATGATTTAATTGAGTGTTAAAACTGTGATATCCAAAAAAACTTATCACATATTTAATAAAATGATATGTGCTGACTTATCACGTGCTCCGCTGTGAAGGAAAACATCGTGACCTGCATATTTTCGAAATAATACCAAAAAAAAATATTTCAAAAATATGTGAAGTCCGCCAATTCGCAGTGGGGCCGCGTGGTGGACTATGCCATGATACCCTCTGTATAGAGGAGGCCTTTGCCCAGCAGTGGGACATGTATAGGCTGTTACTTTACTTTTTTTTTAGACGAGGGTAAATTGAATGCGAATTAGGATAATTTTTTTCCTGTAATGCTACATGTACGGTGTTAAAAAAATGTAGGAGTACTGATGATAAATTGCATTAAAAATTTCTATATTACTTAGATATAAGAAGAATCCTTAAATAAAAACAATTATTCTGTAAAGTGCATATGATGAGTTACCAATTCATTTGGGAATAAGTAACCTGTGGTAAGATATTGGGTCATGGGTTTGATTCCCATACGGGACAAGTATATATTTGACTCGTAGACAAATTGTAATTAATAATAAATTAAAATTGACTTTTTTAATTTAATAAGAAAATCATTGACGATTCGCCGCCTTACTGCAGGATAACATAATCCTGTGTTGTTAGGGCGTTTTTACATACATAGATTTCACGTGCACAAATGTCTAAATCCGAAACAATTACCTTTGGGTCACACAAACAAATGTCCCATGTGGGAATCGAACCCACGACACGCCTATACCTACATGCTATTATGCTTAGGAAGAGTTTCCCAGTGGTCCTACCTTATTCTCTTTATCGGCGCGGGCTACAGGCGTGGAGAACTCGCTCTCCAGGTTCTTCACCGCAGCGCCGCGTCTAGAGTAGCTCTTGACGGAGGTCATCGGGGTGAAGAAGCGTTCGGGCGAGGTGGCGCAGGGCGTGGAGAACAGCAGGTGGGGTGTGGGCGGGCCCGCCAGGGGCTGGGGCTTGGGGCGGGGCGTGGCCGCCTCCAGGGCGGGCCGCTGCAGCGACGGCACCGGCACCTTGAAGCGGCTCCTGGGAGGGGGGGCTTGTGCCTCTGGCGCCTCTGGTGCCTCATCGGCGCTGTCCTCGTCCAAATTCAGCCGGATCACCTTCCTCTTGATCGCGGGCAGCTCTTCATCAGCCACGGTCCTGTTCGGCGCGCGTTCCTGTTTGGCGGGTCTCGTCTCCGGCGTCTTAGCCGGCTCCGGGGCGGGGCTGAGCCGCAACGCCTCCATTTCCACCTCCAGCCCAGCGGCCACGCGTTTCCTCTCGGCCCTGGTGAGCCTGGCGGCGGCCACCAGGCAGTTGGCCACCTCGTTGGCCAGGTGCCCGCAGGGCTGCCACTCGAGCGCCATCTCGTGTACCCTCACGAGCTTGTCATCGGCCCTCTCGCCGCGCGCCATCTCGAAGAGCGCCGCCTCCAGCGTCGCCTCCGCTTCGAAGCGGCGCAGGTCTTCGCGGTACAGGTCCCCGACGGTCTGCAGCAGCCAGCCCTGGAACCTGTCCCCCGCCCCTCCCCCCATCCGTTCCAGATGCTCCTCGCACATCGCCAGCACTCGGAAGGCGCCCGCGAAGTAGTCCGCGGCGACCGCAAACTCGCCGCTCCTGCAAGATATTCAAATCGTCTTTTGAGAATTTTGACCAATCTAGATGACAAACGACATGATAGCACGTGTTTCTCTCCTAGGAATCTTTTCCCTTATGGCATATTAGAAATGCATCCGCTCAGTCATTTGTTGGATTACATATCATTACTTAAATCTACATCGCATAGTCTACATTGCATGATTTTTATATAGCCTTTTAAAATGAAAAGATAGCTAATATTGTTTCATTGAGAACTATGCGCTATATAGGGCCGTCGATAAAACTCCTAGAAACAAATCGAGATAAAAGAAAGACCTGTAGTATACAGCTACTTCTAACCTAACCATTTTATCCATTTATCCTACTTTTTTTATTTTAATCCTACCAACACAACCAGAATATTGAAGATCGAGTCGAAATTACAAAACACCATCATTACGACAAAAAATAGCGACCTGTAGTACACAGCCGCTTCGAGGGCGCATGCCCTGAAAGCGAGCACCGCGCTGTAGGGCGCCGCGCAGGCGTAGCACTCGCAGCCCGATCCGTGGCCCAAGAACTCGGGGGCGCGGAAGGGGGGCGCTACGCCGTAGCCGGGCGAGGGGCACTTGCGCGCCCTCTGCCTCGCGGGCCCCTCGCGTACCCCCTCTATCTGGGCCCCCAACGCCCCCAACGGCACTAACCCGGGCCCCCCCTTCCGCCCCTCCCCCGTTGGCCTGCACTGCGGCTGCGTCTCGTTGGTGGGCTGCAGACCGAGCGAGTGCTTCAGGCGGTTGTCGATCTTCACCTGGAGTGTATTAACCCAAGAGATTATTTTCCGACTGTTTCTCAACAGACGTCTCAATTCGGTCGTAATTTTCAATGTTCGTGCCTTCGGAACCACGCATGGGGTTCAGTTCAGCTTCCACGTGGTCTTATAATAATTTAATAGCTAACAGACACTGGACTTTTTAGATATTTGGGGAACTCTTCAAGATCGAATAGAAATGAGTATTTATAAAATGTGTACTTTTTTTTTATGAATCATTTACTACGGCGTACTAACTGATAATGAATAGATATGGTGTGTTTGTTCGCGTACCTGCGCGTCGGGGCAGTGGGGGTCCGCGAGCGAGGCGTGCAGCCGCGCGGCCTGCAGCGCTGCGCTGGCGGGCAGCGAGGCGGCGGCCGACGCGCGCGCCCTCCGCCACAGCCGGAGCGCGACTGCGGCCGCGCACGCCGCCCGCCCCGCCGCCGCCCCCGCTCCCCGCGCCGCCTGCCCCCGCCACGCTCTAGCACACCACCGCGACCCTGCCGAGTGTGGGGACGAGTTTCCTTTTAAGTGACAACCGCCGCCCGTGGACATTAGCAACACCCGTAGGGTGGCTGATGCGTCGGCCCCTGTAAATAAAGTCGGCTCCGACTAGCTCGCTCACCGGACGAAACGTTTTACTGTTTTTCTCTTCTTTTGAGTCTAAATCGCTTCTTTCGACAGTATTTGGCGAGATCCACCACTACAAGATCCCACATCACTCAGTTATATTCGCATCTTCCTGTTTAGAGACTTCCAAACTGCCCAGGAAAGGCCACCACCCGGGGAGAGACATTTATAAAAATATCAATGTCAACAACCTCGATATACCGAAGCGTGAATATGTTGGATGTAGTCTAAAAACCTTTGTCCAAAAAAGGGGTATGTTAAATATTTGATACCAACAAATTCGAATTTGAAAAAAAAAATATCCTTTTTGATATGGTTATTGATAATGTCGGATACATATACAGGGAGGCTTTTTTAAGTGGATCCATGTTTTTTAATTAAATTATAGACATAAATAACATTATATAAAATATGATAAATATTTAAAATCACACGTAATTAATTAAATATATTCATTTGAACTTATCTCAAAAAGTGCGTGATTTATGGACAACTCAATTTACGCGCGATCATTCATAACTAACACGTACACAAATTCGTTTCAAAAGTATACGACGCATTTAAGAATGACTACCGCATTGTCAACAAGTTCTGTTTTATAAGGAATGGAAAGGCAATTTTTTTTTTTAAAAAAAGTTTGTTTTTATTTCAACAAACGATTATACTACCGAGTCTGAACCTACTGTGTGAATTTGGACACCTTTATAAAAGCCACCCTGTATATCGGCTGGATTTATCAACATATAGAATCAAAAATATCGATATATCGATACTTTTTCGACATTCCTAGCCGACGGAGTTTGTATATACCTCTGCGACAGTCGCCATCGACTTTTTATTTATCCGTTTATTGTTCTTTATTCACAATTAGCGTCCCGCCCCGGCTTTGCACGGTTGCAATGCTGATACTAAATATACTCTACTATATTATGCCTGGATTATACATTTAAACCTTCCCCCTGAATCACTCTATCTAGTAAAGAAAACCGCAAGATCCGTCGCACAGTTTTAAAGATCTAAGCATACATAGGGACAGACAGACAGCGGGACGACTTTGTTTTATACTATGTAGTGAAAATGTGGTGCACGCAAGTCGAAGTAGGTTCGTTGATTGTGAAAGTGAAAAACGCAATCTATAGTCTGCCGCTAGCATCTCAAAATGGTTTAAAATAATATTTACTCAAATAAATTTACTACTACTATGTTGGTTTGTTAGAGCCTACAGGCAAGTTTATTATAGTTCTTAGGGTTCTGTACTCAAAGGTTAAAACGGGGTCCCGTTACTAAGACTCCGCTGTCTGTCTGTCCGTCTATACGTCATGAACCGTGACAGTTACGACAGTTGAAATATTCACAGATTACGTATTTCTGTTGCCGCTATAATAACAAATAATAGCAGAATAAAAAAAAAATTAAGTGGGGCTCTTGTACATCAGACATGATTTTTTTAATTGTTTTGTCGTTTTTATAGATGAATGGTACGGAAACCTTCTTGCGCGAGTTCGACTCGCACTTCGCAGGTTTTATTTCCTACAGAACAGATTATTAGTATGTATTAATGCCTGCACGCTTGGTGACTTTTCAAATCGCCTCTAATATCGGAAGCGTGTACTAACCATTGCTTTGAGTGCTGCACGGTTCGTCATTTTTGAAATAACCACGATAGGGGAATAGCTCTCAAAGTGGGTAGCGGCCACTCACCGGAGCTGCCGATGGCGAGGTAGTGGCGGTGGGCAGCGTTGGCTCTGCTCAGGATGCAGGGGGCTCGTGCCCACTCGAGAAGGCGGCCTATCGCCAGGTCCACTGGAAGGATCAACCGCTTTATGAGCAAAAAAAACCTTATTCAAATGAAGAATTAATAGTGGTCGTATTAATTTTTAGTGAAATAAAGATTAAATGAATGAAATAGATGAACTGTCGAGGGATTTTCGCCTACGCCAGGATCAAACCTACTTTTGCATCTCCTGGGTGAGACCTTGAATTGGGTCAAGCTAAAAACAATCATTCCATCATTCACCTCTGAACTATAAATGTGGTAGGGCCGAGCAAGTCTTGCACGGATGGACAGGTCCGTCTGTGAAAATACCACGAGCTCGCAGAAGGCGTGAAGTGGATGAGTTACACTGGTGCGTTTCGTCTGGTGAGTGAGGTAGACGGGGTCAGCTTTATGAATATATGTCCATGGGCGGCGGTAATCACTTAACATCATGTGAACCGCTAGTTCTTTTAGACACTTTCTCGCATAAAAGAATGATATCTTCACGGTGAAAATTCATAGCGTCGAGTACACGGTGTACACTAACGATGTACCCCGTGTACGGACACCGAGGTACTCACAATTGATCCCCGTTTGTGTGTCCAACGCCTCCAATAAACGCGCCTGAGCAAACTGGAGCAGCATAGCAGCGGTCCCCTCGGAGCCACATTTCTGGTAGAACGTCTGAAATGGTAACATAAAATTAAAGCTAGACATTTCTATTTATGCTTTGGGGAAAAATTATTGTTTTTTTTATACGAGAAGGTGCCAAGTGAGCTGGCGGTTCACATGATGTCAAGTGGTGATGGTTACAGATGCGTTGCCAACTTATAATAAAGTGGTCCCCTGGTATCTCACTCACCAGATGAAACGCGGAAGTATAATAATAGATATACTTTTACTTCACGCTTGTCTTCTGTAAGGTCGTGGTGCTCACCCGGACGGATCTGTGCAACAAGGCTGTTGCGTGGCCCTACCACCAATATGATAAAATAAAAAACTCGACAAATACATATCACAGCTGACGTATCGATTTGAACGGGAAACAAACGTGACCCTTGCTGCGGTATAACTGGACCCACCCCCCCACACACGCCAAGCCTGTCACTCACCGCCAGCTCGCAGGCGAACACCAGCGCCGTCTCCAGGGTCTCGCTGGTCTTCATCAGCTCGCTCCAGTAGCCGGCTGCCGTGGAGATCAGCTCCTCCGTCATCTGGCAGGGCTTGCTTGCGTAGAACAGTATCACACCAGCATTCCTCACGTACTCTTCCCTTAAAAAACACAAAAAACATCTAAATGCAAAAGATTGTCTTTCACAGCAGCAAGTAGTTTTAGGTGTTGCAGGAATGGTAACCTACAAACGTATTAACTTCTATGTAAAATTTTCGACGTTTCATAAACAAGCTCAAGTGTCTATGTGAATTAAAATATTTTGAATTTGAATTAGCACCAGGCGAACCGCCAAATTGTTTGTCTCGTTAAAGAATTTTGCAAGACAACAAGCCAGCTTAGCGTAGCCAGCGCAGCCAGAACCCTGCAACTGTGGCAGGGCCACGCAGCAGCCTCGGCAGTTACACGAATGGGCGGGCTCGTCCGGGTAAGTACCACAGAAGACCGGCGTCGTGGAAGTATAATATTTTCACGTTTCGTCCGATGGGTGAGGTGGCCGGAGACCAATTTTTAAAAGGTTGTCAACGCATCTGAAACCATCGGGTGTAGCAGATGTCCATGGGCGGCGGTATTCACTTAACATCAGGTGAACCGCCTGCTCGTTTGGCAACTTTTCGCATAAAACCCACTTGGCGTCTAGCCTGCGGGCCAGCTCGCAGCAGACGTGAGCCAGCTGGAGCCCCTGGACGTGGCGGAACATGTTCAGGAGGTGCTGCACGAACAGCTCGGCGATCTGCAGGCAGCAGTGGAGGAGCTTTGACGCGGCGGCTGGAATAATAACAATAATAAATATTTTAGGACACATTTTTACACAAAGTTCTCCAGTCACAAACTAAGCAACGCATATACTACGGGCACTAGATAACTGATGAACATACTTAAACATACTTTTTATTTTTGTAAATAAATACATATTATACGTATATAAACACCGAGACACTGGAAAAACATTATGTTCATCACACAATATTTTTCCAGTAGTGGGGATCGACCTCACACCGTCTGACGCAGGAGGCAGGTACAGTTACCAATAATGCCATTCGGGTCAAATAAATGCACAGACTGCAATTAACTATCATTATCACCAGCATTTCAGCCCGTTTGAGTCCACTGCTGAACATAGGCATCACCTTAGACTCACACGAAATACGATCCTGAGCCACCTGCATCCATCGACTTACAGCTCGTCACTCCATCTATTTGGCGGTACTACTCTGCGATGGCCATTACGGGGTTGCCACTTAACCAAATAACTATAGCTAAAATTAAAGCATTTTTTTTAAACCCAAAAACTGGCTAGTTCTTGACTACTATATTTGTGTGGAATGTATTTGTGATTTGTGTGGAAGGGATTGAATAAGGTGGGTGAGGCAGCAAATCATACAATTGAGTTGATTTTTCATTAGCTTTCGTTGATGATTTTTTTTCACCAAACCTGGTCGTTACGTTAGGTCGTTGATGTAAAATTTGACGATTCATAAGAGTGTACTAGCGTCTATTTGACTAAATATATTTTTAATTTTGATAGGACGTTACTACCTCACATAACAGACGAAACGCGGAAGTATTATATTTCCTCTTTACGCCGGTCTTCTGTGAGGTCGTGGTACTTACCCGGACGAGCCTGCCCGTTTGTGCAACAGCCGAGGCTGCTGCGTGGCTGTACTACTGTTAGTTGGATAGATTACAAGTTCTTAGATCGTAAATGCACTGGTTCAGTAACAGTTTTGATGACACATTATAATCGGACGGGAAAAAATTACGCTAGCAAACTGTTCCCTTGTTGTATGCATTACGAAAGTGAGGGCAAAACTCTTCGTTAATTCCGCGCGCTTAAAGTGTGCTAAGCACTATCGGTAGCCTTCGAGATATCAAGGGAAAAGGCATTTGCTTCTTCATCGTTCTAAAGGAAGTTGAGTGTGCTAAGCACTATCGGTAGCCTTCGAGATATCAAGGGAAAAGGCATTTGCTTAAGGTCTTAAAAACTTGAAACTTGATACCCACAGGTCTTGAGGCCGTTATACATCCCCGGACGAGCCTGCCCATTAATGCAACAGTGGCTGTTGCAGCCAGCAGTCGTTACATTCCTAGATACCTTTCTCCAGGTGTGGCAGGGCATCCGTCCAGATGTTCACCGCTCGGAAGGCGGGGAGCAGCGCCTGGTGCTCCAGCGGCAGGGTCCTCGTCACCGGCGCCAGATCTGGGTCCAGGATCTGGAGACAGCGTGTTCAGATAAGAGTACGCTTCGGACCGGTGTTAAAATATTTAATACTAGCTGCTGCCCGCGAATAAGTCTGCGTAGAATAGGCTGAAGGCTAACATTCAGACAGAAAGACAGATATACATAAAATATGTATATAAATCTATAGCCTATGTCTTATTCTGATATTATAGCTTATTATATATATTATTGTAGTGTCATTAAAATCCATTCAGCAGTATTTGCGTGAAAGAGTGACAAACATCCATCCATACATACAAACTTTCGCGTTTATAATATTAGTAGGACTAGCCATGGCTCGCGGTTTCACTCGCGTGGCGCTCGTGTATCATCAATGAACTTTGTCGCAATGAGATTTATGAACTGTACAGAATACTTTTCGTCGCTTTTGCTGCGGTTTTACCTTTGGTAGGGCCACGCAACAGTCTTCGCTGTTGCACGTATGGATAGATCCGTCCTAGGAAGTATCATGACCTGCAGAAGACCGGCGTGAAGTAGAAGTATTACACTTCTGCGTTGCGTCTGGTAAGTGAGGTAGCCGGGGTGGCAACGCATCTGCAACCCTACGTATGTCGAATATGTCGATGGGCGGCGGTTATCACTTAAAATCAGGTGAACCGCCAGCTCGCTTGCCAAGTGCAGAGTCGATCCCACCAAGCAAACTTGACCTCACCGGTCCAGTGGCCTTCCAGCCGTATTTCTGCGACGCCTCCGCGATGTCGTACTCGGATTGGAGGAAGAGGAGTGTGGCATGGACCGCCATTTCGTCGAAACTCCCCGCCTGGAAGTAGAGAAGAAGCTGATTTAAAACGGGGGAACGTGTATAAATTGATCTTGTAGCATATACGCAAAGTTTTTATTAGCATGTGTAACGGACATCCTAATTAAAAAGACCAGGTCGTCGATAGAATAAAGAGGTGTAGTAAAGCCGATATATGTCCCGCTTGGCAAAGTCCTCTGTTCAGGGAGTTTTTGACTTCATGTCTTCACATGCCTTATTTTTTTTGTTATTATATCGAAAACATGCAGTATTCCTCTTGATGCATGTGATAAGCATAGCATAGTTAGCACTTAGAATTGAAATTTACATCTGGCACTGGGAATTGAACTCGGGTTGCTCGAGTATAATGAATTAAAAGGGAACACCCGGACACTGAGCTATCATGGCTAGAATAGAGTTGGCTAGTTTAACAGTTTGAACTTTAGTTTTAAGCCAAAGTTGTCTTACTGGTTTCTCTTCAAATCTCTGCAGCAACTCCCCTACAATAGACTTGTAGTGTTCATTGTGTATGGTCCGTACAGCCATGGGAGTTTCCAACACCACTTGGTATAAGCTCCAGAGAAGGGTTTCCTCATTTTCGACTGAAAACATGTGTTACAATCATCTATTAATTATTTTATTATTTATTACTTTATATGATTTCCTCTTGAAGAAACATGGTGTATTATTAGGAACTTATTTATCAATTTTTATGTATAATTCGAACTTTCGAACTGTAATTCGAAATTTCATAAGAACGTTCAAGCGTCTATTTTAATAAAGATATTTTTAGTTTGAGTTTCCGCTTTGTTAATGACCCAAACCGGTTAAAATTGCTATATGGCTCTTTTCAAATAAAGTAGTTTTTTTAACAGAGCATGATTAAATTCTTTTTCTTTCTTTCTTTGGGTGTAAAAAAAACATTGCCCTTACTTTAGGATAACATTATCCTGTGTTGTAACGACGTTTTACAAACATAAATTTCGCGCGGACAAACACACAAATGCGAAACAACTATCTGTGGGTCACACAAATATTTGTCCCGTGTGGGGATCGAACCCACGACCCTGGAAGCCGAAGCCAATACCTTGGCAACTACGCCACGCCATTTTCACACGGATTTATCGCTATTTATCGCTATTTAGCGTTATTTTTAAATTTTGTTTCCCGACGTTTCGAACCCTTTACAGCGTTCATGGTCACGGAACAGTGAGGTGTTGGTCGTCTGAATGTCATAGTTAGCCTGGTTAAATACTATTTAACCTTGCATTGCCTGCATAAACTGTACTAATTACTTTTAGAGTAAATGTGTAAGGTGGCTTGATATTAATATTGCTCAAATAGTATAAAATGTGATCATACTTTGTTCATTTAGAGCCTACCAGAGATTGCCCTCAGACAAATGTATACCCTGGAGCCTAACGACGACTAGCATTCTTATATCAAGACTGATGTGCACAGATGGGTTGTCATTTCCTCTGATTTCCACATCTCATTTGCCCCTTTCCTATATTCAACAAACGGCCATTAGTTACATAGCTCCGTAACTTTCATAACGACATGTAGATGAAAGGCGTGTACGACCGGATCCTATATAAACAATCCTATTCCTTACGAGCCGTTGAATTACCTACGAAAAGTGAGTAACTAGCGTTCCTTTAATCTACAAATCGTTAAGAAAGTTACGAACTTATGTAACTAACGGCCGTTTGTTTAATATCCTATATTCACAGACAGGCTATTAGTTACCGGGCATTATTCGTGCGCTGTTTACCGTAAATAACGAGTGTGTCAGCTGTCCGTTCTCGGACAGCTGACACACTCTTTATCGAGTATGTTAAATACTCGATAAAGAGTGTTTAACATAACCATTGTCCGTGTCCAGTATATTGAGAAATACACGCCGTACTCACACGGGTCCAAATACGCTTCCAGAAAGTCAGTGTGCGATGTAGGAAATGTCCTCACCTGCAAGCCAGGAGCTGTTCCGTAACGTCAGCAGCTCGTTCAGCGAGAGCCAGACCCCAGCGATCGGCACAATCGACGGCCAAAGCTTCACGTACATAGAGAACTCGTGTTTAAGCAGTTCGCTGGAAAGAGACGAACAGACTATTAGATGAGGACAAACGATAAAAAGAGATGTCCTATGTATTTTCTTATTCACCGAGTTGACCAACAGAACTTCGGAATTATACAATTTCAATGACTTAAAAGCAAAAAGTGTATCTTAATTTAAGGCAAACGTAACATTGATTTACTTTCGAGTTGGAGCATAGTTAATTAAAAGGTTAAAACTTTTGTAAAGGAAGGATTTGTGAGTCGACATCAATTCAAGTAAGTTACGATTGATTTGTCCACTGGTGCAAATTCTGTTTTACCAAGATAAAAAGTTTTACCAATGTAGAAGTTTTAGCAATATAATACTAATACTGTTTTTTGAATTAAATTAGGTTGGTGGCTAGGTCCGTCGTCTACCCTTCTTGGGAACACCCGAGACATGAGCAGTATTTGTATGACTCACAGATGATTATCTCCGAGTCGCACAAATACTGGTCCTGTTGAGAATCGAAGTTAGACCCCCCGCGCCAAAGCCATTGGCTTAGTGACTGCGCCAGTGAGTCACCCTAGTTAATACTAGTAACAATTAATATAAATACTGTTAAGAAACTTTGTAATCGTAACTCACCTAAATCTCAAAGTTGAGAAAAATGGCTTAAGATTGCCGTACTCAGAGCTGTCTGCTAGCAACTTACAGGCACCTAGAACGCTTAGGCGCTGCAATTTGTCGCCTTCCGACTCCTCGTCATCCTCAAAACTCTTCAGAGACTTGGCTTTTATGTCCATCACCAGGCTCATGTACTTGACCGAGGTCAAGCCTTCCTTGCCTGAAAATGCTAGGCTCAAGTAGGCACTTTTCAAAGCCTCCTCGTATAGCTTGCAGTCTAGCTCGCTTATACTCTTGTTGTATAGCGCCCGCGCCACATTTTTAAATTCAGCATCGCTCCTCACGCACTGTATCTCAGCCTTCAGGTAGGTATTGAAAAGTTTTATCGAATGTTCATACAGATGGGCCTTATTTAAAGCTATGGCTGTGTTGTGGACGTCAGTCTGCAGCTTTCTGAGACATTTCGCCTGATTCGGGCAGCCCAGCTTGTTCAACTCCGACAGCATTGCATACTGGGCTTGGACCACGGATATGTAGGTGGGCAGTAGCTGTGCCACATCCAGATCCTGGCTTATTGACCCGCTGACCAAGCTCTTTGAAAGGAAAGACAGACGTAAAGCGTCATGCAGACCGCTCCTGATATTGCAGCCTTCACATTTGGACATCTGCTGTGCTTTGCCAAGCTTCTTTATTAAGAATCTCACGATGCCCAAGCAACTCACCTGTATGGGCACGTCAAAATGCTCTTTCCAACTTTTCTCGTTGAAATGCAGTATATAATATTCCATATGCAGCCTTAGGAGCTGAGCTATGTACGGATACATTACATCCATGACCCTGCGGTAGCCCAGTTTCTCTGTTGCCTCGCAAGACTCCCGAAAACTTCGCAAGACGGTCTCTGTATAGCCAGAGTCGGCTTTGTTATTTAATACGCAGCAAAAGCAGTTCAAGTAAACCATTTGGAAGCAATGAAACATATCTGCTCTGTGCCTCAATAGAGATATTATTGTCCTCACAGTAATCTCAACTGAAGATTCCTTAAAATGCAACCTCGAATCAGTCTCAAATATTACATATAAACAGTCATTAAATTTTATATACAGATCCAAGGCTTCCTTGTCCGATACTCTTCCAAGCGTTTTCAAATTCTCTTTTGTGGATATGTGATCAAAAATACTCCTATATACATCTCTCAAGTTGTCTGTGCATACATCGCTGTACAGCATGTGTAACTTTTTAATAATAAATGCTAAACAACTTGAACAAAACTGCACCGGGTCATATATACTTATTATCGTCGTTATATCTTCGTTCAGCTTTGGTAACAGCTTCACTATGGATAGACGGCTGCTTTTCAACTTTTCTATGTACACAAATCTGTCAGCGAGGATACTCCAATATGTTTTGTAGTACTCCTTCAAGAGATTGTCACATTTCACCTCAAATGGCATGTATGACAGCTTTAGCATGAGTTCTGGTGGTGCAGACGTGTTCTAGAAATAAATTAAAGATATAATACCTACTATCTTAACAAAATATCCAAACTACACACTTATATGAAAAATTTTATATGACAATTTTTGTCATGTTTTTTAAATTTGTGAAACGTTTCTGATTAATTTTCTTTTTTCGTTTTCTTTATTATGAACTATCTCATACTCCATTAATTGTAAAATAAGTAACTGTATATTATTCTATACAATTTTAAACTAGTTCATCCCAATAAAGGCGTACCCTGGTGGGTGGGACCCCTGGCAATATTATTACCATTGGTGATACCCAACAAACAATTAGGTATTCCTTACCACTCATGTCTCTACTATAAATGATTATGCCAAAAGCCTAACTAAAAGTTTACTAGTGATTGTGTACACTTGTTTCTGACTACCAACCTGCCTGACAATATGCTTATGTATATGGTACACACAAGCTAGCGTCTTCACCTGCTCAGTATTTTTCAAAACCCGTGTTTGTCTCAAGCAGTCTATCGATAGTTCCAATAACTCTTTATTTGAAATTCTGTCACACCATGTCGGCACCTTTTCTAAGTTCCTGGTGATTTAAGGGTTAGTTATAATACGGTAAATATCAAAATGCTTTAGAAGAGACAATTTTTTTTTAAATATATTGATAGCCATACTTTTTTTTTTCTGAAATATATACATCACAATACGAAACAAAATTCAACAGACAAAATTGTTTTCTTACATTATGAAAAAGATAGGAATTATAAAATATTATTATATATATCAAATCACCACTAGAATATACAATTCCAATAAAATTTTTATCTTGGTAACATATTATAGAAAACATGAAAACAAAACGTGCAGAAAATTTACTTTTATATTACTAATTTTTTAAATGTAACGTACCTGCAAAGTATACACAACACATTAAGCGAGAAAGTCCCCCTGTCTTTCGCAGGTAATTCTGATAAAATACTCTTGTAATTAATAAATACTTTCCCCAAATCACACTCATCTCTTGCGGAACCGTCAGCCTTTAATTTGGTTACAAGATTGTTCGCCTCGTCGGATTTATCGCTAGACATCGTTATATTTACATTAAAATATAATTATTTGGGAACAAGTTCATTTGGCTCGTATAAGTTTTGAACTTTTTGTCCGTTAAAATATGACAGCTGGTGTAAAAACTGCTACTTGTCAAAGTCAAATGTAACGTATCAAAGTCATTAATGCAATCTTTATTGATCTAATATTTACAAGATTAAATCTATCTAAAATCATTTGAGTTCAGTTTTTTTAAGTTGAATTTTTAATAGACATAGTATAATACTTATAAAATGTTAGTTGTTATGAGTGATGAGAAAATTCACATGAAAACATGTTGGGTGTGAATTACGTGCTTATTCCTACTAGTGAAGTACTTGAAAATAATTACTCATGTATTAAAATCCTTTTTTATTGCTAAACATTAGATTATTTTAAATAAACCTTCGCTATGCGTTAGGTATAATAAACTTTTATAAAGAATGAAACTAATTAGCTTACGGTTATTTTTCTTAAGTACAGAATTAAAAGTGAAAACATAATTAAACATAGAAATTTAATTAGGAGTAAACTGACAGCATTGTTATTACTATTGGAATGGAATGTACGTTGTTTTTATGATTTGGGTTCCCTTTTGGAACCTACTTTATATATTTTTAATTCAAAAATACTTTCAAAATAAGGCTGAAAGTTTATGACAGTTGACTCAAACTATGAAAATGTTGTGATATAAAACGTCAAAAATAAAATACCGCGCCATTTTTCTATCCGATACCGGCAATCGGCATAACAAAAAAGTGTTAAACAATCACTAGATAGTCATTAAAACAAGTGTTTTGTATGATTTTAGAAATGAGAATTAACAAAATGATAAATTGATACAAAATTTCACTATTGATAAATTGAAAAAAAATGAACTTATAACTGAATAGATTTTATCCAAAATAATTAAATGTGAGTAAACAACACACTTTACACATAGATATCCATTAAGTTGATGAGTTTCATATTTCCTTTAAAAAGGTATAACAATCTCTTCAATATAGCACACTTTTATCAAGAAATTCTATGTTATTGAGTGAGCGTTACCGTCTATGTTATTGAATGATAAGGTTACAAGAAATATAAAAAAGTATCGGCGACCATAATTATTAATGTTACAACTGTTTGTATGGTTTCACTTCCATATTAGTGTACTATATTCCAAGATCAACAATAGCCAATAAGCTTTCCATTAAATCTCCCTATGTTAATGACACTGTCAATGGAAAATAATGTCTATCTTCTAATAATTATAACAAACCAATTATCTAAGAAGTGTTCATTTACTCTTGGTATATGATGATTTATGAATGGTGAATATAAAAATATGTATGATGATTTCTAACTTGTATATGTATATGATATATTTCCGAGGGATTTTATTGCATGTTATATTTAAATACATCATAGTATCCATGGTCATAGGATGAACTGACTATGAGAGTTTTGACATCCACTGGCCATATTAATCCGTATTACCAACTTGTGATACAATTTATTTAATATTAATGATTACTTCTTTCCAGATTATCAACATGAGGCACTCTAAATACTACGTAGTTGTTTTACTGGTCCTAATAGGCTACTTTATATCATCAAAAATGATTTTTGACAAGGTCAATTCAACAATACCCGCAGTTGTGGACGAGGTGTACCATTTACCGCAAGGACTGAGTTACTGCAAAAGGAACTTTACATACTGGGACAAGAAGATCACAACTTTACCAGGTCTATATCTAGTCTCCTTGCACATTTCCCCATTCTTCGAATGCAACACATACAATCTGCGATTCGTGAATTTGGTCGCATCCTGCGTAAATTTCCTCCTTTTCTCGTCTATGCTGCTATTTATATATGGCAATTACTCGGAGAGTCCTGTGAAAATTGTACTGCAAGCGCTCAGTCTCACCATTCTGCCGCCTTTGTATTTCTTTTCTCACATCTACTACACTGACACCCTGTCAATGACCTTCCTATTGGCCTTTACAAGGCTGTGCTTTACCAACAAGACCAGGATCCTGATGTTTATCTTTGGAGTGGCCAGCATGCTGATGAGACAGACCAATGTGGCGTGGATAGCTATGGTGGTCGGCCACAAGGCGTTGGATGTGTTCATAAGGAGTTCCAGGGTCTTTGGAAACCGCTACCTGAGCAGGACCTCGCTTAGCAGGACCTCCGTAATCGCAAAAGACATCGACGTGTCCAAACTGAAACGCTACTACGGAATATCGGATGCGATCATATCGTTGAAGTACCACTTGTCGACGTCCTTTCTGACTTACATCAGGTTCATCACTTGGCAGGACTGGTCTGAGCTAGCCACCCACACGCTCCTGCTTGGCTCTTTTATAGCGTTCGTCGTTGTTAACGGTGGCATAGTTGTCGGGGACAAGAAAGCACATGAAGCCACCATCCATCTGCCTCAGCTCCTATACTTCTTACTGTTCTATGGCGTGTTCGGTCTACCTTACGCACTGGCTAAGTTCGCGTCGACCCTGAGGCTCATCCTCGCGAACAAAACCCGCGCCCTCGCCTTTGCCCTGCTGTTCGCTGGCGTGGTACATTTCAACACAGTTGTCCACCCCTACCTGCTCGCAGACAACCGGCACTACACCTTTTACATATGGAATCGGTGGTTCGGCAGATACAGTTACGCTCCATTCGCCATAATTCCTGTATACGTGTTCCTCTTATTCAGTCTGTACGACAATTTGAAGGATCAGAATTGCGTCTCGTTCCTCCTGCCGTACTGCTTGAGCACCTTCTTGGTTCTTGCGCTGCAGAAGATGATCGAGGTCCGCTACTTCTTGGTCCCTTACGTCATTTTGAGGCTACGCTTCTACCGGCCATCTTACAGTATCGTGCTAGCCGAATTCGTCTGGTATTTGGTGTTGAACGCTCTGACATTCTACGTGTTCTTCACTAAGGAGGTCTATTGGAAGGATTACGACTACGCCCAAAGGATAATTTGGTAGATCGGATGCAGCTTGATCTCATGAAATACTTCCGGTTGTGTTATAAACGATTTGTATAATAGCAAGAAGAGAACTGTGTCACAATTACTGTAAAAAATCATCTAACTTAATCTATGAAACCGTTATGATGATAAGATATCAGATAAGTTGGCGGATAGTATCACAAGTAAGCACAGTAATAACTTAGGCAATGTTAGTCTAGACATAGGTAGCAGAGAAACATAAACCCTGTACGTTATAACATTAAAGTTTAGAGAAACAATTCCTTTAGGTTTGCAGATGTTTGTTATATTTCTGCACAAGGTGTGAAAAAGGGTTAAATTATGGACAAGTCATCTGTTGGAACAATTCATGACATTTATTTTGTTTTCCCACATTAGCTTTTAATTGTATGGATTAAAATAAAAAACAATGGGATTTACAATTTGATTGTGAATGTATAGCTACTGAAAAATATCTGACTTGTTGAATTGTTCACACCCTGTGTGGTTTTATTGTTACTGTAAATAATGTGATTTGTTGTCTTTTGGATTACTGGATGGATATTATAATATGTAATGAAATATATACACTTTATTCAGTTGATAATTATTTTCAGATATTTTAATAGTAATTAATAAAAATAGATAAATATTAAATAAATTTTCAAAAATTTCACCATAATTATGAGTAATTCTTTAAGTACCTATAATTTAATTTTCTATACAGATTTTTAGATAATTTTCTATACCTTTGAGCATATTATTCTTTAAAATGTTAAAAATAAGTTTAGATCACTAAGATGTAGATATTTGAAATTTACCATTTGGCAATTTTTTATTATTTTTCATTTCTTTAACATGTAGTCTGTTAAGCATAGGACTGAAAGAAGTACAACATATAATCACAATATATTATACCTTTTGTCCCATCTATGGCTAGGGATGTACATGTATGTATTTGAATCGAAAAAATCAGAAAACAGGTAAATGTTTCTAATTTATGGTACCAAAATTGTCATTAAAAAAGTTAAGTGTCAATTTCATTAAACTATTTTCCTTCCATGTAGCGCTCTAGCGAGATGTATGATAAAAATTCAGCATGACATAGAACATAGGTTTAAAGATTTTGTATATTTCCATTATTAATAGTTAATGAAAAAGAATTGTGAGTAAAGAATGTTTTTTGTTAACCGTTTTTTTTTTTCGACGCTCCACAATTCGACCTCGCGTCTAGGCTGCGTACTTTTCGGCATGCCTAGACAATCCGATTAACATTTTTACAATTAATGTTTGAAGGAAAGATGTCGCCTTTAGCTATGTACGGTATTGAAATTATATTATTATGTCTCTGCACTAAAAATGTAAGTAAAATTTTGTATTTATTTGTTTTTTTTCTACCATTTGTTTTGAACGTATGAGGCGCTCGCTTCTAATTCGTTTCAGATATATAAAAGTACTCTTTGGTGCCGTTATCAATGCAATGGTTAAATGCAATTCAACTGTTGCTTCACGTCTATTTTGAACATAACTAAAGGCCCATTTACACGATGCCATTTTCTTGTACATGCAAGAGCAATAATTGAATGCAATAAATTGCGCGCAATAATTGGTTAGACCATTTGTTGTTTAGACCATGCAACTTATTTATTGCTTCAATTTAATTGTATACAACAGGCAAGAAACTGGCACCGTGTAAATGGGCCTTAACTATATAACATTGCACAAACAAATCCTTACTAATATGATAAAAGCGAAAGTTTGTATGTATGGATGGATGTTTGTTACTCTTTCATGCAGATATTACTGAATGCATTTTAATGAAACTACAATATATCTTATACATCAGATTAACACATAGGCTATTATTTATATACATATTTTTATGTATATCTGTCTAAATGTTACGCCTTCAGCCTATTCTACGCAGACGTAGTCGCGGGCAGCAGCTAGTGATAAATAGGTCCAGAGTTTAAACGCTGTTGTCCTATAACAATACAACACACTTGATAAAGAAAAAAAAAAGATGAACAGAATTCATCCAATTTTTTGCATTTTACAAATTCAAATATTTTTGAGACTTGGGCAAATCAGAATAGTTAAATAATATAGTTCGCTTACACGAAATGTAAGAAAATCGGTTTCGAAATTTGGAATTGAGACCATTAATCCTGTTTTACGATAGCTGCAATGCAAAGAAATTTTCATTTTACCTCCAAACTACGGCCTGTTGAGATAATTTTCTAGGGGGAAACAAGGAATAGAGCAGTAGTGAACAGTTCCAATTCCCTCCAGAATGGCAGCAGAGCAGCAAGATGGTTAATTATATGATATAACTATTATATTATAATATTAAATGTGATATAATTATAATAAACCTAAATTATTAATAAAAACTGGTTATACATTATTTCACTTTGTACAGATCAATACAAAAATAAATAAAAGATAAGAAAATCGTTGAAAATTCTTCTTTATTAAATAAGTAAATATAATGAAATATGGAAACTATTAAATAATGCCAATTTACACATCGCCGTTTACATATCATTATTGTGTATTTCAAATGTAAATTGAACATATTAGTTTCTTAAACCGTTGCCACAAAGAACATTTTTAAAATGGTCTTAAATAAAATACTCATTCATTGATATTATATTCTTATAACTTTATTACTTTTTATAAGACGAATTATTTCAGGTAAAATATTTAAGTAACACAATAAACGGTTAAAAAAATAGTTCCGATTCAAATTCTTGGTAAAGTGAAATAAAAACAACAAAAAATCACAAAAAAAATAAAAGTTTGATAAACAGTTTTATACCGTCTACGTTGAGACGGTAGGATAATCTCGAAAAATATGTACAAAAATATGGTAAGTACTCCCCATACTAGGATTTAAAAAATTACAATGAATTCACTTAAAAATAAATCTTATGTTGTTTATAAATATATGTATTTTACAAAAATCAATAAAAACTCATCTCAAGGCTAGGCCGAGGTATACGAACAATTTGCTAATAAAAAACAAAAAATAATAACAAAAGCTGGTGTAACAAAAGTAAAACTTACAATCAAATATAATTATCTGTTTTTAAAAAACATTTTTTTCGCCAGCCTTCATCGAATACCTATTTTGCCATATTAACGCATAAAAAATGGTAACAAAATATCACATACTTAGTTTCCTCTAGAAATTTAATTCAATTCCATATCACTAGTAGCCGTAAAATTTGCCTTATTCCATAAAATAACTTAAGTTTAAAAATAAACATTTTTATACAATGATTTATTCCAGGGGTCAGCAATTTTATGATGCCGCAATTGAACTTTTGACAAATTTCGTTGACCAATTTCAAATAGCTGAAATATTTTTATGTTTACTTCGCGTAAAATTTTAATTACAGTTAAGTGTAACTTAGGACATTATTGCATATATTTTACGATATATTTAAATATTAAAGATCAAGCTATGCCAGTAGACTTTATATTTCGTTGATATAGCCAAATATTTAAAAAGGTTGCCGACCCCTGATTTACTATAAAACTGCCGTAACAATTTTACAATTTATTGGAAAACAGTCCTTCGGACGTAGTGTCCTTGGGACACAAATATTAGTATTTCATACATTTAGGAATGTTATATTTCATTCTGTTATTTAAATTTATAAAAAGAAGTTCAATTATTAGATTTAAGTACAGATGTAAGTAAGTGGAATGTTATAAGAATGATGAAATATTTGGTAACTTTTGAGGTTATACTACATTTGGCGCGTTGGGTAAAATGATGACAAAAAAAATTACCATGCGCGCACACCAACCCTCAAAAAGCGACATGATGCTTGGTAAACAATTTGATATTGGCAACCAATAACAACTTTTTGGCATTTACCAATAGCGCCATGTTATTTAAATAAACCGTTATCAATTGCATTAAATGTATAAACGCTAATGAAGTATATCTTCTAACGTGCGTACACAAATACTTTTTTCAAACATTGGTAAATATTTCAATTTTACAATTTCATATAATAATGTTAATTAGAGTATGCGGAATACCAACATATATACAAGAAAAATCGATGTACTAAATAAATAAATGACTTGTTTAACTACCTGATGGTAGCTGTTGATTCAAATCGTTTCTTATAATAATTATAAAAATTTATAATATAAAGGAGTTTTTAAATAAAATTTCTACACTCAGTAAGGAACAAAGGTGTAATAAGTTTGATTTGGAGGCACCGTTGAACGGAATTATAACTAACGACCCGACCCGACTTTCCACGGGGAACGGAGCATACACGCCTGTATATTTTTTTCCACTTGCAAACCGAGGTTTATCCGCGTGCCACTACTGTTTTCGATTTCTTAAATAATCACCGTCATGTATTTTAAATAACTTTCTTTAATTAAGTAAGCGCTGAAACCTTCAACCCTATTTTAACATTAGTTAAAACTGTATGAAAGTCCGTTCAGTACCTTTTGTGTTTATCGTATTCAGATGGAGACAAGGCGGACGATTGTTTCATAAAATGTAATGGTAGCTAAAATTATTTCACTGTTCAAACACTCGCTCTACGTTTCACTACAAAAAAAACCTATTTTCATGTAAATGTTTTACATGTATTCTATTATTACGTAAGCTAATGTAAATTCAATTAGCTATATATAATTTTTTTTAAATGTACTATCATAACAAAGGAGATCGACGTTACTTACGTAGAAATATAAATCTATACAATACAACGCCATCTTTATTTTCAGTAACTTTATACTTTAACATTCCCGCCATCTGTCAACAGGTGGCGGTGTCACAAACTTTTTTAAATCAATTATTTCCACATCACAAAACCGATAATATCGTCTAGCGATTGTCATTTTTTACATATAAATACATTAATACACAAATACTATTGTTATACCTACACATTTTAAAAATCGAGTTTTCGAAATTGTAAAAATATACCTTTGTAACTGCATTGATGTTTTGTACAAAATCCTATGAAGACACATTTAACGCCCGTTTTCTGAAACACACTAATCAGCTGTCAAATGGCTTTTCAAATGGTATTTGAGAAGCGATTTGAATTTGAATCAATCAGAATGATCTTAGAGATCAGAGTGATCAATTCAAACAGTTTAACTATCCTTTTGGCAACTCAAATAACATTTGAAAGACCATTTGACAGCTGATAAGTTGACATCTACGATGATCAGTGTTTCAGAAAACGGGCGGAAGTGACTTGACCGAGTTAATTCGCTTTGTACTGTTACTTTGTAGACCGTTTAAGACGCGAGTGTCCCTCATATCCATTTGTCCTCCTTCTTGGGACCAAGCAGCGGCGTGGACTCCACGTCTCTGGGGTCCTTAGAGGGTCCAAAGTCCGGCCTCCCGTTGAGGTACTTGGCCGCGTTGGCGCCGGAGACCACGTAGGGGACCCCCGAGAGGTCGGAGGCCAGTGGGTTGTAGTACTGCCGGTAGCAGGAAAGCGCAACCACAAACCCGAGGGACGACCCGACCAGGATATCTGCAAAGTGATGACAGAGAATTTATATACATATTGTAAAGTAACAGCCTATACAGGGAGGCTTTTCTAAGTATTCTATCCATTTTTTTATTAAATTCTGGACGTAATTAAATTAATTAATTACATTCATTTGAACTTATCTCAAAAAGTGCGTGATTTATGGGCAACTCATTTATTTTACGTGGGATTATTCATAACTAACAAGACAAGGTGACAAGAGAGCTGGTTCTTTTCTCGCTCAAACGTTAAGCATAACTTCATTCGCATTCAGCGAGGAAATACAGCTAGCGTTCTTGGCACCATGCCGCGTGGATTAGGTTTATTAGATAATATGTAATTTTAGATAAATTTAATATTATTAAATAGATAGGTATATAATATATTTTTTTGAAAAAAAAAAAGGTTTGTTTTTATTTCAATAAACAATTATACTATCGAGTCTGAACCTTCTGTGTGAATTTGGGCACCTTTATAAAAGCCACCCTGTATGTGTCCCACTGATGCAAAGGCACCCTCTGTTCAGAGGGTATTAGGGCGTGGTCATACCACTTTACTGTGGTAGGGCCACGAGAGTGTTCACCGTGGCAAGTGAAGTGGAAGTTTATACTAATGCGTTTCGCCTGGTGAGTAAGGTAGTCAGGGCCCACTTTATAAATAGGTGAAGATTATCGTTAACATCGGGTGAACCACCAGCTCGCTGGAATTCTTCTTGATTAAGATTAAAAGAACTTCACAATGAAACGACGAGAATCCGCTGTGATGTCCACACATCGGCCAAACGACCAGTATTGCATGTAGGTATCTCGTTATTCCAACTTGCATATTCGACTATGCAAGATAAAACAGAAATACAGAATAAAGTAAGTCTCGGTCCACTCTTGCTCTCCCATTAACGCGTCCAATTAACCAAACTCAAACATTGCCCAACCTTGCCAGTGGTGGTGGTAGTCGCAGCTCCTGGAGAGCGCCACGCAGAGGGCCATCATCAGAGGCGCGAGGCAGGCCAGGACCCGAACGCCGCTACCCCGCCTCCGCGACAGCACGCCCAGCCGGCCGCACAGCCAGAGGGACGCCATGCCCAGAGAGCAGAAAGACACTGGATATTGGAGAAGAGATAATTTTAATTTGTAACATCTACATCTATACAGCGTGTCGTTACCATCGCGACAATAAATGAACACACGTCTAACGCTACTTGCCAATTATCATAAAAAATATTAACGTTAAAAGAAATACATAATTAAAAAAATATATTTTTCAAACAAAGTAATTAAGTAAATAAGAAACATAATTTATAACATCCTACACAACTACAACTGACTGATTCATACATTCAGAGACTTTTTCATTCGTTGCCACAGCGTCGTATTACAAGCCTCTCCTTCTAATAGTATGTTTTGTCTCTTTTAAATTCATTCAACCCATTCATATGCTTTGTGACCTTTACAAATGAACTTTACGTTACAGTTTTATACTTAAGGGTGTGTTTTTTTTTGGAAAACTTATTAACTCGGTAAATATTGATGTTGAAAGAATGTAAATTTTTAATACAATTTTAAAAAGTTATCCTCTATATGTGTGTTCATTTATTGTCGCGATTGTAAAGACACACTGTATATATATATATACAGTGTGTCTTTACAATAGCGACAATAAATGTAAATATATATATATATATGTATATATAAATTTCGTGTCACGATGTATGTTCGCGATAAACTCCGAAACTACTTGAAAATGCAAACATGAAGAACGTAATCTATATAAAGTATCTCTACATTCAATAGATAAAAAACGAATAGGTATTAGTACCTATTACAATTGACTAATAGGTACGACTATTTATATATAACCTAGCCTAACCTTTAGTATCTATTAGTTTTTTTATCATTTAAATGTAAATAAAAAAATAATCTAATTTTTGCTAAAAAAAACCTATATCTATTTAATACCTATTTAAAATATAAGCAATCAATTTGGCAATAACACCAAACCACACAAAGCACTGCAGGCATGGCAACACTACTCACGGCTGCTATGCCCGCTGGGGAATGATTTCCGACCCTCCATGACGTCTGCGGGATCCCCCGTGCACTGAAGGTCTGGGGACTCCACGCCGTCGGGGAAGCAGCGGTAGAAGAAGTCCGGACGAGGGCGGCCTGAACAGGGGTCACAACTTTAACTGTGGTACGGCCACGCAGCAGCCTCCGCTGTTGCACAAATGGGCAGGCTCGTCCGGGTACGTACCACGACCTAACAGAACACCCGCGTAAAGTGGAAGTGTAATACTTTCACGTTTCGTCTGGCGAGTGAGGCGGCCGGAGCCAATTTTTCAAAAAGGTGTCAACGCACCTGCAAACCCTCGGGTGTAGCAGATGTCCATGGGCGGCGGTATTCACTTGACATCAGGTGAACCGCCTGCTCGCTTAACAACTTTTCACATAAAAAATCGGCACATGTGAATCATGATGAAAGCGGTTTTGGCAATGTTTTACGACCGGCCGCGTTCCTGACGTCAACCCTCCTTGGGAAACAAACACCCAGATCCGAGGCAATTATTTGTGGGTCACGCAAACACTTGTCCCGTGTGGGAATCGAACCCACGACCCTCGACGCCTAAACCCAACAGTTTAGCAACTCCGCCTTTGCGTCACAATATCATCACCATCTTTATTGTGTAAGGTAAAAAATCACCTTATGAAAGAAGGTGGCAAATGAGCTGGCGGCTCACCTGATAAATGATAAGCCATTGTATTTTGCAACACCCATAGGGTTGCGTTGCTACCTGAATAGTATGCGTGTGTTTTTTTTTCATGAAGTTGGCTCCGGTTGACTCACTCATCAAACGAAACGCAGAAGTACAACTTCCATTTAACACCGGTCTTCTGTAAGGTTGTGCTACTTGCCCGGACAGACCTGCCCATTCATGCAACAGCGAAGACTGTTCCGTGGCCGTACCACATAAATTGGGTAAGGAGATATAAAAATCATACTTAATAATTTGAAAAGTTTACAAGTACTTTATATTCGCCACAATCAAACATGCAAACAAACAATTATTCGTGGGCCGAAATACTTGTTCCATGCCCACCTACGACCCCAATGCGTTTTGTAGCCAATAGTTTAAGCAACTGATTCACCAAGTCTTTTCTATTTTATGTTATATATTATCAAACTCCCATCCAATATTTACAACATTAATATTGGCGTTCATCTATCTAAATCAATTACAATGCTTCACTGAAGAAGTATAAACTTCTTTCCTTAGCAAATAAAAGAGTTATTTCCGACATGCGGCTGCTTTACGATACATTGCACGGTCTTATAGACTGCCCTACATTGTTGCACCGATTGTCTTTTCGCATCCCATCACGTCATCTACGCGGCACAAAATTATTTCATGTTCCTTTGACAAAAACAAAACATGCTAATGCTTCTGTACTGCAATAACATGCTGTACTATAATAACATGTTTGTTAACATAGATGTATTTTATTATACTCGCAATCAATTTCTAAATAAAATTTCTAAGGCACTCATTAATGTACCAGATCAATAAGACGCTTGCTCTCTCTCTCTCTCTCTCCCTCAAACAAACACACAAACACACACACACACACACACACACACACACACACACACGCGCGCGCACGCGCTTTCACAATACATAAACAGTAATTATTCCTCCTGTTGTTAACTTACAAAAAAATGTAAATTGTTGTAACTTATTAAATGGCTAAATATTTTTGTGAATTGTATTTTGTAATGTGATTATTGTATGCTGTAAAGTTACCGAATAAAACAAAAAAAAAATTATAAATTATCTAATAAACCTAATCTAAAGTGCCAAAAATGCTAGCTGCATTTCCTTACTGAATAGTTATAATTAAATAGATTTAAAAAGTATATAACTTTTCGAAAATTAATTATCTGACCCACCTACTATCAATTTCATGGAGTCTGTTAAGACACCATTGATGCCCAGCGCAAGAGACCACGACAGGAGTATCTGTAACGTAACAACAAATCATTTTCTGAAATGTGTACATCCGCAGAATTGAGAATGCTTATGATTTCTGTTAATGATTATATTAAAAAAAATGTTTCTTTTGTAACCTGTATGTGTCTTTTATATGTCTTTTGTTACGCTGAATGTCTATAAATAATATTATAATTTAAAAAAGTATTATGAGGTTTTAGTTTATTGAGGTTTTATAAAATTTTGAAATTTCTGTACCTAAATATAACAAAATCAGAATTTCTGAAAAAAAACAATCATAGTTAAAACAAAAATTAAGAAATTATTTATTTGTTATTACATTACAAAAAACATAAATATGAAATAACAAATAAAAAGACTATAATGACATGCATTATATGTAGGTATATCTAAGTTTGTCTATTGGCATTGTAATGACACTGACAGTCATCTCAGCGGTAGATCATATTTGTTCTACATTTCTGATATGTTGAGTTCTGTTGTCATGTAATAAATTGCAAACAATCATGGGACAAATATTTATTGTCAGTACATTATGACATTTATGTATCAAATGTATAGAATGATGTTATTTAAATATTCTATTGTCTTCTGAAGAGTTGTATTCATACAGTTTCATTTGATGGATCTTTTGCATATATTCAAATAGTAGGAGTTTCATGTATGAATTTTCTTCTCTGACCGTGTTTCAGCTTTGAATAACGCAGAAAACATGCAAAATTGTACCACTGGCATGTTTGTACAGATAGGTTGTGCAACTGATTGTGTATTTCAGTTAAAGATGTTTCTCATTCCCATTTTTATGATATGCGTAAATGTCATGATCTTCTATTGCATAATAATTCAATGAATTGCACATTTCCCATATAGACATTATTTTAAAAATCAGATTTCTTACACAAGGTAGTAAGGTATTTTGTGTAGAGAGGTTTTGGTAATAAGTCTCAATGACCATTGTGATCTAGAAACATCTATCTTAGTCTTCCTTTAGAAAACATTGCCCCTTACTGTTGGATAACATTATAAGGATGTTTTAGATCCATTAATTTCACCTGGGCAACTGGGTACAATTCCCACACAAATAGTAATCCCGTGTGGGAATTGTACCCACAACCCCCTTGATTGAAACCCGAAACTTCTGCATCACAGAGACATTAAGGTATTAAGTTAGCAAGGTAGATATAAAAACAAATTATGAATAAACCCATAAATTGACTACTCTATCCTTAATAAATATAACATGTGAAAGGGCTTGTTACTTTTGTAAGGATAAGTTTTTATTATAAATACTCATTTCCTGTTACAGAGATCTGTGACATGAAAACAGTCATGGTACCAGTAGCATTTGAAGGTGTTATGTCGCAGTTTTGATGGTCTGTTTGACTCTTAACTGGGCCAGTATGTTAAATTTGTGTTTTAATAGCAGCTCACCACAAAAATACTCAATATAGGGTTTAAGTGTATATGCTTACCTCAAAAGCGTCATTGCAGTCATTACATGCGCCCCATGCAAGCAGAGATAGGAGACAAGGGACAGAGAGCACTATAGCCCACAGAGCTCCACCAGGGACATAGGACTCCCGCCTTGGATACTTGCAATCTGACTCCAGCTCCGAAGGCAAGATTACTCTGACAAAAGGAGGCATAGTTTCCATGTAACTGAAAAAAGACAAAAGCGCAACAAATCCTTACTTCCCTAATCGAAAAGGCAGAGGGGGTCAATGAAATACAAGTTGGAGGTAATAAGTAAAAAGTAGTAAAGTACTGCCTGGCAGAGGCATCCTCTGCATAGAGGGTATCAGGGCACAGGCATGTTATACACAATATACCTATACATAATATAAATTTATATTTTGTATAAGTATATTTAGAGATCAATCTCAGGTTGCTCAACTATATTGAATTAAAAGTGTGAACCCGGGCAGTAAGCTTTTTAAAAAAAAACCTTGTTGAAAATGATAATATAAATAGAAAAGCTCTCTAATTATAAGTAATTTCGGTAAATGTAAATAACTTTAACTCCGGCGTAATTCAAATCAAATAAATTTTAAACGATAGAGAAAAATCACTTATGAATTTATCAACAAGCAGAATTCGGCGGTTGCTTATAGTTTTAGAAAAAATAAATAATGAAATAGTGTGATTTTTACTATAGAAATCTGCCATTTTTTTGTTGTCAATATGTCAATTCAGCTTGTATTTCTTGGTGGTCATAAAAAAAAAACCGATACGTGTATGATGTCTCCCGCTTCCTATATTTATCATGTTGGGAGAACTGTGTATTGAGTTTTTGAAGTCAAACAAATAAAATGGTGGATTTCTTAGTACAAAAAACAAGTTTTAAATATTTTTTTTCTCGAAAACTATAAGCGACCGCCGAATTCTGCTTGTTGATTAATTCATTAGAGATTTATCTCTATCGTTTAAAATTTATTTTAATTGAATTACGCCGGAGTTAGTTATTTACATTTACCGTAATTTCTATTAATAACTACTAAAATAAAAAAAAATAAACATAAAAAACGGATATCGGATTTAGAATCTAAACCAAATTTTGAAAACTAAACTTAAGGCGGATAAATAATCTTAATAGCCGTTTTCTAAACTTAAACTTATTCTAATTAAAATGGTTCTGGAGTGAAACTTTCTTGTTTAAATGAATGAGCTATACTCCAAAACTATTCCAGTAAATATAAAAAAATACAAGCTAAAAAAAGTAAGCATATGGTAGTATCTTACCAGAATAAAGACAGTAAAGCTATTCGGATCATGATCTCCACAAATAAATTGAAACTAGCGGAACGTATAAGAGGCATTTTCCTTCCAATTATAATAGAAATAAATAGAAAACTTAATTACATTTGCGATTCGATTTGAAACATAGTGCGAAATGAAGTTGTGTTCTGAAATATATACCATACATAAGTCACCCAACTGGCAGTGACATATTTGTACAATGTGTTGTGCCAACCACATTTCTAAACGTTTGTAAAGACGTTTAGTTTTTGCTAAAACTCAGCATTTAAAAATTGAAAGTATAGACAGGCTTATCAAGGAAAGTACTACGAGCTCACCTGGCGCCAATACTGGCGCGTGGTGTGAAGTAAAAGTACCCATCATATTTTAGCATTTAGTCTGGAGGATGCGCAGTCCTCCTTTAAAAAAATGGGTAGCCCACTTTTTTAAAGGATTGCAACGCATCTGCAACCCATTAGTACGGTGGTAATCATTAAATATCAGGTGAACCGTCTGCTCGTTGGCCAACTCTTTACATAAAAAATTAAAAGCTGTTTATCAAAACGATGTTTATCAAGATTTTAAGCAAATCATAAGCGGTATGGTATACGCAGTTATCGTAGGCTGCGAATAAGGATATGCATCTGAGGGCGAACGCGCTGGTGTGTTTAAGATAGGGTATGCCGTACCTAAGCAATGTGTCACGTTAACCATAGTGGCGCTGTATTAATCATTGATTGTTCGGGCCTCTTTTGGTGCGTCTTTGCGGCACGTTGTCAGGGGGCGTCTAGAGTATTGTTAAATTTATACGCGCCTTATAAGTTACCGGAATGCAGATTCGATGCATGGGCCAAGGTTGTACAAGATAGATGCTGAAGGCTTTAACCCACGTACTTGGATGGGAATTTATTCTATAGAAGTATCTTATCAACACTTTTTTAAAGAAGGGGTGTTGGGTACGCCTCTTCAGGTCGCGATGCAACTAGGCGTTCACAACACGACGAAGAAATCTTTTTTGAATCACGCTAAGTAGTTTCAAGCGTTTGGCTAACATCAAATTATGGGACTTATCCATTTCTTTTTCAGGCAGTTTGGGGATAAGATCTTCATATAAAGTGATTATATGAAATAATAATTGTACATTACATTGCCGGAAACTTTCGCGTTAAACACCATAGTCAATCTTCACATCATGTTTAATTTCATATTATTTTTGATTTTTAACTGGTAAGTTAAAACAAAAACAAGTTCAACAATAAAAAATAGCATGTGATGTTATGTTGTCTATGCATACTAGAATTTTATAAGTATATATATATATATATATATATATATATATATATTATCCTTTAAACGAGCAATTCTTGTATATATATATAATCGGAATCTCGGAAACGGCTCCAGCGATTTTCATGAAATTTAGTATGTGCGTAGATTGGGGGGCGAAAAATCGATCTAGCTAGGTTTCATTTTTAGAAAATGCCCTTTTATCCCTGTTTTCAGGGAATAAAAAATATAATTGGAATATGAAGGTAAATTTCGCCGCAAGAGAAAATGTCATAATAGCTCGGTCGGTAATCGCGCGGCCCCAAAACAGACGCCCGTGTTTCGCGTCACGATCATTTACACATTTATTTTTTTACTTTTTTTCGATTCCAGATCATTTGCTTTCTTATTATTAATCTTTTGTTATTTTTAATCTTTTGTCGATTTGTTATTTTTTTTTCCCTTTTTTTTTTAAAGTTCTTTCATTTGTGAAAAACATCAGTTCATATTTTCTTATTATTACGACGGTAAGATCGAAAAACGTTATGCATATTTCATTACTCAGTAATTTGTATCTAAATGTAATTTCCAAAATACCGAGCAAAGCTCGGTCCTCCAGGTACTTATATTTTAAATAGTATAAAAAGACAATAAAAGTAGAAAAAAAAGAATTCATTAACTTTGACTTCGACTTTGAATTCAATCAATCAATCAAATATCTTTGTTCAAATAGACGGTTGCGCGTTCTTATGAATCGTCAAATTTTACATAAAAAATTATACATATATGTACCCGGTACTATATATATATATATTTATATACAGCGTGTCGTTACCACTGCGACAATAAATGAACACACATATAGAGAATAACTTTTTAAAATTGTATTAAACATTTACATTCTTCAAAACAACAAACAAAGCATACTGTTAGAAGGAGAGGCTTGTAAATTTTTTTTTATTATGGATTTTGTTTAACGTTAATATTTTTTTATGATTATTGGCAAGTAGCGTTAGACGTGTGTTCATTTATGGTCGCGATGGTAACGACACGTTGTATATATATATATATATATATACACGCTGTATATATTTGTCCACTTGTTGCAAGTGGCTCAAGATCGTCTTTCGTGGCGGTCTATGGGGGAGGCCTGTGTTCAGCAGTGTTTTAATATTGATCATGATGATGTTCTAACTTTTACGTAGGTCAAGGTCAGGTCATTCAGTAGTACAAGTTTAATCTCAGTTTTCTATTGCATACATTTCAGATATATAAAAGTACTCTTTGATTGCATATTGTGGGTTTATCATTTAAGGAAAATAAATGGGTCCGATTGTTAATTCTAATACAAATATTATCAATTATTTCTAATGCTTACATTAGAAATAATTGATCATATGCATTTTACTGTAATATTGTACATTTTTTCCTTTGGAAAAATACAGCTCAAAAAAATTTATATCATATATATAAATACCGAACCAATGTTAAAGCCAATAACATGTCTTCATATATAATAAATGCATTACATTAATAATTACATCAAATAAACACTGTACAAGTAGTCGCTTATAATACTATTCCATCACTTTTGTTCTAAATAGATTGTGTCCTTTTATTTTGCATCTCAACTCCCCGAGTGTTCAAAAAAGGTTTTTCAGATTGATGATTTTAAGTAGAAAATAGTTATATCTGATTCAGTTAAAATTGAATTATACATTATAATTTTTAACAAAAAAAACCGACCTCAAACCGAAAACTAAAATAAAACAAACATAAACCTATAACATTTGAGGATTGCCCTCGATTTCTCTGGGATGCCTTCATCAGATCTGGGTTTCCTTACATGGTACCACCCTTGGGATATGTCCTTTCTGACAAGAAAAGAATCATTAAAATAGGTTCATAAACGACGAAGTTATCCGCGAACACACATAAAAAAAATAAAAATATATACGGTCGAATAGAGAAACCTCCTCCTTTTTTGAAGTCGGTTAAAATTATGCAAGAAAAGTATACTTTTAAAAGAAGGACACTTTATGATGAGGCATATAATTCACCAGATGTTAAATTACTACAGGGAAGAAATTAATAAGCTGTTACTTACTTTTAAAAAGGGCTTTATTTGAATCAATCACAAATTACACAAAAGCGGTTTGTTGTTGGACATCTGCCCGTGAGTTTGATATTCTTAAACATAATCTGACCTCTGCAAAGTAATTGCTGCCAATATGCCAGTTTTGATAAAGAATAAATTTATGTGAAAAAAATACAACAATTGACTTTGCAACAGCTGATCATAATAGTATAGAATATATTAGAAGAAAGAGTTTTAATTTACAGAGATAAATTAATTAAAATAACTTGGAACACATAAAATACTCGTACATCATAAAACTAAAGCCCACTTGAGTTAACCATTTACACTTTTAACTACACTTAAAAAAATAAGAATATGAGCGTAGACCCAATACTTCGCGCTATTTAAAAAAAAAATAGAATGAATTTTTAACATCAATTATATAAATGCAGATAATACATTTAGTACAGACATCCAAACAGAACACTATATATATTTTAAGAACGATAGAAATATTAAGTACATAATTTAGTGTAAAGTGCAAAAATAAAAATAACTCTTAAGGCACACAAGCAAAATTAAAATAATTATGCGAGTAATTGTATAATATGACTAATTCTAAAATATACATATATATATATATATATGATTATTACAATATGATATTATATAAAGTTATTAGGTAAATATATTTTTATGATCATTTTAAAACATGTACTTATATGCTAATATCAATAATTTGTATGTATTTGTTTGCCTTAACAACTTGTATGTTTAAAGCATTCAAATTATTGAAAATTCAATAATATATATCTTTTATTAGTTATATCACTTCCTCATAGTTAATTTAATCTATTCGAATCACAAGATTACGAGCACTCAATTTGTAACCCCTAGCATGGTAAAGACCGTCTAAGTTTTATCAAGGTTATTAATTTTTAAATGAATGAATCTATGACTATATACTGAGCACAATAATTAAAATATAAGACACTTATTACTTGGAGAGTAACTATATACAGTGTGTAGTTACAACCGCTACAATAAAACACACCCTACTTGCCAATAATCATAAAAAATATAAAACGTTAAAAAAATCCATAAATAAAAAATTAAATTTTTCTAAATTAGTAATTAAATAAAAAGGAAACATAATTTGTAACATCCTATACAACTACAACTGACTGATTCGTACATTCTGACTTTTTCATTTGTTGCCACAACGTCACATTACAAGTCTCTCCTCAACCCATTGTTATGCTTTGTGACCTTTACAAATGAACTTTACGTTACAGTTCAAAAAATTTTTGTTTTGTAAAATTTAATAACTCTGTAAATATTGAGGTTTAAAGAATGTAAATGCTTACTACAATTTTAAAAAGTTATCCTGGGTTGTAACGACACGCTGTATAAGGTTTACAAACGGTTTCTCAAACATTGATCATGTTCAATGGCTTTTCAAATGGAGTTACCAAAAGGATTGTTAATCTCTGAATTGATCATTCTGATCATTAAGAAGATAATTCTGATCAATGTAGAGTTGGTTGCTGGTTAGTTGACTACTACGATGATCAGTTTCAGAAAAATAGATTTCTAATTTTTAATAGATTCGGGCGTTAGAGTAACATGAGATTTGAGGGAAAAGCTTTAGACTACAGAATGAAGAGGATAAGTAAATCGAAAAGTATCCCCAAAAATGTATAAAATAAGTGTTCAACAAATAACCATGTGGTGTAAATAGCATAATAGGTTTTGATTTTAATGGTAGTAAGCCAAGTGATATATGTTCAAGGAAATAAGTAGAGTATGAATGAACACATTTTTCAGCAGTCGGAGAATAAACATTATGAAGCTGCCAAAGTTAGATTTACACTGCATTGTATGAATGCCGTTCAGAGATCATTTTTAGGGTTCCGTACCCAAAGGGTAAAAGAGGTTTTATAGATAATGGTATGGAACCCTTCCTCTGTAAGCCTTACAGAGCGGATGTTGATATCCGCTATTAACTTTGTCCTGATTTAACATTTCGTGATGTTTTTATTGAAATGTAGAACTTATTGGACAGTAAGTTCTGCATTGAGACGCTACTAATCTCCTTATCTCTAAACTTTAACTGTACAGTATATGAAGAAATAAATATACAAAGCAAATAACAAATAATAAATAAAAAAAATCTGCTATATTAAAAAAAATATAATAGAATGAAAAAAAATTTTTTATAAAAGAAATTTAAATAAAGAACAAAACAATCAATAATAAATACTCATTGTACTCAGCGTGCTGGCGATATTTTCACATTCAATTCAAAGCTGTAAACACAGAAAAAAAAACGAAACCTAGCAATCTTCATTCTCCTTATCTCCTACTCAATTCTAGTAAAATTTGTTTTTCATATCATAAGTTAAAGTAACACAAAATTGTGCATCATTTCATTGTTTTCAGAGTGTCTTTTCGGCGTCTAACTCCTAATGGTCAATATTTATATTAATCCCTCGTTATAACACCTGAGGTATCTATCAATTATACATTCCCTTTATATAATTTCACAATATTCCCTCCCATAATATTTTACTTTTAGTGCACAATACTAAAATAAAAACGTGAACTAAGTCATAGTAATTTGTGAACTTCAAATTATGCGTTTTATACAAGCAAGATTTCATGCGAAGATTTCACATTTCTTATATCCGTAATACGGTGTACAAGCAAGATCAGTGGATCAGATCTTTGTTAGGATACCGTTCTGTGACTTGGATTTTTTTTTGTTTTGTGAGCCCTGTTCTAATGGCTGACCACCGCTGTAAAGTTGTCACTACTTTCTGTAGTTTCTATATACAGGCTGTTAAAATAGTCTAAGACTTAATCGTTTGTACACAGGCTGTGCCAACAGTCTCATAATTATTTATTATGTACAGGCTGTTTGGTTAGTCTTAGATGGTAGCTGTTTCCTACAGGATGTTCGGATAGATTTGATTTGTATTACAGATAGTAGCCCATCGAGTGGGCGCGCGCGTTCTTGTAGTAGTCGAAGTATTCGGCTGGCGACCTGGAGTGCTTCTTCACAACCTCGTCCAGCTGCATTTGGTCTCCCCAATCCGCCTGGAAGGTTCAACGTTGAGTAAAGTAACAACCAATTACTGATAAAGGTCTACTCGATATGTCGCCCATTACCAGTGCCGTGTGGTTGACTTCGCATGTCGTGGTAGTTTCTGTTAATTGTAATGTTAAAATTTAAATTTTTATATAGTGCTAATCTCTGCACTTAAGATTAAACGTTAAAATTTGTAGAAACAGTACGAAAAGATTGTCGCCGTTGTGGGAATCGAACCTATGTCTTCGGGATTCCTGTCCAGACGCTGTACCCACTAAGCTAAAGCTAATAGGCACACCGACGAAATTTTCAACGTCCTTTAACTACATTGTTTTTTAGCATTTGAAGCAATGCTTGGCGCATCCATTATTATATCCTTTCCAGCACACAAACAATTTCGAATATCGTTTTACGACGATAATTCGAACGAGAGATGTCGCCATTGTTTTTTCAAGAAATTTTAGCGGCGAGAAACTTTTCGTTCCTTCTTTCAACAAATTTTAATGTTTAATCTTAAGTGCAGAGATTAGCACTATAAAAATAAAAATTTCTAATTATAATGTTATTTTTTTTATTGTAAGAATCAGAGACAAAGAACGAGTGATCTTGTGTCCTTTCATGAATTATTTACAAAAGAAATATATTACAATCTCAATTTATTTTGGATCTAGATTCTATATTGTGGTGTTTCTTATACGAGTATGTCCCGGAAAATCTCTTTTTTATATTTGCCATCTCATTATTCGGCATTAATATAATTGTGGAAATTTAAGAAAATTGCTAGACAAATGTGATATGCCGAGTGTCTCTGCCATTTTGTAAAAAAAAATGGGTGCGTGTTGTTATGTACGCGCGTGAGAAGTTATACTTCTTTGGCATCATTAGTTTTTAATTGCATGCAAATAATTAATTGCAATAAAATAATTAAAAGACTGGAAAAGCATACAGATAATATAAAATTATGGGAGCGCCATTTACATTCTTTATTGAGAGCTGTAACGGGCGAATGTGATTGAGTATATGCTGCCATCTAAAAAAAATAAGCGGTTTAGCGGGCAGCTTCAAAGGTGTGACTTTTGTGTTACAGTGATGCGTGCGCATCTTAAACTCTTTCACTCTCATAATTTTTTCATAACGCGCCTATAGAAGTGTAACTTTCAAAATTTCACTAACACCGTCGAAAATAATTTACGGACATTCGAAATTATTTCTCAAACAGGCTGAAATGATGATGATGATGATACGATGATGAACATAGGCCTCCCCCATAGACTGCCACGAAGTACGATCCTGAGCCACCTGCATCCATCGACTTCCCGCACATTTGCACAGGTCGTCACTCCATCTAGTGGGGGGTCGCCCACACTGCGATGGCCAGTACGAGGCTGCCACTCGAGAACCTTTCTTCCCCAACGGTTATCGGTTCTACATGCTATATGGCCGGCCCATCGCCACTTCAGCTTGGCCTATGTTCTACGACATTTTATTTTAATTAATTAATTTATTTATTTTAAAGATAAACTCACGAAATTCGGGAAGAGGGAACGCTTCTCGTCGAATCGCCTCTCGTTCACGCAACGCAGCAGGTACAGCCGCTCCACCCACGGCCATATCATGTAATCCAACATGCCGGGGCGGTTGCCGCCATAATAGTTCGTACCTGTCAATGTCAAATCTGACGTTTAGAAATTGTTTTTTTTTATTCAATTGCAGTGGGGATCACTTTTTAGTCCGTCCTCTAGTTTAGACTTTTACCCGGGAACGAGAAGAGGTATCAAGTTGAGTTTTATCTCAAACATCAACGTCTGCCGACGGGACACATTGTGTAAGTATGTTATGTCCTGAAAGATTGACAGCTGAAGTTACCTCTCGCTGCCAGCTCCTTCTCGAAGATGTCCAGAGTTTGGATAATCTGATCGCTGCCGTAGGCGAAGTTAGTATCGAAGCACTCCAGGCTGCCCTTGATTAGCTGCAACAAAGGAATCGCGGGTGATTAGAATCGATTTCGCGTAGCTAAAGTATTTGTGGATGTCAGGTTGATTTCTATAGTGAAAGTTGGCGAGCGGCCTGGCGGTTCACCTCATGTTAAGTGATAAATGAATACATTAATGATAACAACCCCTGGGAATGAGATGATCGCTCTTAAGCTGCTTCTAAAAAAATATGACTGTATAACAAAACGATTGTTTGAGGAAAAAAAATGACACAAAAGAGGATACCTAAGGAGTTTCTTTCGCCTGTTTCTTCTCCGCCAGAGGAGCCTCATTACGAAACGGCGGTAGATTAAAAAAAAATGACAATCCATAGATGAAATTTATATTTCTTACTTTGATTGATTTGATTTGAACCGCCGTCCATAGACATTTGACGCACTCACCTCACAAAATGCAAAAGTACAACACTACCACTTCACGCCGGTCTCCTATGAGGTACTTCTCCGAATCGACCTGCTCGTTCAGGCAGCAGAGAACTGTTGCGTAGACCCACCACAGTAGTAGACACACTTCGTGTGAGCAGACGGTTCACCTGATGTTAAGTGAATACCGCCGCTCAAGGACATCTGCTCCACCCGAGATTTCCGGATGCGTTGACAACCTTTTGAAAATTGCGCTCCGGCCACCTCGCTCACCGGACGAAACGCGAAAGTATTATACTTCCAGTTTACGCCGGTCTTCTGTGAGGTCGCGATACTCACCCGGACGAGCCTGCCCATTCGTGCAACAGCCGAGGCGGCTGCGTGGCACTACAGTTAGTTGGATAGATTACAAGATCTTAGATAGTAAATGCACTAGCTCAGTAACAGTCTTGATGACACATTATAATCGGACGGGATAAATGACGCTAGCAAACTGTTCTTTTGCTGACCGGACGAGCCTGCCCATTCGTGCCACAGCGGAGGCGGCTGCGTGGCTGTACTACAGTTAGTTGGATAGATTACAAGATCTTAGATAGTAAATGCACTAGCTCAGTAACAGTCTTGATGACACATTATAATCGGACGGGATAAATGACGCTAGCAAACTGTTCTTTTGCTGACCGGACGAGCCTGCCCATTCGTGCCACAGCGGAGGCGGCTGCGTGGCTGTACTACAGTTAGTTGGATAGATTACAAGATCTTAGATAGTAAATGCACTAGCTCAGTAACAGTCTTGATGACACATTATAATCGGACGGGATAAATGACGCTAGCAAACTGTTCTTTTGCTGACCGGACGAGCCTGCCCATTCGTGCCACAGCCGAGGCGGCTGCGTGGCTGTACTACAGTTAGTTGGATAGATTACAAGATCTTAGATAGTAAATGCACTAGCTCAGTAACAGTCTTGATGACACATTATAATCGGACGGGATAAATGACGCTAGCAAACTGTTCTTTTGCTGACCGGACGAGCCTGCCCATTCGTGCCACAGCCGAGGCTGCTGCTTGGCCCTACCACCGTAGTCTTAAAGCGTCGGTGGCGCAATCACCTCATTGAACCTCTCAATCAGCAGCCTGTCCTGAGCCTTCACGTAGGGCACCCGCGAGTGGAGCGGGTTCCGCGCGTACTTCTCGTCCAGGTAGTCGCATATCACCACGCTCTCGAACAGATACCTGTCGCCCTGGTCCGTCGGGATCTCCAGCACCGGGATCTTCACTGGAACCGCGCGATTTTTTTTTATTTTCATGCAAGAAGACGGCAAGCCAGCTGGCAACACCCATAAGGCAAATGCGTTGCCACCTTTCAACAAAGCGGGCCTCTACGTCACGACGGTCTTATTTTCATGTAAGAAAGTCTTCTGTGAGGTCGTGGTACTTACACGGACTGACCTGCCCATTCATGCAACAGTGAACAATATTGCGTGGCCCTACGATAGTCAAAACATTGTATTTTTTTTAAATACATTGTACATAGTGTGACAGACATAAATTTCACGTAGACAATCACCAATATCCGAAGCAATTATCGAATGGTCACGCAAATCGTCGTCCCGTGTGGAAATCGAACTCACGCCTCGGCATCGAAGCCAATAGCATTTAGCGACTGCACCACGGAGTCAAAAGATCAAACAATTAACCACTGTCAGGGGTAAAAGAGAGGAAGTAGGTATTTTATTAGAAAAGTAAACCCTTGTCCTCTACGTATGCAGTGTCCGTCTGTAATTTAAAATGCATGTTGTTTTTACCCGAGTTTATATTAATAGTTTATGCTATTTATAAAAACAAGTAATTTTATAGCTAGGGACAGACGGACCTTATTAAATGAATATATAAATAAATAAACACTTTCGCGCAGTAATATCTTAAGTCTGTCTGTCCTGTCGTCCTTGTAAGTTAACAACGAACCAACATCAACAAAATCGGTTGCGACCTCCGCTTCTGTCCAGAACATTGCGTCAACAGTCAAAGGTTAAACGTGATTCGGCCAAACTCACGTCTCGGGTTCTTCTCCTTGAACCATTCCGGTAAGTGCAGCGGGTCCAGTCGGTGCACCTCGTACTTGGCCCTCTTCGCCTCCAGTATCAGCAGCACCCTGTGCCCGTACGGGTTCATGTCCACGTGGTACAGCCGCAGCTGGTCTACCAGCGGCGCGGGGGCCGTCATGCCTGCAAATGCAGAATGGGAAGTGTCATTTTTTTAATTTTTTTATGTGAAAGGTCGCCAAACGAACAGACGGTTCACCTGATGTTAAGTGAATACCGCCGCCCATGGACATCTGCTACACCCGAGGGTTTGCAGATGCGTTCACAACCTTTTTGGTAATTGGGCTCCGGCCACCTCACTCACCAGACGAAACGCGAAAGTACCCGGACGAGTCTGAACATTCGTGCAACAGCCGAAGCTGCTGCGTGGCTCTTACGGTGGTAGAGTATCATCATCCTCCTGCCCTCATCCCACCTAAATTACACAGCGGACCATGCCAATTTGACTGAAAGCTTTGAAATTCAGTGCCGTTAAAAATCAGTTAAAAGTTGACTTTCCCCTGCCCTTATCCCACCAAAAGGGACGCCGCACCAAATACATTTCGAGAGCAACGCCATTTTGACTAAAAACTATCGAAATCAGAGCCGTTAAAAGTTGACTTATTTCTTTGCCGGCTCGGGTAAAGTAACACTCCTTCGTTCTCGTGTTAACAACGTGTTAACGGCTAGTTTTTTTTACAACCGGCCGCCTGCCTGACGTCAACCCCTCGTGGGACCGAGCACCTAGATCAGTTATCGGAAATTTAAACTTTTATAGTGCTAATCTCTGCACTTCATATTAAACGTTAAAATTTTGTAGAAAAAAGTAACGAAAAGTCACACACACCAAACATAAGTCACTAAATAGTATAAAACAAAGTCGTCCCGCTGTCTGTCTGTGCCTATGTATGCTTAGATCTTTAAAACTACTAGATAGAGTGATACAAGAGGAAGGTTTAGATATATATAATACATGCGAAATATAGCAGAGAAACATAGTACAGTATATTTTTTGGATGCTGAAATTGTTTGAATGCTGGAAAAGATTATAACAATGGATGCGCCAAGATGCTAAAAAAAATAATGTAGATAAAAACTACGTTGAGAATTTTGTCGGTGTGTTCATCAGCCGTTAAGTTTAGTGGCTAGAACGTCAGAGTGCGAATCCCGAAGACGTGGTTGCGACTCCCACAGCGGCAAGGAACTTTTCGTTCCTTTTTTCAATAAATTATAAGTAACATGTAGAAAAAAGTACGACAATATTTTCGTACTTTTTTCTACATGTTTTAATGTTCAATTTTAAGTGCAGAGATTATCACTATAAAAACTTTAAAATTTAAATTATAAGTTATCTGTGGGTAACACAAATACTCGGCCCGTGTGGGAACCGAACCCACGATATGTGGCGTCGAAGTAATTACTTAGCAACTACGCCACCGAGTCAACAGAAAGTGATAAAAGGGAAAGTTAAGAAAATCTTAGTGGTCAAAGATTTTCTCAGTGGTGTCACTTTCTTAGTGGTCAAATAAATAAATTAGTGGGGAAGCTCACAATGTGGTATGATTGCTGATTTTAATAAATTAAATTTATGTGTATATTTTTTAATATTTATTTTTTAATTCAATAAAACCTATAAAAGTAGAAATAAGTTTTCAGTACTTAATAAAGCTTTACGACGTTTAATTTTATCGCTGTTTTAAAAAAAATGCTTTGTAAAAATACATTTTATTGATTACATTCTGATGTATCTTTTTGATTTTTTTTCAAATGATCGGCACTGTTTTATATATTTTAATAAAAACCGATTTTAGTTGATAAAAATATAAGTTTCATTGCACGTCGTTTTTTTAATTCATCATGTACACTTAATTACCAATCTGAATATTTTTTATTTTAAATTAGTGATTATGCGACTATTGTTTCTAAAACACAAAAAAAATGAAAGCAGCGATGGGTGCTTACCGAGTATTAGCTGTCAATGTCAAAACATTTTTACATGCATTTAGGTCACGGTCGCAAACATAGAGGCCGAACGGAGACACACAAACAAAAGAGTTCATAGATAACCAATTGAACCTTTCAAGGGGTGAAATCAGTTTGAATGCCTTATATTTCATCTGTCAATGGTTTCTCAGTCTTCATCGATCAAAGATCTCTTGAAAAATCTACTGTTTCCGCTTGTGCAAGCTAACCCAAGACATAATTTCATTTTATATTAATTATTTTTTTAATGTTGTAATTTAATCTAATGCTTAAGTTCAGCTTTCAGTACGTATACGAGTACGTCGAAATCCAACAAAACGTTTTGGCCCCAGCTCGTGTCTGATCCCAGAGATGAGAACAGCATTCCGTGCATACATGCTGACAGGACAGACAAAATAGCCGTGGGGTTACAGCCTTCGAAAGGCAAAAAAAAAGGTTTAACTTTTAAACAGTTTAAGCACGCTGCAACAGTAGATGAGCCTGCCCTCATTCGGGGTAGTTCCATAGCCCCACAGAATACCGACGTGAAAAGGAAGTATTATACTTGCCCCAGGGGCGGCGGTAAACACTTACCGGTTGAGCTGCCTGCTCGCTTGCAAAGCTTCCATTAGCACCCTAATCTGTGTGTCCGTGGTTTCTCTTAAGACATACCACAGCACAGTGACGGATTTGCCCTAAGGCCCAATAGACCCGGGCCTAGGGCGGCCACATATTAGGGGCGGCCATTCGTGACAAAAGATTCACTGAAAGGATCCGCTGGAACTTACTACATGGGCCAGGGCCTAGGGCGGCCAAGACTACAAATCCGCCACAGTAGAAATAGGTGCGTGGCTGTATAAAAGCGCAGCGTTAGCTCCGACATTATTGCTCGATTTATCATCGGGTCGTTGTTTCGATTCCCCACGGTACAAGTGTTTTCAAGAGTATTAGCGGCAGCCTTTCTAATATCAACCCTAATGACACATTAGGGTTGATATTAGACAGGCAATACCACTAACATGCTATATGGTACGCTGACCCCACCGGCACCATGAATTGTACTCAAGCCGCTCGATTATTTTGAATTAACCGAGGACCCGCCTCGACACTGAGCTATCACGAATCCATTTTAAATGAAACTTTACAGAACAAACAAATAAATAAATACAAAAGTTTAACTTCGTAAGAGAAGACACGGTGGGGCACCGATAATTTGGGCCGTGTTTCATTTTATTATTTAATATACACTTTCTTAATATAAAATTTTTAACAACGTGAACGGATCTACTCAGCACCAAATTACTTGTTACGTATCTAACGCCCGGTTTCTGAAAGCCCGGTTGCATCAAGGATGTTTAAACTCTTTGAATTGATTCTGATCATTAAGAAGATCATTCTGGTCAACTCAGAGAGTTCAACCATGCTTTTGGCAACTAAAATGAAATTTGAAGAGCCATTTGACAGCTGATTAGTTGACGTCTGCAATGATCAGTGTTTCAGAAACCGGGCGTTAGACTGTTTGTTTAAACAGATCTTGAATTAAAAACGAAAACAATAGAATACATATATCAATTATTACATTGGCATTGACAATAAACATTCATTATCACACGGCACCTTAATTTTTTTAATCGTTAATTGTCAAATAAGCTATTTCCCTGTTTCCACTTAATTATCATTATCATTAAAAAGGCCAACAGCTCGTTGTGAAAAATGTTAATTAGCACTGTGCAACTGCACCGTTGCTTCATTACATTTCAATGTATGGAATAGGATTCCATATTAAAAAAAAATTTAAACGAATTCATTTTGAACTAATTGTGTTAAGGGCAATATTGACATACTGCAGACATTCTTTCGGTAATTTGAACCAAAATTTTTTTTTTAATAATTTTGTCGTCATTATTTTATTCATCGAATAAAAATATTTACGGAATTTATCCGCGAAAGCATACCCTTTATTTCTCACTAGCAAAATTCTATTTAAATATATTGCGCCGTTTTCTATATAAAAATATATACATGTATAAGCAGTTCATTATCTGGATTTCATAAGTATTAGCGAGGAATAAATAGGCGTACAGACTACGTGATGCAACTGTAAACAATTGCTACAAGACAAGGCTGTTACTTATAGCGCAATGGTCGACTATAAACTATAAATGATTTCAAGCAAAAAAAAAAAAAAATGGAAAAGCGCGATTATATTGTTTCTCTGTATAGATGTTATATTTTGCTGTCATCCTGACAAATATAACCTATTAAAGAATTAGGTAGGCTCCTTCAATCATGATTTTACAACTCAGGGAGATGGTACTTGGTATTTGGACCTAATAAAGAAATTATTGAATCTACATCATGTGACATACTTAGATATAAAAAATTAATGTAATCCTTATAAAGTAATGTTTTTAACCTCTTACGTACGTCTTTTTTAACAAATTGAGAGATGTTATATTATATATTACACATTTCGGAAGCGATTTCGGAATACGATCTGAGCCATATAATTCGTAATATCGCATAATGCAAATAAAAAAGTGGGCCAGCAGACTATAAGCAAACTCTGGCGTGTTTACAGATGAAACAAACAAGAAGAAGCACTTTTTTTGTAGGTCACACTGCGAAATAGTAAATAGGGTGACCATTAGAGTAAAATAAAAAATGGATAAGTGATGATGCAAAATTATAAAGTTATGGCAGCTTATTGAAACCGACCTTGACTATCATTATAATGTAATGAGAAAAATCAAATTATTAATTAACCGTTCAAACCCCTAGCATGCAAGGTTCCTAAATCAAATGTATCGATAACTGAGAAATTGTTACAAATATATTCACGGCCGTAGCTAGGGGGGGGCATTGTAGGGCAATGCCCTACCTTAAAATCACAATGCCCTACCTTAAAAATACCAAAATAAAAAATGCGTAAATATGACCACGTTTTTCAATTTCGTACACGTCTCAAGTGATTTCCCATCCTACTTCGCCGGAATTTGTATATTCTTTCTATGTTGTACCTACTGTGTTCTATTTCATGTTTCTACTCCACTTTATTTAAAGGAGAAATTTGAATTTGTAGGGCTTCTAGGGGAAGATCCTACCTTCTTCGAGGAAGCTCATTTTAAAGGTGCCAAACCACAAAACATAATTTTTTGAAAAATCTTTTACCGTACAGGCTGTTAAACTCTACTACCGCATTATATACTATACTATTGCACAACCTACGTAGGAAAGTTCCATTACGTCATTGGTTGCCTGGAAGAGATCGCTATGAAGTGATACGGCCGCCAAATTGCGAATTCCATTAATTTGTTTGTCTATTGTTAATTTTGTGTATCCTCTTTTGTGTGGTGGACAATAAAGTATTCATTCATTTATTCATTCAAAAACTAAGATACATTATTGTAATAAAAATTGTAGTAGTTTGTCAAAATCAAAATAATTTATTTATGGACTTAGGAAACATACATTTCATCTATCGATAGTATTTTTTTAATTTATCACCGTTTAATCATGAGGTTCCTCTAACGGAGAAGAAACAGGCAAAAGAAACTATGCAGGTATCCTCTTATTCGTAATTTCTTTCTTAAAAAATTAAAATATGATACAACTTTTTTTTTTCTTTCTTTTAGAAATAACTTGGGTGCGTTCAACTCATTACCAGTGTGTGACAATCATTTCGTATTCTAATAATTGTTTGTTCTGTGTACTCGTATAAAAAACTACCTGGAGGACCGAGCTTTGCTCGTTTTTTTTTGATAAATAATGTATTTTGGAAATAAAAAAAAAATAAAGAAAGCAATGATCAGGTATAGAAAAAAAAGTAAAAAAAAATAAGTGTGTGATCGTGATACGAACCGCGGCCGTCTGTTTTGGGGCCGACCGACCTATTATGACATTTTTTTTGCGGCGAAATTTACCGTCATATTCGAATGATATTTTTCATTCCCTGAAAACAGGGATAAAAGGACATTTTCTCAAAATGAAACAGCTAGATCGATGCTTCGCCACCTGGAGCCGTTTCCGAGATTCCGATTATATATATATACAGCGTGCGTTACCATCGCGACAATAAATGAACACACGTCTAACGCTACTTGCCAATAATCATAAAAAAATATTAACGTTAAACAAAATCCATAATTAAAAAAAAAATATTTTTCGGACAAACTAATTAAGTAAAACAGAAACAAAATTTGTAACATCCTATACAACTCACGCCACAGCGTCGTATTACAAGCCTTCTAACAGTATGTTTTGTCTCTTTTAAATTCATTCAACCCATTCATATGCTTTGTGACCTTTACAAATGAACTTTACGTTACGCTTTTATAGGTAAGGGTGTTCTAAAATTCTTTGTTTTGGAAAATTTTATAAAGAATTTAAATGTTTAATACGACTTTAAATATTAAATATCTAAAATATATAAAAATTATCCCCTATATGTGTCTTCATTTATTGTCGCGATGGTAACGACACGCTGTATATATACGTACAATGGAAAATACATTGCAAGTGTTGTACAGGCAACGAGAGGCGTTTAAAGATACATATGAACTTTTTGCATCTGTGGCGACCATAGGATGTAGCACTGCAGTGTGCGAATCAAAGGCTGTCAATGGGTCACGAGAGAATGGCTGGTATGGTATTACTGGCCTTTGGAAAAAAAGGACAAAATCAGTTGATCTGAACGAAGTTCTTCGCATTTTTAAAAACATGGCGAATCGAAGAATTCAGCTGTTTTAAATATTTTTATTATTATGTTACTTATTATAATAGGTCTGCAGAAACAATTTGATATAAGTGGTATTTTTGGTCGTATCATCTCATCCAAAAATTAATTATTACCTCACTCTCACTCAGAGGTGGATCTCTACATCCAAAGCTGGAAGTTCAACCATCTTGTTCGCTTATTCTTCATCATTAAGGATTTAATAGTGCTTATAGCCATGCTCATGTTCTGTCACAGAAATTATTTGTCTACGAATAGCTATTGAACTGACCTAGAGGTCAGTGATATACATGATGATTGATTTAGGAGCTCATGCTAGTTGGGGCAAATATTCCTTTATGGCCAACCGCTCCTCTGGGAGAAAAAGGTCAAATACTTAGGAGTCACTTTCGACTCGCGTATGTCATTTAATACGCACATTGATAACGTTCGCAATAGAGCCGCGTTCTTCTCCGGCCGGCTACACAATTTAACTAACGCTAAAAGTAAAATGCCCTTAAGGCACAAATTATTAGTATATAAGAACTGCGTACGATCTATTATGTCCTACGCATGCGTGACTTTCGCCCACACGCACCCTACTCGCTTGTACAAGTTGCAAATAGTACAGAATAAGTTCATCCGCCGCGCAACCGGTGCGCAGTGGTATCAACGCAACGTCGACCTTCACAGCGATTGCAGACTCCCGAGGATTCGCGAATATTTGAAAGACCTGACCAAATGGTTCTTCGATAGAGCCGAACATCAACCCAACCCTCTGGTGGTAAGCGCAGCAAATTACCAACCCGACAAAAGCGCGAACGTCAACAACCGTCACCCGCGAAACGTCCTCATCGACCCGAGCGACGAAGAGGACTTAGAAACGATGGACCCACCGCCGGGGGTCCCGCCGGATAACACTACACCCACAGTTAGTGCAACAACAAACACACTAGTTCGCCCTCGCCTCCGAGCACGGCGAGACCAACACAACGCGTACACAAGGTACACTCGCGTTCCGGGGCGATTCTCACCGCTCCCAGCCACCGATTAGCTATTCGCACAGTCGACGGCCATCGGAGTTTCGGTCCGAACCGCGATCTCGATGGCCCTTAGATGACACACCGTACTTAAACGCACGCATGAGCACATGCGTGGCCCTACCCACAGCGGAGGGCCCAAACCCGTGGGTTCTGACTAGCCCACCGATTCTGCGTCAGATGAAGCTTTAATAGTCTCGGGACTGAAAGCAAAAACATCAGTTATACAAAATACAAGAAGGAGCTCACGCTTCGACGGCAAATCAATTATGATAAATTTATTATTTACTTTAGCCCTACCTGTAATCAATGCTGCCCTACCTCAAATTCAACTCTAGCTACAGCCCTGAATATATTTCCTTGGTACGCGAAGATCGGTCTAATATTAAAGCAGCCCTCCGCAGCAATATAAATATTCCATTAATTCCCGCCAGGAAGAAAATAACATATAACATATTGTTAATATTTTAAAATTTCCGTGAATTTACTCGAATTTTTTTATACCACGTGTGACATAAACTTACTTGAGCATTTTGCCAACAACACGGTAGGAATGGCAATTTTGCATAATTTCAAAACTGGCAATGTATAAATATTTACATAGAAATGACAAAAAATGCACTTGTCCACTAAAAAACAAAATTTTGGCTAACCAAATTGTGAGTAAAGGCAAAACCGTCGCGGTTAGTGATTTACGGTGTCATCTAATTATAAACGCACAATATTAGTTAAAATTTTACTGCATATCACGACGTGCTACGAAAGCAGTTTTGAATTTAAACAAGTGTCTGATTTTTTAGTACACAGTATAATATACAGTTAAAACAAATTATATTTGTGAAAATTCTACGGTGCAAATATTCCAGATTTTCTACACTAACTTAATTGCCACAGTATTCAATATGATTATAAATAAATTAATTTAATATTTCTATCAAAAACAATATTTCCTATAAATATTATAAATGTGTAAAAATTACGTCAATGAAACTAAATATTTCCGTATGTGGTTATTACTTAAATAGAAAATAAATTTTAAATTTTTAAAATAAAATTTTAAATAATTCCAAGAAAAACAAATTTCCAGAAGCACTAAGAAATGTTAATCAAAATAACGATAAATAATAAATTCCCATTTTGACCATTATATTCTAATGTTAAACAACGTTCGTCCAGGTTATGAGTTATTTAATTTGAGATTCATTGCCTTTGAAACATCGAAGAAAACAGATAAATAAATAGCAATAAAAATGTTTTGACATAATTAATCGATGAAAATCAATACAAATTTAAACCTGTACATTGTATCGAAGTCAGATTGCAAAATTGCAATAAATAACAAGTGCATACACCAAACGTCAAGTACCTGGTCAATGACGTCACACACGTAAACAGCTGTTTTACAATTCTCAATTTTCCCTTATTTTAGTTAGATAAGTGAAATAATATGTTTTGTTAAAATCACATTTTTAAACGAAACACAACTAAGTATATTGAAAACGATTCCTATCGTTTTCTCATAATAGAAGTCGGTCAAAAAATAATCAATAGTTTTAAGAAATCACGGTGAGACTTCGTCGATAAAATTGATAAAAAAAAGGTAAATATTTAATATAATAAACGCAAAGACCGATGCGATAACTTTACAATTTGTTTGACATCAACATAAAGGCTTAAAAAAATAGATGCAACGCTGCTTTTTTGATGCTCACCGACGGTCCTGTGTTGGTAATAAGACATGTTCCCGTGTGGTTTTCTTTCACTTTTATCACTGATAACTGTAAATTGAATATTTTCACTCCAGCACCGATATCAAGTCCGCGACACGGCGTGGAAATAGGTGGAATACTACGTCACTTTTAAAATAAGCTTAATATGACATCATTGTCGACCCGAATGTCGGCAATACGGCTAAATTGAAAACAGATTAACATAGTATCATAAATTCCTTTGTAAAGTCTCTTTAAATTGGCAGCGTTCAAGTTGTAAGGACGTACGGTTTGCTGCTTGGCTGCTTTATTTAAATTTACCTACATTTTTATAAATGCTTAACGGTAACTTGATTATTTAACTAGTAAATAGTTATGAAGTACAAATAATTAGTAAATTACATGTTTTAAGCAACGACACTAATGTTTCGGCAGTAGTTAGGTTTTTATATTTATTGTGTTTGGAATCAAAATGTGTATGTATACAATTGCACATACATATATGCCAATTTCTGGAAATTGTAATCAAAATCTTACAGATTTATAGATTACCTAAATAAAATGTTTACAAAAATGAACATTTGCATATATGTATGTGAAAATATTTAAGGTGTAATATACAGTGGCGGATGCCGCCAATAGGCTGTTCAGTTTTTGCCGCCCCTACTGACCTCTGAAATTAGATACCCTAGTTCGCAATCATATTAATTAATTATTCTGTCAATAAAATTGCTACTTTACGATTTGCTGTGTCGTCCTCAATACATCAGTTTTTCAGGGTTCCGTACCCAAAAGGTAAAACGGGACCCTATAACTAAGACTATCTGTCTGTCCGTCTGTCACCAGTCTGTATCTCAAGTTATATTATCAATATTTCTGTTGATGCTATAACAAAAAATAATAAAAAAAAAATTAAGGAAAAATAAAACAATAAAGGAATAAATATATATTTAAGTAGGGCTCCCATACAACAGACATGATTTTTTTTGCCGTTTTTATAGATAATGGTATGGAACCCATAGTGCGCGACTCCGACTCGCACATTGCCGTTTCTTGTTATTAGCATGATTTTGAACTAGGGTTTCGTTGTGTCAGTTTCTGGATTATTTTACAACCCACTATTTAGTGAAGATTACACGAAAAATCAAGTTTTAGGCATATTTCTGAGATGAAAAAAGCTCAATTATTCTAATTATAAAACGAAAAAAATGTATGTTTTAAAATACTTATAAAAATACTTAAAATGTTTCTGTAAGACAAAAATTTGCTAAATCCGCCACATACACTAAAAATGTTACATTATTCCTCCATTTGAATTGTTTATTGTTTTACGTTATAGGATTAAGTGTGTTATCGAGACTAACTAAAATTACCGGCTCCCGTTTGTAGCTGGACTTGAGAGGTTCAATGTATATTGGGATTAGAAAATGACTCATAAAGCGGTAAAGCTTTTGCTGAAAAGGTTCAGTTACAAATTGACGTGATCTGTGGTCTCTTCTCGCTCTCCTGCAATCTGTGGGAGAGGCTTCGAGAAATCATAAAATGGACGGAAATGAGTAACAGGAAGCCAGGGAATCGCGCTGTGTGATTAGACCTATTAGCGAGGGCGTTGATAGATTTGTCCGTCATATGGTACCAAACCAGAGATGTTGGTACTGTCAACCTGTCAGCTGTGCCCTTAACCTACAGTGCTGTGCATATAAAGTTATACATATAAATTGATGTATATGTATAAACTATATTTATTTATTGTTGATAATAAGTGCCTGATAAAACTGCAATCATCTTTAAAAACACAAGAGCTGCTGCTCTAACGTTCGCTCCTATTTTTATAGATTGTTTTGTTTTTTTCTAAGGAATGATTGGCTTAAAGGTCTTGTTACCAGGCCTTACAACACTTAAATAAAAAAAAAGGAATGATAACTGAACAAGTGGTTCAAATAGAGATAAGTGCCTGCTAGCACTCATGAACTAGCACAAACTTACAACAGACACGTTCAACAGGTCCACGCTTGCGTACGAAATACGTAAAATTAATAATTAAAAAATCATATATATGTCAAATAATAAAAAATGAGCTTAAATTGTTTGTTCCGAAGTTAATTTAATGCAATTTACGATCTGTCTTGATTTAAAATGTAATTGTTACACCCCGAATGCCCCAAAAAATAATACTTTATTTAGAAATTAGCAACATTTATTACTAATGTCATTTTATCTGTCAAAAATCGTGTAAAAGTCAATGGTGTTTTTTTAAAACAGCATTGAGGTTGAGGTTGAAGAAAGCTGATGTAAGCCTCCTTTATATTATCTATGGTTAAAACTTACCAATTTGTCGATGGTTTTATACCTCTCTCTCATTCACCAGCATCCTCTTCTAATTGGATGCCTGTCACCAGGGTGGGATTTTGTACTATGCCCTAATAATAGTATTCGTATTATAATTTCATGCTTCATACTATATACTATCCATATCTAAGGAAAGTATGGAAATGTACTATAATTACGTAATTTACTTAAATGACCAATATAAATGCCAAACCAACATTAGAAAAGGTTTATTTGGTTGTAACCATGTAATGTTTTAAACAATATAAAGTGGATATTACCACGTGTCTTTGTCAATTATTACCATGAATTTTAAATAATCTTTATCGAAGAACTCATAACGGTAAGGCCCCGTTATGAGTCAAAATTTTTGAAGAGTAACTTTGCATATTGCACTAAGAGGTAGTTTATAGAGTTCATTGATGTCTAATAGTACGATTAATTTATTATTTCCTAAACTAAGATAAGAAATAAACATATTACATAGACACCATTTTATTGTGTTGTGACGCCATCAAAGATGGAAAAAAAGAGGGATTTCTACTGATTTTGTTCCATTTTTTTCTAGTTTGTGAATAAGAGAAAAAAATTAAATTCTAAGCATGAAACTAATACTGAAGAATTCATAAACTTGGAAGAGGAGTAAATTAATGCCTGTTAAAAACAAAGTTATATAGTGTACTATATTTTTTTTACAAATCCTTTTCAATTTTTTGTACTATCTTTTTCATCATACCTAAAGCTCACCCTGCCTGTCTCGGAGCTGTCAATGTTTGAATGTCATAATTGTCATAGTGAACAGTCTGGCGAAACTAGGAACAAAAAAATGTTTCTATGGACTTTACGCGGCAAATAATGGCGGACATTGCTATCACTCTCCCTCAATGCGATTTCTCTTTCTTGCAATACAAGAAGTGCCATGTTGTTTGTCAAAACTTAATTTTGCACCGCGTATTTTGAATGTAAATGCTTATTTCATTGTAAATTTAAATTGTTTAGAGTAAACTTTCTCACGAAAACTAGTGACAGGTGATCAGAGTTGTACTTTTAATTCAAAATGCCAAAAAGACGGTTTATTACGTTTGAAATTGCTGAAAATCGAGCAAGTCAATCGAACCTTGAAAAAAGGATGTTTATGGCGAGATTTCCCTTAGACGAAGCCCATGTAAGCACTTAAATATGATACTTTGCAGCCATATGTAAGTAGAGCAGGCTAAGAACAAATAAAATTAACAAATTAATCTTATTTAAATTGTGTGCTAGTGATGTGCTGCAACTGTAATATCCACATATCGATAACTACGTTTATGTTTATCATTGAAAAAAAGTAAGAAATAAAATGTTGCGTGAAAGAGTAGGGACATAAAGTTTTACATATTTGAATGGTGTGCCTACATAAATGATCAAGGATCGGAATAGGTGAATTTTGCAGGATTTTGAAACAATCTCTGTAATATTGATACGTCATATAATTAATTTCGTGCGCTGAGTATGCAAGAAAACTAAAATAACTTTTGGATTTTGATTCTATTATTATGTTTCAATTATTTCCAGACTCGTGTACAGCAGGACAACAGCTGTTGACTGAAGAATCAAGAGACAATAAATAAATTTCATTTCAGTAATAAAATTTTATTTGAATTATCAGAAACCGTTTTTTATCTTATTTCGGGTGCGCATTTAAGTTTTATTAGTACCAAATATCCCCTCATCAACATTGGACATAAATACGGACTCGATACTTACCTAAAATTAATAAAAAAAATAATAAGTGGAAACCTCGCTTTCTACCTAGTATGTTTTATCGATATCGATAAGAAGCTAAGCTAGCTTGGTTAAGCACTATTTGTCTCGTTACGTTGGTACTCCTGTTGTTTGACATCCTTGTGGTATTTTTGTGATATGGTTGGTATTGGAGTGCCGCGTAAACTGATATTTTTGGCTACTACGGAAGTCCCGTCTCTTAAACGTAGTGATTACATTCTCTTTGATAGTGTATTTAAATTTTGCCGGTGAAACAGCAAAAATATTTTTGCTTGTCTAACGTTAGAAAAAGTGTTGAAATACAAAAAATTATTGTATTAAACTAGTACACAGCGTTTAATAGTGTTTTATGTTGAATCCGGACGAAATTGTGCGGGTAAGTAACGGAGGTGAACAAAGTTCGAATGTTGCTGCTTCGGATGGAGATCAGCGCTCGATAAACATTCAACTGAGTCCTCGTCATCATCTTCATCTTCTTCATCCTCGGAAGATGAGGAAGTAGTTTCACCTCCACCCAACAAGACGAAAAGTTTCGTATAGTACAAACAAGTTCAGACATGTTCGGACCCATGTGTAGAGACTTATTTATCAAGTGGGGTTTACTTAACTACCTTTTCTACTGACTAATTCTATTCAACCAGGACAACTGCTTGAACAACGAGAGAGATCCTACTCCATCTACAGGATTGTTTAAAAAAAGACCCACAACTTCATTTTGTAAACTCTCTTTAGGTAACCTGGTTATGTAACCAATAATTAATAATTTGACGAGAAAACAATTATTCAACATGCAGACAAAGAAAAATTAAAAGAATTAGCTAGTTTTAAAAAAATTTGATACCTCTTCTTGAAAGGGCATTCGGTACAAAAAAGCTTTACAGTACTCCATTGCCAGCCTAGGTTTTGTAGGAAGTCAAGAATACCTGTTTAGCCGAGGGCTTTACATTCTATAATATCTTTAGGCGGACCACATGTTCGGCTTAATAGTCCAGGTTACATTACGTAGAAAAAAAGCTTTGAGCACATCTCATGTTCAAAACAAAAGACATCATTGACCGTACAAAACTCAGAACAAAGACTATAAAACAGAAAAGAAACATAACCTAAAATTTAAAAAGAATCAGCCCTTTCATAAAAATTACACAAGAAATAATATACCCCCCAATACCAATAATAAATACATCTGACAATGAATTGAAATGTTTCAGGGAGGGTTATCTAAAGGATCATGCCCATTTATGGCAACAACAGGGAGCAAACAATTATATTTTGAAATTAATAACACATGCCCCTATTCTATTTGTAAAGAAACCTCCCCTTCTTTAACTAAACAAACGTGTTGAGAAAATTCACAACCCAGACATCAAAAGATACAACAGACATGATCTTACATTTAAAACAAAAGAAAATATTAGTGACACCGACAATCCTCAAGCCATGGTTTCTATGTCAAATGTTCCTAGTAAAAAATTAGACAGTGCGCTAAGCCCTATCTTTGCCCTCCGAGGTCTCAACTCTTATGTGTTAGTGAAACATTTTCAATTAATTTCATAAACAGATGTAGCAAATTTCTTGCAGGCAAACAATTGGTTGGCGAAAACAAGTAGAAATATTATGGAAAGCTCGACGAAACTGGGTAAAATTTCCTTCCAAAAATTTTTACATTTCCAAAGAATAAGAAATCATAATAATCTTGCGTATTGAGGTATTACTCTTCTTTAATCTTCAAATATTTCAGTTGTTCAAATGGTTTTCTTGCAATTTTTCCAGGTAATTGCCCTGTGGTATATTAATTTATATATTTGCACAAGATACAAAATGTTCTTGATAGAGTTCAAACCAAGTAATTCCTTGCATATTAATATTAGTTATTATTCATGATTTGAAAGCTGCGTCAAATAACAAAGGGCTTGGGAAATATTTCTAAATCCATGACAAATGACTACAAAAAAGTTTTCTAAGGGGGATTAAAAAGTTTCACCCAGATATAATTAATATGACAGTCCTTAAATAATTTACTGCTTCAAATATATACCATGTCAAGATTATGCATTCATTATTGTCTGTATATAACTATCTTTTTGTACACACCACATACGTTTATTTAATGCGAAAGGTCTTGTACAAAACTTTCAATTTTCAAACCTAACATTTTATTTACCCGATTGGCGCAGTGGGTAGTGCACCTGCCTCCGGCGCCAGAGGGTGTGGGTTCGATCCCCACTACTGGAAAAATATTGTGTGATGAATAGAATGTTTTTCTAGAGTCTGGGTGTTTATATGTTTATGTATAATATGTATTTAATTATAAAAGAAAAGTATGTTTAAGTGTGTTTATCAGTTATCTAGTACTCATATTACAAGTCTTAGTTGTTTTAGTTAGTTTGGTACTAGAGAGTGTAGTGTAAAAATGTGTCTGAAATATTTATTTATTTACTTAAATAATCAAAGAATCCATCAAAAAACAAAGTGTCTGCAGTTTCTTTACATTCATCAGGTATAGTTAATTTGTCTGTAAAAATATAATTTATAATTATTTCAGCACACAAGGTCTTCATTGTCACACCATGTTTGTTTGTAGGCTATCTAAATCGAAGGGAAGACTACAAAAGATCTTCTATGTCACAGTGGTCATTTAGACTTACTACTCAAGCCCTCCCACACAAATTTTAATCATAATTAGTAGAGAATTACAAGTTTTATATTATTTATTATATTACTGTTAGATATGGAGCCGTGATAGCTCAGTGTCCGGGCGCTCGAGCAACCTGAGTTCGATCCCCGGCGCCGGCACCTATGAAGTTTTTAACTTCAAGTGCTGACTTATCACGTGCTCCGCGGTGAAGGAAAACATCGTGAGGAAACCTGCATATTTTCGAAATAATAACAAAAAAAATCGAAGATATGTGAAGTCCGCCAATCCGCAGTGAGGCCGCGTGGTGGACTATGCCCTGATACCCTCTGTATAGAGGCCTTTGCCCAGCAGTGGGACATGTATAGGCTGTTACTTTACTTCTTTATTTTTGTTTGAAGTACCAGAAGTGGGAGTGATTTATTATTGTTAATCTCAAAGGCGTGAGCTGTGATAACACAGTTCGTATTATTATATCAGGTGCGGGCGTTCTTTATTTTTTATAATTTTTCTTTTTGTCCGTTCAGTAAAGCGATTATGCGTGTCCAGCTTCTCTTTTAGACTTGTGGGGGCATTATCCTCTCTTTATTTTATCATTTTTTTCCGTTCAGTAAAGAGTTATTTGCATGTCCAGCTTCTGTTTTAGCCTGTCGGGCCAGACAACGCCTGCGATCCACTCGAGGTATCCGATGTAGGTCGCGTTGGTGTAGGATGCCGGTTCACCCACGCCGCACCTGGCGCCCCACGACACCACCCCCACCACCACGCTGGAGCATGGCAAATCCTTGATTCTGGCCATCAGCGGGCCCCCACTGTCCCCCTGTGAAGCAATGTTGTTTAATAATATAGACGACGCATGTCAATACTGTTCGCCGTTTAATAAAATCGGCCAAGTGCGCGAGTCCGAATGGTTCCGTACCATTAGATAATGGTACCTTTTTTGCCGCTTTTATAGCTATACGGAAGTATATATAATATATAAAGTGGCCGGTAGATAAGTGGTAATAAAGTGGGCTCCGGCTACCTCTCACCAGACGAAACGCTTTACGCCGGTGTGTGAAGTCGTGGTAATTATGCGAACGGACCTGCCCATTCGTGCAGCAGTGGAAACTTGCGTGGCCCTACCACAGTAAGTATTATACGAGAAACAATAAGTTAATGGCGTGGCGCTAGTGACAATCGCAAGACTATTTAAGCGCTGAACCTAAAAAGGAGTAGGCTCTCTCAAGTCGACTGTATTTTTTTTGTGCTTGTTACCTACATCAGAACTTTCGATTTTAATATACTAGCGGACCCAACAGACGTCCTGTACACAATACTTAAATCCGACAAATTATAAATAAAAAAAAAAGTTGTAGTGTCCCGATATTAACATCTCGTCTAATGAAGTCCACACTTCGACCATCTCGTGCCCATATCCAGAACTCCGAAAGCTTTCAGCTCGAGCTACATAATCGCTTCCAATGCCTAGAAAATTGCAGCACTGTGGACGATATTAACGCTAAGCTCGTGGAAACTGTCCATGCCGTGGGCCTTAAATTTAATTAGGTCCGCCGCACAAATAGAACGCAAAAACTCTCCGATCACACTCTTAGCCTCTTGGGAAAAAGACGTGAGATGCGGCTGCAGTCTTCAACTGACATGTCAGACTACAGGCGGCTTAATTGGCAAATCTCCAAATACATGCGGCGAGACTTACGCAACTTCAATACAACTCGTATTGAGGGTGCTATAGAGCGGAACCTAGGCTCAAAAGTCTTCGCCAGAGATCTGTCTATCGGACAAAGTCAACTGACTAAGTTGAAGACTGACAGCGGGGCTATCATCTCCAGCAGACCAGAGGTTTTGATTGAGATTGAGAGGTTCTATGGAGAGCTGTACACATCGTCGTTGGAGCCACACACATGTGTGAGTAACGACCCAAGAGCAAAGCTTATCAGACACTATTCCGAAAATATCCCGGACATTAGTCTGAGTGAGATTCGAATGGCTCTTAACCATCTTAAGAATGACAAAGCATCGGGAGAGGACGGAATTACAGCAGAGCTTCTGAAAGCGGGTGGAGAACCGGTACTTGTAGTCCTTCAGAGGCTCTTTAATTCCGTCCTTCAGGGTGGTACTACACCAGAGGCGTGGAGCAGAAGTGTGGTGGTGCTGTTCTTCAAGAAAGGCGATAACGCTCGCTGAAGAACTATAGACCGATATCCCTTCTGAGCCGCGTCTATGTGCTGTTCTCAAGAGTCATCTTGAATCGTCTCGCTTCCAGACTCCCGAACAAGCTGGATTCCGAAAAGGTTTCAGTACCATAGACCACATACACACCTTGCGGCAGATTATACAGAAGACCGAAGAGTATAATCTGCCTTTATGCCTAGCGTATGTGGACTATGAGAAAGCCTTCGATTCTGTCGAAATGTGGGCGGTACTCCAGGCTCTTCAGCGGTGCCAAATTGACTGTCGTTGTATCGAAGTGCTGAGGTGCTTGTATAGCAAGGCTACGATGTCCGTCCAAGTACAGTCCAGTAGTACAAAACCTATTCAACTGCAGAAGAAGTAAGACAGGGTGATGTCATATCCCCGAAACTCTTCACCGCTGCGTTGGAAGATGTTTTCAAGCTTCTGGACTGGAAAGGACGAGGTATTAACATCAATGGCGAATACATCACCCATCTTCGATTTGTCGACGATATAGTCATCATGGCAAAATCGCTGGAGGACCTGGGTGCTATTGCTCAATGACCTCAACAGTGTCTCCCAACGGGTGGGCCTTAAGGTGAACATGGACAAGACGAAGATCATGTCTAATGTCCATGTCACGCCTATACCGGTTGTTGGGAGCACTGAGCTCGAAGTTGTTGAGGTGGTAAGTCCAACTTCGACGCAGTGGTCAATCGGCGAATCCAACTCGGATGGGCAGCGTTCGGGAAACTTCGGCAAATCTTCTCGTCGAATATACCTCAATGTTTGAAGACTAAAGTCTTCAATCAATGTGTGTTGCCAGTGAGGACCTACGGAACCGAGACTTGGTCCTTCACTGCTGGCTGTATGAGGAAGCTCAAAGTCGCTCAGCGAGCTATGGAGCGGGCTATGCTCGGTATTTCTCTACGTGATAGAGTTCGTAACGAAGACATCCGCAGTAGAACTAAGATAACCGACATAGCTCAGAGGATTAGCAAGCTGGAGTGGCGATGGGCCGGCCATATAGCTCGTAGAACCGATAACCGTTGGGGAAGAAAGGTTCTCGAGTGGCAGCCTCGTACTGGCCATCGCAGGGTAGGACGACCCCCCACTAGATGGAGTGACGACCTGTGCAAATGTGCGGGAAGTCGATGGATGCAGGTGGCTCAGGATCGTACTTCATGGCAGTCTGTAGGGGAGGCCTATGTTCAGCAGTGGACTCAAACAGGCTGAATTGATGATGATGATGAGTGTCCCCAATTGTGAATCTAAACTTTTCTCGACTCAACTTGAAGACACACAAAAAATGTCATTAAAATCGGTCCAGCCGTATAAGATAAATACAAAGATTTTGAGGACCACCTGAACGAACGGAGCAGGCAGAATAGTTTGTGAACTGGCAAACCCCCCCCCCCCCATCTCCACCCTTGTGCAGTTGGTGCAGATGCCTGTGCCTCACCTGGCAAGTGTCCGGTAGCCCATGGGAGTAGAGTTGGTGGGCCCCGCTGCAGATCATCGTCTCATCGTCCCAATTGAAGTATTTGGAACGGAGCGCCCTCTTGCAATTCGAGCCGGGCATTTCATAGATCAGCGCCTGCGGGCAGAATTTAAACGGGCTTGTTGATGCAATTCGATTCTTATAGGTTTATAGGTGTACCGATTTGTATACGCCGTTGCGCGAATGGGCAGGTCCGTCCGGGTCAGTACCAGGACCTTACAGAAGACCGGCGTAAAGTGGAAGTGTTGCACTTCTGCGTTTCGTCTCGTGAGTGAGGTAGCCGGGGCCCACATTGTTAAGAGGTGGCAACGCTTCTGCAGCCCTACGGGTGTTGCAACTGTTCATGGGCGGCGGTTATCACTTAACATCAGGTGAACCGCCAGCTCGTTTGCCACTTCCTCACATAAAAAAAAATTCTTCACTATACACACTCGTAAAGATCATGTATGTACGTAACAATATCCACCTTTTTTTACAAAAAAACCATACTACATCGTCGGAGCCGTGGTGACACATTGAAAGTACCGAGGTTTAGACTAAGAGTGAGGCGTGTTTTTGCGCAGCAGGTAATTAACAGGTTTCTTGAGATAACAGACTACCTGTTGCGATCAAACTTAAATAATAGTTCTTTTTGCAGACAATTTGTTCCTTAGCACGTTGTAGCAAACTTTTCTTTATTTTTGCATACGACTTTTAGTTAGAAAGAGATAAAAACCCTTCACAGTTGTAACTGAACATTTTGTCACTGACACAAGCTCTTTATTTTTCTTGCATAGGTCATATAGTTGGTCACTTTGTTAGAAAGAGAAGTACGGACTTAAGAAATTACAATGCTGCGTAATTTCTTTTACCTGTTACTGGGTTCGGACATCCGAAGTACACACATAAACAACTAACGAAAACAAATGTTACAGTGTGTTACTCTATGGTAACAGTTACACAAATTGTCACAAAATTTGTGACAATTTGTGTCATATTAGGTTTGTATCATTCTATGTTGTATACCTAAAATAAAATAACAATTTTGTAACATCCTGTCAAATCGGCACAAATACGCCAGGTCGGTCCTGTGCGAGGCTTTTGTATTTTCATTTATTGTTTTACTGTTTCTACTTGTGAAACTGCCGCATAGTTCTATCACGGTAATACTTTCTAACTATTCGATAAAGATTCATGTGTTTCTAGAACAGCTATTGTCAGAAGAAGAAGGTGTCTAGATAACGGGCACTCATAGACATTTGAAACACTCGTAGGGTTGCTAATGAACGGAACAATGGCAAATAACAAAGTGGGCCCCGGCTACCTCTCATAGACGTTACGCAAAAGTAGAGATGCTTCCCCGGAAGTAACTGCCCAATGAACTAGCGAAAACTGCTGCGTGGCCCTACCACTAAACAGCTTGGGTGCAGGTTGTAATGGGAGAATGTATTTGCCGTCACGAGGGTCCTACCACTGTATAAACAGCTACGGTGAAGGCTGTAATGGGAGCACGTATTTACCGTCAGAAGGATTTCGCTTGTATCTTTTCCGTGCCCCGTACGGCCCCATCCCGCTACGGCCCTCTCGGAGGTGATCTGAAGTCCCGGCACTTTAAAGCAGAGTGGCCTAATGAACTCTGTGAAGCTCACCCTGAAACGGCCACATCAAGTGTCATGTAGTTAAATTTATCTCAATTGAGAGCCGTGATATTTCCGGGAGCTTATATTACGGATTATGGATTATATACGGTTTCCGGGAGCTCGCCTTTAATTTAATATACTCTAGCAACCTGAGTTCGAACACTGGTGCTGGCACCAATGGAATTGTTAATTTTAAGTGCCGACTTATCATGTGTTCTGCGGTGAAGGAAACATCGTGAGCACTATTCCCTAATACCTTCTGTACAGAGGAGGCCTTTGCCCACCTGTGGGACATTAAAGCGTCAGCGGATGGAGCTAGTTCGTAGATATGCCGTATGCCTACGAAATAACTCCCCCTGCGACCAGTTTCGCGCCTTCTCATGTCAGCGCCTGCCCTTAGTTGCTCATGCATCCTCAAGTTACCGGTGGAGTATTTATAATAAGTACCTGGATGACCGAGCTTTGCTCGGTTTGTTTTTTTTGGTAAATCGTGTATTTTGGAGGTTACATTTAGATACAAATTACTAAGTAATGAAATATGCATAATATGTTTCGACCTTACCGACGTAATAATAAGATAATATGAACTGGTGGTTTTCACAGAAGAAAGAACGTTAAAAAAAAGGGGAAAAAAATAACATAGTAATAAAAACTCGAGAAAAAAAAAAGATAAAGAAAGCAATGATCTGGAATCGAAAAAAAAGTAAAAAAATAAGTGTGTAAATGATCGTGATACGAACCACGGCCTTCTGTTTTGTGGCTGTTTGTTAGCGGCCGCCAGATTACCGACCGAGCTATTATAACATTTTTTTTTCGGTGAAATACCGTCGTATTCGAATGATATTTTTCATTTCCTGAAAACTGGGATAAAACGACATTTTCTAAAAATGAAATCTAGTCAGATCGATTTTTCGCCCCCGAATTTACGCATATATTAAAATTCATGAAAATCCGTTTCCGAGATTGCGATTATATATATATATATATATACCTCCAAGAATTGCTCGTTTAAAGGATAAGATTTAATTTTCTTTTTTATGGTTTCGTACCCAAAAGGTAAAACGGGACCCCATTATTAGGACTCGGCTGTTGGTGCAGTTGCCAAGGTATTATATACAAGGCTTCGGCGTCGCGGGTCGTGGGTTCGATTCCCCCGCGAGAAAACTATTTGTGCAACCCACAGATAGTTGTTGCGCATCTGGGTGTTTGTCCGCGTGAAAACTATACAGGGAGATTTTTTGAGAAGTGCCCAAATTTACACAGGAGGTTCAGACTCCGTAGTATAATCATTTATTGAAATAAATAAACCAAGTTTTTTTCCAAAAAAAAAAATGCCATTCTATTCCGTAAAAAACAGAACGTGTTGACAATGCGGTAGTCATTCAATTTTACTGTGCACGAACTTGTGTGCGTATTTGTTATGAATGATCGCGCGTAAAATAAATGAGTTGCGTATAAATCACGCACTTTTTGAGATAAGTTCAAATGAATGTAATTAATTACTTACGAGTGATTTTAAATATTTATCATTTTTTATATAACTTCATTTATGTCTAGAATTTAATTAAAAAAAATGGATACACTTAGAAGAGCCACCCTGTATTTGTAAAACTTCCTTACAACATAGGACAATGTTATTCTAAAGTGAGGGCAATCATTACTCGTAAACAAAGAAAAAATATAATGTACCCACCGTCTGCTCAGTTCCACGAGCGCAATATCGTTAGGCTTATAACCCCACTTGTACATTGGGTGGGGGATCGCTCTTGCCACATGGTATAGTACCCCCGACCTGAGGTCAGTCTTGTTCCTTGCCCCCAGAAGCGCGTATTGTACCAGGCCACTGGAAAATGAAAGGCGCCGACCTTAAAATCGTCAAATTGGTCGGGGTAACAGGTCAGGCTGTTTATACAAGATTAAGTATTTGGCCTTATGTACTACACGATGACTCGGTGGCGTCGTTGCTAAGCTACTGGCTTCGGAGTCGGGGCTCGTGGGTTCGGTTCACGCGGACAAACACCCAGATCCGAAGGGACTGTCTGTGGGTCACATATTATAAAGTTGTCTCGTGTCATAACCGAACCCGCGATATCTACTAGCGCCGGAGGCCTTGGGAACTGCGCAATCGTTAACCAGTGTTAGATATACTCACTGCTCATTGTTAAGAAGCACGTGGCCGGCCGTCAATACGAAGTACTCGCTGATGAGCGACCCCCCGCCGTACCATATGATCTTCTTGTTCTTTCTCTTTGACATATTCACGTCATTCGTTCCGAAAACCACCTGGAATCGGCAGAGAGCATATTTTTCTAATTAGCAGATGGACCGTGTGCCGAAGAGGACCCAATAAAAGAAAAAAAAGTTTATTTGGTAAGAGAAATACAATTTAAATGCACCAAATAGGTTTCCGGCATGAGTTCCAGGAGTTCGTAAACTTCGTGGATGCTCATTGGACCGTAGGAGGATGATGATTGCCTGTTGGGCCTGGTCCCCTGCTAACTCACTCACCGGACGAAACGCACAAATATAACACTTTCACTTCATGCTGGTCTTCTGTGAGGTCGTGGTACTCACTCGGACGGGCCTGCCTATTCGTGTAACAGAGAAGACTTGCGTGGTCTTACCATTTTAAAAACTAACTCCAAAACTTAAGCCTGCCTTCTGCAGCCGCCATACTTTCTCGGTCTAACAGGAGCAGTAGAAATGGGCTTCACATGTTTACCAACCACTATGTAACTATGAGAGTCTGACTGCAAAGGAAACCGCTGCGTGCCCTCGCTGCAGCCAATGGTCTAAAGTTCCGAGGCCATTGGCTCTGTGGTCCGCTGTACCCAAAAATGTGGACTCACCATGTGCGGGAACTGCTTCAAGTTTGCTGGTACACCGTCCGCCACCTTGGTCCCGGTTTGCTCATCAAGGCACTGGTCCCTTTGGTACTGGTTGGGGAATTCTTGGCTCGGGATGCATCTGCTGCCCTCCATGGAGTAGTTGAGGCATGCTGGAAGCGTCACACAAATTAAGTTATTTGCAACCATGGAAAAAATCGCAGGCATTAAACAAATAGTACTCTTCTTCTTCGGCCTGCCATTATCCCACATTAGGTGGGGCCGGCACAAAATATCCATCATTTATTATTAGAACCATGTTGTTTTTTCATTTATTGGCTTTATTTTTATGACCGGCCCCCTGCCTGACATCAACCGTCCTTGGAAATTATAACGAATGTATATTTTTTTACTAAAATATTTTGTAACTAACTAGCTTTTCGCCCGCGGCATCGCTCGCGTTGAAGCCCTTAAATAAATATCTTTTAATACTTTACAACACTTTTTGCCAATTAAAAAATGTCCTGTCTCAGGCTCTACATTATCTGTGTATCAAATTTCATATAAATCGGTATAAATCGGTTCAGCAGTTTAACAGACAGAGTTACTTTCGCATTTATAATATTAGTATGGATTAGTATGGATACATAAACTAATACAGGTACGGTACGAAACCACCGCGTTCTTAGAACCTGGCGACATCGGCGGTTGATAGATTCTATGAGGTTATTGATCCCAGGAATTGTTTGGATTGATCCCGTTGGCTGAACTTCATCATCGGAGATCGTGATGTCCAGTGTTCCACAACAGCGCGATTTTCAAGGCATTTCCTGTCTCGCACAACCACTCTGTGAAACCAGCTGTCGGCGGTGGTCTTTCCGTGCCATTACGACTTCGGTACCTTCAAGAAGAGAGCATTCTCTTTCCTAAAAGGCCGGCAACGGATTTTTAACCCCACGGGTGCTTCACGAGGTGACCTTCCTTCTCGTTTGCCCCTTTTCCCCATTAAAAAAATTTCATCAAGTGGTAATCGTTCCCAATGAAACTCCAGTATGTCCTGCAGTTGGGTGGTGGATACACTGTCGAGTTCAAAACCTTTTTCTAGCCCATATCCCACGCATGCTCAAATGTATATTTATATACACATGTATAATGAATATATAAAGAAGAGGACACGCTCACCTTCCCAGATGACTTGTAAGTGAGGAGTGAAATCCATTTCTCTCTCGATCTCCGGCCGTGGCAGCGGAGGGCAGTGCGGTGGGTTCCAATCGCGATCTAACGTGTAGGTGGGGTACTCTTGATGGCAACACGTTATCGGAAAGTTGCCGTCGTTACGACACACCTGCGGTTATGAAATGCGAACATAATGCTTACTATTTTACTGGTCTGTGTAAAAGCTTGCTCCGAACAAGACTTGAATTAATACGCTCCAGGTGTACATACTAGGGGGACACTGTTGCATATAGGCCATATTCAACAGTGAACGTCTTGCTGATAATGACGATGATGTATCATAACTATAAACTTCCCGTTTTTCGGGATTAATTTTTTTTTATGTCAAAAGTTGCCAAGCGAGCAGACGGTTAACCTGATGTTAAGTGAATATCGCCGCCCATGGACATCTGCTACACCTGAGGGTTCCAGATTTGTTGACAACCTTTTGAAAATTGGTCTCCGGCCACATCACTTACCAGACGAAACGCGAAAGTATTATACTTCCACTTTACGCCAACCTTCTGTGAGGTCGTGGTATTTACCCGGACGAGCCTGCCCATTCGTGCAACAGCCGAGGCTGCTGCGTGGCCCCACCACCGTGATAAAATGTAACCTGTATCTCTCCGGCACAGCCCCGGATCTATGGGTTTTGTCATACTGACTACTTTGATCTGAAATATCTCCTCTTTGGTTAAGACTTCCAAATTCAAATTTATAATTTCATTAAAAATTTCATTCATACCGCACAATGGAAAACTTAGATATCGGTATATTTACGAATACGGGTTCTACCGTAGCACCAGTGCAGAAACAGCTCGAACGATTAATAATATGGATACTGTACGATAATCGGAAGCGCTTGTTACAATGGCTGAACCCTGGAGACCCAGCCAAAGTCGAAAGCCAGCTAAACGAAAATTGACTCAGAAAAAGTTACTTGTCATTAGAGATGGGTCGTATCGCTTTTTCTGAGTAACGTATCTGAATCAGATTTCGATTTTAAATATCAGATTTCGAAACTATGTATTTTAATATCTAGATATTTTACGGTCCCGAATCCACCTTGAATACTAAAAAAAAAAAAAAAAACAAAAAAAAAACTATGAAAAAAAAATCCAATGAAATTACCATTACCAGTAACGAAGTACCAACTCTTCAAAAAGAATACTCTTAAATAAATTCGAAAACCCATTCCAAAAACTTACTGAATTTAAAATCACGACTTTTTATACTATTTAGGTAAAATTTAAACATTACCAAACAAAGTTACCTGATTAAATTAAAAATTTCATTAAAAATAGAAATATACACACAAGGCACATAAGCCTTGGTCTGATTTCCACCAAAGCAGTACAGCACTATTAAATTATATTTTTCTTTTTATGTAGTTTTATTTTTTCCAAAAATATGAATAACATTTAACTAATAAAAATATTCACAAAAATTTACCTCCTAAAAAATTTCCATTGTATATTTTTCCTCCCTTACTATTACGTGCTAGGTACCAATGCAATCCAACTCAAGGCTAAACAAAATTTAAAGAAATCGTTAATACCGTAATTCGTATTAAAATGCAACAGAGTTTTTTTCCATGTCGTTAAGATTCAAAATTACTTAACTGCGCGCTTTGTCGCCCGTTACGGCTCAAGGCTAAACAAAAGAATAAAAATATAATAATATCGTTGTAGTACTCGTTGATACCATGATCAGTATTTAAATAAAACTGATCTTATTTAGATGGCATTAAGATTCAAAATTTCTTAACTTATTCCTAATATCTGTTTAAAAATCTGATATTGTGCCTTGCTTGCCGTACTGCTCTAACTAGTGTAATATTTGTATCTCACGCTCTTTGTCGCTCAAAATCTGTTTAAAAATCTGATATCGTGCATTGCTTGCCGTCCCGCTCTAACTAGTGAGTATTTATATTTCACGCGCTTTGTCGCTCGATATCTGTTTAAAAATCTGATATCGTGCATTGCTTGCCGTCCCGCTCTAACTGGTGAGTATTTGTATCTCACGCGCTTTGTCTCTCGAAATCTGTTTAAAAATCAGATATTGTGGCAAACGCGTATGATATCGCGATTCGTGTCGGTATAGCGAGCGAGCGAGTATTCGGTACATCAGATTTCGGAAATATCAGATATTGTAAAATACATAGATATTGAAGGAGCCAGTTAGCGATATTCGGATATTGTACTAATATCTAGTTTTCATATCTGATACGATTTGTATCGCCCACTTCTACTTGTCATTGTTTGGTGGACTAGCGCCGGTGTCGTTCACTACAGCTTTCTAAAATCTGGCCAAACTAAACAATTACAGCAGATATCTATTGTCAGCAACTGCAAACCATGAAGGAAGAAATAGCTGCTAAACAACCGAGATTGGTCAATCGCTCTAGGCCACTGCTGCTTCACGACAACGCAAGACCACAGACTGCACAACAAACAACCATTAAGTTAGATGACTACAATTGGAATGTCTCTGGAATTTGGACAACTTCTTACAAGGAGTCCAAACCGCCTTCAAAGAGTTTATTGATTCTCGCCCCCCATGTTTTTTTTAGTAAAGGGATCAATGACCTATGAGATGGCAAAACTGCATAGATAACAACGGTGCATACTTTGATCAATTAAATATATTTTACAAAAAAAATTACGTTATATTCCCCCGTACACAACGCCAATTTCATATGTAAGGACCTAATATTTGTATTGCCCTGCGGATTTACTCTACGCTTTCCACTACAGCTGAAAGCTGTGAGCGAAGTTTTAGCAAACTAAAACTAATTAAAAATTATCTATTATTATTATTAATCTTCTATGAGCCAGGAAGGCTTATCGAGTCTCGCAATCTTAGCGGTAGAGAAACGAATTGCACGCGAGTTAAATTATGACAAGGTTAAATATAGATTTATTGGTTGAACAAAAAGCTCGAAGAATAAAATTGTAATTTCAATTCACAAATGCAATAATATATTTTATTTTGATTTTTATTATGCATATTTTTATGTTTAAATCCTATTCTGTGCTGTGTATAAAATATAATTATAACCTACACGTTTATGTCTATATATCTGTAAATAAGTTAGCTAAATTAACACACGGAAAAAAGAAAACAGGAACGCTTAGAGTTTGAAATAAATAAATAGTAACTTAACTGGGGCTTCGAACGCCAAAGTGGAAAAATTGCATTGTCACGTAGTATATTTTACATTTCTATAAAACTAATAGTTTTAAAATGTAAGTTTAGTTTAAACTGTCAGATTTACAGAACTTGTCAACTTTATTTGAAACTAGTTTTTCCACTTTCGCGTTTGCCACGTTGCTATTTCAAACTATAAAAGTTCCTGTTTGCGTTTTTCCGTGCAAAAAAAACGGCAAATTTCCGGAAGGCTTCAAATGTCAATCAATTAGTGGACATCTGATGGCTAAAATTATACAAAGTCAAAGTCAAAATGTCTTTATTCAACATAGGCTTATTTTAAGCTCTTATTGAACGTCAAAAACTACCACCGGTTCACTAAACTAGACCTGCAAGAGAAGAACCGGCAAGAAACTCTGCGGTCATATATTTATATTTTATTTCTATATTTTTTTTTAAGTATTTAAGTATACACACAAAATTATTTTAGTATAATTTAGCAGGAGCCAAGGGACTTGCAAGTGCAGAGCAAGAGTCATTTCCACACATCCTTGTCCTCAATGTATTCCTCGACATTATAATAAGCCCTTTCCATTAAGGTGGCTTTTACAAAATGTTTGAAATTATTTAAACTTAATTGTTTGTGGATGTCACCTATTCTATTATATAAGTTAATACATCTACCAAAAAAACGATTTCCTGGTTTTAGCTAGTCTAAACCTCGGTATTTCCAACGTGTCACCACGGCCCCGACGCGATGTGGTATGTTTTTTTTGTAAAATGGTGTAAGTTATTTCGTACATACATGATGTTCTCAAGTATGTATAACGACGGGAGCGTTAAGATGTTTATCTTTTTAAAAATATGCCGAAGGGACTCACGTGGACCCAGGCCATAGACAGCCCGTATCGCTTGCATTTGCAGTACAAATATCGTGTCTAAACCGGATGCGGACACCCCAAAGTAAGACACCATAAGACATAATACTGTGAAAGTAAGCATAATAAACTAATTTAGCTGTTGCCTCGTTTGTTAGTTGCCTGATCTTGCGTATGGCAAAGACGGCAGCGCTGAGCTTTTTAGCTAATTTATCTATATGCGCTCCCCATTGCAACTTGGAGTCAATGCATATTCCAAGGAATGCCGTTGAATCCTCAAGAGGTAGGATGTTGTCATCAATAAAGATTCCTGGTTTGTGCGACAGCTTTGATAATGAAAATCTGATACATTTAGTCTTAGTGGCGTTCAAAAGTAAATTATTGGTCGCAAACCAGCCCGACACGACACAGCGAGGCTTTTCTAAGTGTATCAATTTTTTTATTAAATTCCAGACATAAATAATGCTATATAAAAATGATAAACATTTAAAATCACTCCTAATTAATTAAATATATTCATTTGAACTTATCTCAAAAAGTGCGTGATTTATGGGCAACTCATTTATTTTACGCGCGATCATTCATAGCTAACACGCACACAAGTTCGTTTCAAAAGTATACGACGCATTTATCAATGACTACTGCATTGTCAACAAGTTCTGTTTTTAGGGAATTTTTTTGAAAAAAAAAAGTTTGTTTTTATTTCAATAAACGATTATACTGCCGAGTCTAAATCTCCTGTGTGAATTTGGGCATCTTTAGAAAAGTCACCCTGTATAGATGATAAAGGTAAAAATAAATATGTGGGCGAGGGAGGCATTTCTCAGTTTTTGCCTCAACCAAAAAAATTGAAGATTCGGGACTGCTCCGGCACATAAATATCTCTATAAAATAAGAACACGCGATCCATCGCTCAGTTGTTGCACGAAATAAGGACAAATGAGAAGACCAACAAACACACTCGGTTATAATATTGATAGGGATTTCGTTTCGAGTGTAGAACACTCACCGTTCGATTGAACCTCATGACCCCTTCTGTTAGCGCGAGCAGGTAGTCCATCTCGACGGGACTATCTGTGTCTTCATGTTCTTCAGTGCTTGCTTTTGTGGTCGTCTCCGCCCCTATCAAGGGCCTTGTTTCCGTCGTGGGCGCCTCTTCAGTGGGACAGCAGACCACTCTAAGACTATCCATGTAGAAACAGTCCTGGAATTGGATTCAACAAACGGGTTTAGAATATGTACGATGACTGTTGCTCATGAGCTCATACTTGCAAATGTACTGTGTTAGGGCCAGTAGCGGCCTCGGCTGTTTCACGAATGGGCAGGATCGTCCGGGTAAGTACCACGACCTCACAAAAGACCGGCAGTAAAGTGGAAGTATAATACTTTCGCGTTTCGTCTGGTGAGTGAGGTGGTCGGAGCCCAATTTTCAAAAGGCTGTCTACGCATCTGGAACTCTCGGGTGTAGTAGATGTCCATGGGCGGCGGTATTCACTTAACATCAGGTGAACCGTCTGCTCGCTTGGCAACTTTTCACATAAAAATATGTTAATATGTATGTTATTAAAATAAATATGAATGCATTTTTAAGATTTAGTAATTTACATGATATAAATACCAGGAACAAACATACATTTATTTCTACCCTCATCTAGAATGCGTAGAGTTAGTAAATCTTTTATGAGACAATGTATACGGTTTTGCAATAAAATCCAAGAAAACGTTCAAAATTAATCGGTTGCTAAATTCAAAAAAACAAGGAAAAATGATTCACATCCTGTGTCAGCCCTACCTAGCTGGGATAAGGGTAGGAGGATGGTGATGATTACCAGATATCGATGATTTATCACGTTGACAGCGAAAAAAAATCAAAATCAAAAATGTCTTTTTTCAAATAGACGCTTGTCCGTTCTTATGAATCGTCCAAACTTATCTTCTATTTATCTTCTTATTTATGAAAAGGATTGCTGTTCGTTAGTCTCGCTAAAGCTCGAGAACGGCTGTACCAATTTGGCTAATTTTGGTTTTGAAATATTTGTGGCAGTATGGAAAAATTGCATGGAAAATGGAAATAGCAACAATTTTATTTTCCCATACAAACTGTTCCTACCTGTCCTACATTTTATGGGTGCGTACCGAAAATTGTTTTTCAATAAATAATTTATATGGCAAAACAACGTTTGCTGGGTTAGCTAGTTTTACATATATATATATATATATATTTTTCGTATAGGTCTCGTATTAAAACTATTAGAATCCCGTTGCGGTGTTCATTTATTTTCATAGAATAATAAACTAGATTTATATAAAATATGACGTAAAACTTAACTGTATAAAAGAAAATTTTAACGTAGTAACAAGGTGTAGGAGCTTGTTTTTGTCAGGTGTCGTACTGGATCTCAAAACCATATTGAGGTGAGCACACCAAAACACTCTGGTTGAATAGAAAATTTCAGGTAACCATAAATAATTAAAATAACGTTCGGAAGAAGAAGGGGCCGTCGCGTTCTTACCGTTGGCTTCATCCTCTTCACGTTCACCAGGTCCCGAGCATATTTGCATTCTTTGTACAATATGCAGACCCCTGGAAGGTCCTCTTTTGTAGTGCAGCTGTCGCCTGGAAGAAACACAAACAGATGGTGTCCCAATTAATACTCTGATGGCTTGAACGGCTACCTTTTGCGCCACAGTTTGCGCAAATTTAACAACTAAAAAAAACTTTAATATCGTATTTTTAACTCTGTTATTACCTTCCGTAACTATGTTTCGTAATATTTCATTTGTTTCGGTGTACGTTCGAGGTAATAAATATGTACGTATCAAGAATATAATACATAGCATTTATCTATATATAACCCTGCGCTAGTAATATTGACATTAATTAAATTTAATGTTAAAGGGAATCCCAAATACGACAAAGCAATAACACTTATCTTATCGGAATGACGCGGGGAGTTTAAGATGTACTACAGGTTATCCCGCTTTCATAACGCTTCCTCAAAGACCGGGATATGATTTGGTTGAAGGTCCTAATTACAGATAAAACACAGGAGATTCTTTGGTTAAACACACATGCTTGTAGAAATGTGTTGCAAATCTCTAAAATACGGGTCTCGGACGACTTAACTGTGGTAGGGCCACGCATCAGTCTCCGATGTTGCAACTATGGGCAGGTCACTGCGGGTAAGTACCCATTCCCAGGGGTTGTAATAATTAATGTATTAATTTATATAATAATAACCGTTTTTGAAAAGTATTTCTTTAATACATTTCTTAACCCTGTTAATAGATAGGCTTTGCACATTAACTGGGATTTTGTTGTAGAAGTGTATCCCTTGAAAGAGCTACTGACTCTATGGGGTCTGGTAATTGGCGTTACAAGCTTATGTTTGTTCTTAATATTTACATTATGTACATCAGTATTCTTATTAAAATTATTAATGTTTCTATGTACAAACACTTCATTTTCATATACATATTGAAAGAGCTAAGGTTTTTTTTACAAACAAACATTTATTTCTTTTAATTTCTCTCGAGTGAGCTCACACGCCAGTAGTGTGTGACTTGTTGGTACTTCTCAGAACGAGCTGGTTCATTCGTATAGCAGCAGAAACTGTTGCGCGGCCCTACTACATTTAGGCTGCGTGCCAGAACTTCGTGGTACGACAATTCACGTGGTATGACAACTCGTAACGAGTTCCTTATAAAAAGAATGCTTAGCCAGTTCAACCATTCAAAACATAACTCGAGAAACACGGGGGAGGGCGGAGACGGGGAAGCTGATAGTCGACGCAGAAGCTTTAGAAGTCTGGACTAACATAATCATGACGAATAGTTGGGAAACATACGAGGGTTTGAGCATAGACCATTGTTTACCTGTTGTAAATTTAAATTCAAAATATCTTTATTCAAATAGACGCTTGCGCGTTCTTATGAAACGTCGAATCGTTACTAATATTATAAACGCGAAAGTTGTATGTATGGATGGATGTTTGTTACTCTTTCACGCAAATACTACCGAATGGATTTTAATGAAAAAATAGGCTAAAATTTATATACATATGTATGTCTTTTTGTCTAAAATTTATATACATATGTATCTGTCTTTTTGTCTGAATGTTACGCCGTAGTCGCGGGCAGCAGCTCGTTTTACATAATTGCGATTTCAACCCGCTAACAGCGAGTGGTGACTGTTCCTTTGTATTTATATAAAAATATAGGTATTCAGTCATTTCAATAAAAAAAAAGCACTCACCAATACTATCCTGGCATCTCGCGACGGACATCCATATTAATAGTAACGGAATACTATTCCGCATGACCGTAACACGTTATCAATTCACTCGAAACAACACGAAGGGTGTATTAGATATTCCACTTCAATATTTAATTTAAAACCGTCGTCAAATGTTTATTAATATCGTTTTTTAAAAATATATGTTTAAGAGCAATTGCGACCTTACGCCTTTGATTATATTTAGCGAATGCCGTTGATAGCTATGTCATAAGACAATATTGTTGATAAGGCATAGTGAATATTGAGAGGAAAACATTGTTAGTACTTTAGTTCGACACAAAATAAATGAGGACGCCACCATCGTCCATATGGCAACACAGGTATATAATCCGAACGATCGTGAACGTACCTACCTACATATACATATTTACCTTGTTTCTTGAAGATAGCTATTATCAATTTACTATAACAATGGCTATTTAATGTGTTAGTTATAAGCGGGCTTTCGAATGCGATTTGTGAGTATAAAGGGAACAAAGGATAGGTGTGATTTTTTAAATATATCATCATCTAGGATATTCATCTTTTCATAGTTTAATCTATTCTAATAGTCAAGACCTTTTATTCGAAGGGGTTGTGGAAGAAAAATAAACCTGCCATTTTGTTGGCGGCCATATTGGATTTTCATTTTATTTACATAGATAACTCTATTCCCCTTTTCAAGCCCTTTCATTTGATACCCATATTGAGGAAGTCGTGATAAAATATCTAATGCGCAATTTTGTAGCGGCCGCCATCTTAGATTTAAAATGATACCGAATGTAATAAATTGTATTGTCATCAGGACTAAAGGTGCCAAATTTTAGATCAATCCGTCAACAGGAAGGGGGTCAAATTTCAATAGAACTACAAGAGTACTAGATTTGACCAAAACAGATCGAGAAGCTAAATAAAACCGTTTAATAATAAAATAGAATAAATAAATAAATACTTCAGGACATATTTTTACACAACGTTATCTAGTCCCAAATTAAGCAAAGCTTGTGCTATTGATACTGGCTGGGTAACTGATAGACATATTTTTCTTTTGTGAATAAATACATGTTTCAGATACATAAATACCCAGACACAAGAAAAACACTATGCTCATCACACAATATTTTTCGAGTATCGATGGAACCCACACCCTCTGGCGCAAGACAGGGTCACTCACTATCCATTACACCAATTGTGTCGTCTATATTAATATATAGTAAACCTAATCGTTAATCGCTCGTCAGTGAAAACCGAATGCGTGCTTTAGAAGTAAGTGGAAGCGAGGTGGTCAGCAACTCAATTTTATACCATAAACAGATCCGAAAGTGTATTTGTCGGCTTGCCGGATTATGCTATTTTCACACTGCAAAACATTCACAAAAATTAAATTCTTCAATTCTTAAATTCTTCTCTCTTTATCAAGTGATTATTTTTTACAATATTCTTAATAAATCTTATTTTTTGTACTGTTGAATCCTTTTCTACTGCGGTATTTGTTGCGAATTCTATCACGCAGTGAAATACTGAGCATAGCCCGCTCACACGGCCAGCTGTGAAGGACCAATTCTCAGTTCAGTATGTCGCAACTGGCAACACACTGATTGAAGACTTTGGTCTTCAAACATCGAGGGATTGGACTATAGGAAATCGTAGTGTAGAATCGAAGTCTAGATGGAAAGTCTAGAAGTTCGTGGCGGTTTGTGTGATGATGAATCTTATTTTATCCTAATTATTAAAACAAACCTTAAATTATGCTTCTATTCATGTTAGAATGCTTATGTCAAATATATACATGATGTATGTATATGTTCACATGACTTGTGCCATTGTAAACAATGTTATACTGTGCTAGTGCCACGCGACAGTCTTCTGTTGCACGAATGGGCAGGTTATGCGAAGTAGACCGGGGCGTGTTATACTTCTGCGTTTCGTCTGGCGAGTGTGGTGGCCGGGGCCCACTTTATTAAAATTTGGCAACGCGTCTGCAGCTTTACGGGTGTTGCAAATGCCAATGGGCGGCGGTTATCGCTTAACATCAGGTGAACCGCCCGCTCGTTTGCCATCTCCCGACATTAAAAGAAATATATTTGATCAAGGTTTTAATCAGAGTCGGTAAATAGTAACTTTATATGATTTAATCTCATTTAAACAGACACGCCTGGAAAAATTAAATGCAGCACGCCGAGCTATGAAACTAGAAAAAAACCAGCTATGAATGTCCATTTTTAGTAACACTCACAGCTGTAGGATAACCTTTAGCCCCACCTGACCTCTGGGCAACAAATAGCAATACGGGCGAAATAACATTAACTCGGATCTATCGGCATTATTTCCATTGCGATCAGGGCCAGATTTAGAGGTCTGGAGGGCTTTGGAGCCTCTTGGCCCCAAATTATTTTCCATTGATTTCTGTTAATATTTAATGTAATCATGTTTGTATAAAGTACTGTAGGTAAAGGTAAAATGTTTACTAGTCTGAATTTGAATTTTTCTCCGAAGTCTCTATTGTGGGGGCGCCTATTTTGTGGCCCCCGGGCTGATTCCGGCCTTGATTGCGATAAACGAAACAGTGATCAGATTTTTAATGAACTCTGAATGTTTTTTTTATATTATTTCACATTGACATACTATGACAAGCGCAGTCGGTGCGGGTCGATACATTACGATATTAATAAAGATTCATTATGAACCCATATCCAGCCACTGCAGGACATAGACCTCTGTGTTCAACATCTACAAATGTGGAGGAAAATTTACTAACACGAGTTGGTTCATAGAATATATTTGTAAGTTATTCCCATTCAGTTTAGAAATTCCTTATACCATAAAAGTAATCAGAATGTGGTTTGTGGTGGAGTTAAAAAGGCGGGTAGGAACAGAATTTCTGTGGAATTTAAAACAGTAGCTGACGCCAACAATTTTATATTTCACCGTGATATTTATGCTGCTAACGATTTTTTTATTTTTTATAAACATAATTTGACAAATATAACAAAAGTGTATGCAATATATCCAATTCCACTTGAAAGAGCCTGTAGCGATTAATTCATTTCCAGAGTGTGTTATTATTTAAATAATCACTAATGATATAATAGCCTCTAACACACAAACGTTCCCTTACAAGTTTTCTTGAATTTAGCAACTGATTCATTTTGAAAGTTTTCTGGGATTTGGTTGTAAAACCGTATACATTGTCTCTTTAAGATTTACTTATTCCACGCAATCTAGATGAGGGTAGAATTAATTTGTCTGTTCCTAGTATTAATATCGTGTACATTACTATATCTTAAAAATTGATTCTTATTTTAATGGACATAGCATTTGCAAGTATGTAGTGAGAAGCGACAGTCATCATAAATATTCTGAACCCGTTTGTTGAATCCAATTCCAGGACTGTTTCTTCATGAATAGTTTTATTAGAGTGGTCTGCTGTCCGATTGGCGAGGCGCCTACGATGGGAACAACGTCCCATATAAGGGCGGAGATGACCGCGAAAGCAAGCGAAGAAGAACAACATGAAGAAGAATAGCTCGCGCTAACAGAAGGGGTCATGAGGTTCAACCGAACGGTGAGTACTCTAGACACGAAATCCCTATCGATATTATAACTTATATAGTCTCACATAATAATTTCTTGTATTAACGCGATTACACATTGCTAAATGAAACTATGTTTACGGATTTATCGCGTCCATTTTCGGTTTCGAAAATAAGTATGCATACATATGTGGTTTCCTCACGATGTTTTCCTTTACCGGTGAGCACGTGATAAGTCAGCACTTAAAATTAACAATTTAATTAGTGCATGTACCGGGGATCGAACTGAGGTTTAGCTCCAGTTTATTGAATTAAAGGCGAGCACCCGGACACGGAGCTATCACGGCTCAAAAAAAATATCGATATACGATATGTATATATATCGATATATTTTTTTACTTGCCCATCCCTACATTAAAATAGTAAGCACTAAGCTTTTCGCGCCCGCGGTTTCGCGGCTTCGCCCGCGTTGAAGTTCTTTACAACCCTTGTCGACCCTTTACAACACCTTTTTTCCAATGTACCTGTGTACAAGATTTCATTTTAATGGGTTCAGTAGTTTTTCAGTGAGAGCGAGACAGACAGAGTTACTTTCGCTTTTATAATATTAGTATGGATTAAGACTGTTCGCATTTCATCACCGCAGGTGTGTCGTAACGACGGTAACTTTGCGATCACGTGTTGCCATCAAGAGTACGCCACCTACACGCTAGATCGCGATAGGAACCCACCGCGCTGCCCTCCGCTGCCACGGCCGGAGATCGAGAGGGAAATGGATTTCACTCCTCACTTACAAGTCATCTGGGAAGGTGAGCGTGTTGTTGCGTTGATTTAACAATCTCTCATTTTCCTGCCCTCTTCTTTGTACAGGGTGATTTTATGGACGACGGACATATTAACAGAGCACATGCAGAATTTGATTCTAAATCTGATTCTGGTACGTACTTGTGACCTCATTATTCAAAGATGTTTTTTAATTTTTCAAACATTATGGACACCCTATTAGACATTCCTGCCTTACCGTTTCAATACAATAACCTATTCACGAGCGCTAAATCTGTCCGCTGAACGCATAACTACTAAACCGCTCGCTTATCGATAGGGTGACCACTCTTAACGGGATAAACAAACAATATTTGAACTGATGTTTTTCTAGTTATTTATATCAAAATAAAATATTAATATTTTTTTAATTATGGAATGCTCACATACTTCGTCTAAAAATCATCCTGTATATTCATTATACATGTATAAATATGTTAATGTAAATGTGATTAATCCGGTCATTATATACAATAACCAATAATTTTGGATAATGCCCACTAAATTTGGTAAATGTGATAAATTATTGAAAATTTTACAAATTAACCGGTTTATTTTGCATAATTCACAACTGATGAGGATAAATGATAAAAGACCTTAAATTTACGAAAATTCTTTCTGTTTCCGCAACCACGTGATTACAGCAGTAGTTCTCATTTCGTACAATCTAGACTTTTTCAATACGCTCTAGTATTTTATAAAATATTGATTAACGGTTGTGATGCTTGAACGTTTTAATTCTAAATTAGTTTATATTATGTATACTATGAAAGAAAACATTGGTTTTTTGACGAAAGAAAGATTTGCTTAAAAGTGGGCAATGTTGAAAAACGTATGTTTCGCGTAAGTAAAGATAGCTCCAATGTTAGATTTTACGTGTTACATTCTATCGATCCATCTCAAAATGACCCTCCATTTGGAGTTAGTTTTAAGACTCGGAAAGAGAATAAACCAACGGTGGCTCTAATCCGGCCAAATCGAAACGAGGAAGGCTATTTTTACCCACGACGGAGCGGAGACCAGAAGTTTCATGACATCATCAGATATAAACGTTTATGGTAGGTATACTACCTATTTTGTATATTTTATGTCTATATTTTCTGTTTTAGTAGTATATCACATCAATTATTTTTTTTTCATTTTTTTAAAACGTCCTCACTTTAAGATAACATTATCCTGTGTTGCAAGGACGTTTTACAAACAAATTTCACGCAGACAAACATCCAGATGCTAAACAAATATCTGTGGATCACACAAATAGTTGTCCCGTGTGGGGATCGAACCCACGACCCCCGACGCCGAAGCCAACACTTTGGCAACTGCGCCACTGAGTCTTCAATCACCATATTATATTATGTATATATTGTAAGCTATTTGTTAGTCAAAATGACAAATAATTAATTAAATGTATTTTCCATCTCCTAAGGCCGTAATTATTTTGTTAAATACTCAATTGAGACTTAATTATCTAGTTTAAATTTGTTTTTGTATTTTTGTTTTTAGTATTGTTGTTGAGGTAATAAGTAATTTGATTGACTAAATATCGGTTTCGCGCCAATGTCGCCTCGTGTTCATTGGTTGAAAGCTTGTGTGGCGGGTAGGTGATACTTTCAAGGAATCGACACTGGCGGGACACGGCATTCGGCTGTGAACATCAGAGAAGTCGAGACATACTAAGCAAAGCGCTGTTACCTTATCATTCTGTACTAGATTAACTATTAAGTATTATAATTATGGAAAGTAATATAGACGATTACAAGTATCCAGTGGTTTCATTTTACAACTTCTTAGGCGTTTTCGAAGGAAAATATCAATGTTGTTTACAATATAAAGTAAAATACGTTTGAGATTTGTAATTTGTATTTTTATGTTTAATTACAAGAAATATGTTTGTGCACCTACCTCAACTTCTCACTACCACCCTAAGGTTCACTGGTAGAAAATGCAGCCAGCATTCAGTTCGCCTATGTGCTGTGTTTTGTGCGTGAAGTTTTAAAATAAAAATAAATTGCCATTGTTTGTGCAAATCATGTTGGCATTTTTCTCCAAAACTACTAATTCGATTTTGATGCAGTTTTCAGTTATGGGTTCGGGTTTGATTGGTGCATGTTCTTAGATAGGCTGAAATAAATCAAATCAAATCATTTATTCATCGTAATAAGAAATATACATTTCATTTATCATATGTCATTTTTTAAATCTACCACCGTTTCGTAATGAGGTAAAGAAACTCCGTAGGTATCCTCTTTATTGTTCTTTTCTTTCTCAAACAAATACATTGTTAAACAGTACATATTTTTTTTTATAATCAGCTCCCAGGGGTTATTATCGTTAATGTATTCATTATATTATAATAATCCCTTTTTAAAAAGATTTTCTTTAATACATTTCTTAAACCTGTTAATAGATAGGCATTGCACATTAACTGGAATAACAACATGGTTCCGAAAATAAATGATGGACATGCTGTGCCGACCCCACCTAATGTGGGATAAGGACAGGACGGAGAAGAAGAGTACTATTTGTTTAATGCCTGCGATGTTTTCGATGGTTACGAATGTCTTAATTCGTCTGACGCTTCCAGCATGCCTCAACTACTCCATGGAGGGCAGCAGATGCATCCGGAGCCCAGAATCCCCCGACCATTACGAAAGGGACCAGTGCCTCGATGAGCAGACCGGGACCAAGGTGGCGGACGGTGTACCAGCAAACTTGAAGCAGTTCCCGCACATGGTGAGCCCACATTTCCGGGCACAGCGGACCACAGAGCCAATGGCCTCGGACTTTGGATTGGCTGCAGTGAGGGTACGCAGCGTTCTCCGTTGCAGTCAGACTGTCATGGGCTACATAGTGGTTGGTAAACATGTGGTGCCCATTTCTACTGCTCCGGTCCGACGGAGAAAGTATGGCGGCCGCAGAAGGTAATTACTTTAGTAGTTAGTTAGTTTTTACTATGGTAGAACCACGCAACAGTCTTCTCTGTTGGACGAGTGTGCAGGTGCGTCCGAGAGTACCGCGACCTCACAGAAGACCAGCGTGAAGTAGAAGTCTTCTGCGTTTCGTCTGGTGAGTGAGTTGGCTGGGGACCAGGCCCAATTTATTGTATGGTGGCTAAGCATTTGCAGACTAAGGGTGAACCTCAGGTCAATGGGCGGCGGCCATCAGTTAACATCAGGTGAACCGCCAGCTCCTTTGCCACCTTCTCACATAAAGTGGATCATTGAAGTGAAACTCCTTAAGTTGCGACTAAGGGGTAACTGAATGCTTTGGACGACGACAATGCACGGAATCGCGTTACGGTGATAAAGCTCTCTGCAGGATCAGATTTTTAAATATTAACGCTGTATGTATGTACCTATGTATCTGAACTGCACGTACATATATAATATTTAAATCAAACAATGTATTAAAGTATCAGCCTATACATGTCCCACTGCTGGCCAAAGGCCTCCTTAGTACAGAGGGTATCAGGGCAAAGCCTACCACGCGGCCCCACTGCGGATTGGCGGACTTCACATATCTTCGAAATATTTTTTTTTGTTTATTATTTCGAAAGTATGTAGGTTTACTTACCATGATTTCCCTCAACGCTAAGCACGTGATAATTCAGCACTTAAAATTGGTGCCGGCACCGGGGATCGAACTCGGGTTGTTCGAGTATGTTAAATTAAAGGCGAGCGTCCGGACACAGCTATCACGGCTACCGTATTAATTGATTTAAAGATTTCTTTAGAGTTACTTCAACCGAGTTTAAAGGTTGCACTCACTCATTTTGTTATATGAAAAGTTGGCAAGCGAGCAGACCTGATGTCATAGTTATCAGAGGTATTGACAGTGCGTAGACGACCATCGAAAGTGGGTCCTTGCTACCTCACTCACGAAACGACCGTGGTATTTTCTCCGGACGCGTAAAAACATCACAATCTGCTGTACCACGTTACATTGCACTTGTTAATATAAATTTTATGCAAAAATTAAAAATTACGCTTTGTGAAAGAAATTATAATAATAAAAAAAAAATATGATGAAAATGAGGCGTGTTTTATTTCATTTGGTAGGAACAACACGGTCTTTTTGCTAACTAGTGTTGTGTTCTCCGCCGATTCCAGGCGATTCTAGGGTCTTATGACGCGTATACGTTAAAGAAAACTAACAAGGCAATGGTATGGTTCGGTGGGTGTTCGCTCATCAGCGAGTATTACATATTGACGGCAGGCCACGTGCTTCATCACCATGAGCAGCGAGTATAACTAACCCTTTTACGAAGTTATACTTCTTTAGGTAAAAAAAGTGAGAGAGAAATTTTAAGATGCGCGCGCATCACTGTAACACCGCCCGTTACAGTTCTCAATAGAGAGTGTAGATGGCGCTTTCATAATTTTATATTATTTATATCGTTTTTCAGTCTTTTTATTCTTTTATTATAATTAATTAATTGCATGCAATTAAAAACTATTTTTCTCACGCGCGTATATAGGGTGGCTTTTCTAAAGGCGCCCAAATTCACACAGGAGATTTAGAATCGGTAGTATAATAGTTTATTGAAATAAAAAAAAAAACTTTTTTTCCAAAAAAATTGCCATTCTATCCCTAAAAAACAGAACTTATTGACAATGCAGTAGTCATTCATAAATGCGTCGTATACTTTTGAAACGAACTTGTGTGCGTGTTAGTTATCGTTATGATCGCGCGTAAAATAAATGAGTTGCATATAAACCACGCACTTTTGAGATAAGTTCAAATGAATCTAATTAATTACTTACGAGCGATTTTAAATATTTATCGTTTTTTATATAATATTATTTGTCTTGAATTTAATAAAAAAAAATGGATACACTTAAAAAAGCCTCTCTGTATACCAAATTTATTCGTATATTATTATTTTTATTTACAAACCCAACCAGACGAGGAAACAAATGAAATATCCCCACAATAACGATAATAAGTCATCTTACCTATCCCTAAAATTTCAGACCCTACGGAACTTTCTCACTATCGTCCCATTTCCATTCTTCCATTCTTGTCTAAGGTCCTGGAAAGGGTAGTTCAATTTCAGTTAATGCGCTACCTTAGATCCCATAAACTACTGAACCCGTTCCAATCTGGTCTGGTGGAATTTCGTCCAGGGCATAGCACCTGTACGGCTCTAATCAAGATTATGGATGATATTCGCAGTGGTATGGATGACACACAATTGACTCTACTAGCGCTACTAGATTTCAGTAATGCTTTTAACTGTGTTGACCATGAAATACTTATTTGCATTCTGAGCTCTCTTAACATGTCCACCGATGTCGTCCAGTGGTTCACCTCCTACTTAAATGATCGAAGTCAGCGCATAAATGTGGACGACCGTTTCTCAATCTGGCATAATGTATCTGCAGGCGTCCCCCAGGGTAGGGTGCTCTCACCTCTACTTTTCTCCATATTTATAAATACTATATCTTGTATCATTGAGCACAGCATGTACCATCTGTATGCTGATGACCTGCAGCTATATATCACTACAAAACAGGCTGATCTAGTGGATACTATAGGAAAGTTGTCTCTCGACCTTGACAATATTAGACATTGGACGGAACGGTACGGGCTGCTTATTAATCCCTCTAAAACCCAAATCATCTTGGTGGGTAGCCCTAGAATTCTGTCACTGATTGACTTCCTTACCTTGCCACCCGTAACATTTAATGGCTTACCACTTCCTTTTTGTAAAACGATTAAAAATCTTGGATTGCATATCTCACAAGATCTTTCCAGGACTTTTCACGTCACGAAACTTAGTCAAAGGGTATTTGCTTCCTTCCATTGCCTTAAACACCTTGCTATTACCTATCATAGACTATGCCGATGTGTGCTATACTGATATCACCGAAGCACTTTTAAATAAACTTGAACGGGTACTAAACCTATGTATACGTTTTGTCTTCGGTATTCGTTTAAATACCCCCGCATGTCGCACGGATTACTATTCCAGTTCTTTACCTTCAGCAATAAAATTGTGGAATAGTCTGCCAGTCAAATAAGAGAGGCCCCGTCGATTGATGTTTTTAAAGCGCGTGTATCTGAACACTATTTACTTATTCAGAACAGTGTGACTGATTGATTCTTTATTTTATTTGAATTTATATTTATTATGTATGCATAAATAGTAGGTATGTATATATATATATATATATATATATATATATATATATATTTATTTATTAGGAGTACAAATAAGTTTCCGCCGTTTTTTAACACAAATTAAATATTTATTGTAGAAGAACGGTAATATAAATTTATTCAAAATATTGCCCATCACTTGCAACCACTTTTTCCCAACTCTCAGGCAGCATTCGAATCCCACGTCTGAAGAACTCCTTGTCTTTTGAGGCTATCCACGAATCAACCCAATTTTTGGTATCCTCATAAGATGTGAACCGCTGCGCCGTCAGAGCATGTGCCATGGACCGGAACAGGTGATAATCGGACGGTGCAATGTCTGGTGAATACGGCGGGTAAGGTAACACTTCCCAATCAAGTGTTTCCAAGTACTTTTTCACGGGAGCCGCAACATGTGGACGAGCATTGTCATGCAGAAGAATAATTTTTTCGTGTCTATAATAGTATTGAGGGCGTTTTTCCTTCAGAGCTCGGCTCAATCTCATCAATTGTGTTCGATAGAGGGCTCCAGTAATTGTTTCGCTCGGATTAAGCAACTCATAATACACTACACCTAGCTGATCCCACCAAATACACAGCATAAGTTTTTTTCCGTGAATATTCGGTTTTGCTGTTGATCTTGACGCGTGGCCAGGTAATCCCCATGATTTTCTTCTTTTTGGATTGTCATAATGTATCCACTTCTCATCACCAGTTATGATACGATGTAAAAAAACCCTTTTTTTATGTCTAGCTAGCAGCATTTCACTTAAGCATAATCGGCGTTCAATATCTCTCGGCTTTAATTCGTACGGAACCCAATTTCCTTGTTTATGAATCATTCCTAATGATTTTAAACGATGTGAGACTGCTTGCTCAGTGACTTCTAATGTTAGAGCAAGTTCTTTTTGTGTTTGAGATGAATCTTGCTCCAATAATTCCTCTAACTCTGCATCCTCGTAAATTTTTGGCCTTCCACTGCGATCTTTGTCTTCTACGTCGAAATCACCGTTTTTAAACTTTTGAAACCACTCTCGACACGTTCTCTCACTCAAAGCACCCTCACCATATGCTTCTACGAGCAATTGATGCGCCTCAGCAGCAGATTTCTTTAAATTAAAGAAGTAAACTAATATTTCCCGCAAATGACGCTTACTTGGCTCAAATTTTGACATTTTCAACTTATAAAAATTATATTTTACCAATATAAAATCAATGATATTAATAGGTTAGGTTGTTCTTGAATGTCCAAACTATATATATATATATATATATATATATATGGGTACATATATATATAGTGTACAATAAATAGTATGTGTAATATAATATATACGTGCAAGTATGTGTATAAAATTGTAATTATATATATTTATGATGATATTATATATATGTATATTTAGTTTTGCCATATTCTTTATGATAGACACTAAAAATCTTGTATGTCATTTTAGCGTTACTACCCGTAACTTGTACTCAACCACCAAAGGTTAGCTGGAAGAAAATGCTATTTAGCATTAAGTTCGCCTTTGTACAAACTTCTAGTACAATAAAGAATATACAAACAAACAAACAAATAAGTACTGGTTAATTATTGATCCGTCTCTGGTCTGGTGCACCGGGCACTTTGACGTTTTCAAGTTTGGCACCGTTCATTTTTCAGTGGCCCAAACAAACAAACAAATACCTACGGGTTACTGTACCATTGGCGAGATTGATCCGTCGTCAAATTCCGGTCATCGCGCTCGTGGAGTTGACCGGGCACTTTGACGTTTTCAAGTTTGGCACCGTTCATTTTTCAGTGGCCCAATACGATACGCGCTTCTGGGGGCAACGAACAAGACTGACCTCAGGTCGGGGTTACTGTACCATGTGGCGAGATTGATGCCCCATCTGTCGTACAAATTCCGCTATAAGCCTAACGACATCGCGCTCGTGGAGTTGAGCAGACGGTGGGTGCACTGTCTTTTTTTTTTTGAAGAAGTTATACTTCTTTAGTCGCATTATGAGAATTTTTTTTTATGTGAAAAGTTGCCAAACGAGCAGACGGTTCACCTGATGTTAAGTGAATACCGCTGCTCATGGACATTTGCTACACCCGAGGGTTGCAGATGCGTTGACCACCTTTTGAAAATTGGGCTCCGGCTACCTCACTCACCAGACGAAACGCGAAAGTATTTGTCATACTTTCACTTTACGCTGGTCTTCTGTGAGGTCGCGGTACTTACCCGGACGGGCCTGCCCATTCGTGCAACAGCCGAGGCTGCTGCGTGGCCCGGCCCTACCACCGTAAAAATTATGAGAGTGAAATTTCAAGATGTGCTGTAACGCAAAAGTAACACCTTTGAAGCTGCCCGCCAAACACCTTATTATATGGCAGCACATTCTCAATCACATTCGCCCGTTGCAGTTTTCAATGGAGAATGTAGATGGCGCTTTCATAACTTTATTATTATTATTACTTATATCCTTTTCTATTATTTTATTGTAATTAATTGTTTGCACGCAATTAAAAAAACTAGTTCCAATGATAGCAAAGAAGTATAACTTCTCGCGTACATAAGTAAAAGAACCCTTTTTGTTTTTTTTAAACATTGCCCTCACTTTAGGATAAAACTGTCCTGTGTTGTAAGGACGTTTTATAAACATAAATTTCACGCGTACAACCGAATGCAGGGCCAGATTTAGAGGTCTGGGGGCCTCGGGGCAAAAACAAGGGCAAGGAGTGGAGGCCCCTTGGCCCCAAATTATTTTCCATTGATTTCTGTTAATATTTAAAGTAATCATTAAACATGTAGAAAAAGAGATTAGCACTATAAAAAAATATTTATTTAATAATTTTTGTACAAAGTATTGTATGTGTAAAGGCTGTAGGCGACAAAGAAATATGAAAGGACAAGTTGTTTACTAGGCTGAATTTGAATATTTTTTTTCCGAAGTCTCTATTGTGTTGTGGAGGAATGTTGTGGAGGCCCCGGGGCTGTTGCCCCGGTTGCTCTCCCCTAAATCCGGCCCTGCTCGAATGCGAAACAACTGTCTGTTGGTCTGTCTGTGGGTCGATGCCCACTCGGCACTATTTGTGACACAGAATAATTTTATCCTAAAGTTGGGGCGATGTTTTTTTTTAAAGAAGAAGAAAAAATTTAACTAGTATTTAAATTGCATCCTTACTAATATTATAAACGCGAAACACGCCATCCACGCATACAAACGTATGTGTGGATGGATGTTTGTTACACTTTCACGCAAAAACTACTGAATGGACATAGGCTATAATTTATATACATATTTAATATATATCTGTCTTTCTATCTGTATGATACGCTTTCGGCCCATTCTACGCAGACGTAGTCGCGGGCAGCAGCTAGTAGAACATCATTATGATACTGAAAGCATATAACATCATTGCCTACATAGACAAGAATGATTAGATACTAATATGAGGAGATAGATATTATAAAGCATTGAATAATTATTTCTAATTAAGCTATCAATAATTATTTTTAAACACTTTTCGTTTCACATGATAATGTTATTTCTAATTAATTACGAGCTTCTTGCATTAGGCGGCAGTAGTGACCGACCGAAGTTTCGGCGAGTTTCGGCAAAAAAACTAGTTTGTTTTTATTACTTTTTCTACATATTTTAATGTTCAATCTTAAGTGCAGAGATTAGTACTATAAAAATTTAAATTTCTAAAATAGCAATGGCGACATCTCTCGTTCGAATTATCGTTGTAACACGATATTCGAAATGGTTTGTATGATGGAAAGGATATAATAATGGATGCGCCACGCATTGCTTCAAATGCTAAGAACCAATGTAGATAAAAGACGTTAAGATTTTCGTCGGTGTGGCTATCAGCCGTTTAGCTCAGTGGCTAGAGCGCCAGGCCGCGAATGCCGAAGACGTGGGTTCGATTCCCACACCGGCGACAATCTTTTCGTACTTTTTCTACATATTTTAATACATGACACTTGACTCTACCGTTCCAGGGTGAGCTTCACAGAGTTCATAAGGCCGCTCTGCCTCAAAGTGCCCGGTCTTTAGATAACGCCCGAGAGGGCCGTAGCGGGCCGTACGGGGCAGACAAAAGATACCAGCGAAACCCTTCTGACAGTAAACATGCCCTGCTATTACAGCCTCCACCCTTGCTGCTTATACAGTTAGGGCCGCGCAGCAGTGTGGTGAATACTTCGCGAATGGACCTCACAGACGCTAGTGTTGTACTTCTGAGTTTCGTCTAAGGAGCGGGGCAACCTTTATTGGGAGTTTGCCCGCGCACTTGTAACCCTACGGGCGTTGCAAATGGCCATCGGCGCCGTTTACAGTTCAACATCAAGCGAGCCGCCAGCTCTCCTGTCACCTTCTTGCATAAAAAAGGCTGTTCTGGGAACACCCCACGTTATCGAATAGTTAGATATCATTACTGTGGTAGAACTAATCGGCAGCGCCGGCACAGGCGTAACAGGTACTCGATTTTACCTAATGTGTGTTATACCCACTCCTAGTTTACTCGTCAAAACCAGATTTGGTTTCTTTTTTTATGTGAAAAGTTGCCAAGCGAGCAGACGGTTCACCTGATGTTAAGTGAATACCGCCGCCCATGGACATCCGCTACACTCGAGGGCTCCAGATGCGATGACAACCTTTAGAAAGTTGGGCTCCAGCCATCTCACTCGCCAGACGAAACGCGAAAGTATTATACTTCCACTTCTCGCCGGTTTTCTGTGAGGTCGTGGTACGGACCCGGACGAGCCTGCTCACTCCTGCAACAGCCAATGATGCTGCGTGGCCCTACCACCGTAAATGGTTGACACTATCGCGTGCGTACATGACGTTTTCGATTGTATTGCGGAGGATTGCATGAAAAAGCCCATTTAAAATTTGCCCACAGGCGTCGATCTACGAAATGCCACCCGCTGACTGCAAGAGGGTCCTCAGTGGCAAGCACTTCCACGATTCCGATTGGGACGCGAACACCATGATCTGCTTCGGGGCCCACAAGCTCTACCCCCGTGGGCATCCGGACTCTTGCCAGGTGAGGCACAGGCGTTTGCACCAACTGCACAAGACCTTGTGGCAATCCTTCACCGCTGGGATGCCGAAAAAAGAAAGAAACAAAGTGATTCATTTGACATAAAACAGACCGACGTACACAACAATCATTTAAGACAATAAAAATTAGACAATTTAAAAAAAACGAACATAAAACTCAAATATGTATATATTTTTTTAATTTTTTTTAATGCGAAATGTTGCCATACGAGCAACGAGCAGACGGTTCACCTGATGTTAAGTGAATACCGCCGCCCATGGACGTCTGCTACACCCGAGGGTTGCAGATGCGATTACAACCTTTTGAAAATTGGGCTCCGGCTACCTCACTCACCAGACGAAACGCGAAAGCATTATACTTCCACTTTACGCCGGTCTTCTGTGAGGTCGTGGTACTTATCCGGACGAGCCTGCCCATCCGTGCAACAGCCGAGGCTGCTGCGTGGCCATATTTTTTTTTAATGAAATGATGTCCTATGTTCTTTTTAATACCTCTAAGAATATGTGTACAAAGTTTCATGGTAGTTGGTCGAGTAGTTTTGACATGAAAGCGTAACGAACAAACTTACATTCACATTTATATCTCTAGATGTTGCCCGCGACTACGTCTGTGTAGAATAGGCTGAAGGAGTAACATTCAGACAGAAAGACCGATATACATTAAATATGTATATAAATCATAGCCTATGTGTTATTCTGATGTATAAGCTGTATTATTGTAAAGTTTCATTAACATCCATTCAGTATTGCGTGAAAGGTTAACAAACATCCATCCATACATACAAACTTTCGCGTTTATAGTTTTAGTAAGGATCATTGCTCTACAGGGTGACAGCGGTGGTCCGCTGACGGCCGGAATCGAGGGCTTGCCATGCTCCAGCGTGGTGGTGGTGGTGGTGGTGGTGGTGGTGGTGGTGGCGGTGGTCTCTTGGGGGAACGTGTGCGGCGTGGGTGCACCGGCATCCTACACCAACGCGTCGTACGTGGGATACCTCGAGTGGATCGCAGGCGTCGTCTGGCCCGACAGGCTAAGACAGAAGAAACTGGACGCGCGAATAGCTCTTTACTGAACGGACAAAGGCGCGACAGGCTAAAACAGAAGCTGGACATATAAATAGCTCTTTACTGAGCGACAAAAATGATAAAGGAAAGGGAGGGTAATGCCCCCACAAGCCTAAAACAGAAGCTGGACATGCATAAACGCTTTACTGAACGGACAAAGAGAAAAACGATGAAAAATATTCTGTTTTTTACCAATAAATGCCTACATACCCGCAAAAAAAATTCTATTTTGTTATTGTGCTTAGCCCTCATGAACGAATAAGATAGAACGGCCCGCACCTGATATAATAACACGAATTGTGTTATCACAGCCCAATTCTTAACCGCTAGTCAGTGGGCCTTTGAGAATAACAATAATAAATCACTCCTACTACTTTACCCACTACTACTACTTCAAAAATAAAGAAGTGAAACTACATCGAATACGTTTTTTTTACAGTCGCAAAACGCTGTTTTAGAAAATGTTAATTGCACAACTTATTTATTCCGTTTATACTATAAATATCGTCTGACGCGTAATTCTCTACACTCTCGCTACTAGAAGATTGTTTACTCGCTTGTATCGAAATCAATCCCGCCAAAAGCGCGGCAGTCCTTTTCGCGCACAAAAAGAACATACCCATTCCACCCCCCGTTAAACTCTTGGACAGCCCAGTACCATGGGTTAATAAAGTCAAATATCTAGGCGTCGTCCTCGACTCCCAGCTTAAATTCACCCAGCACGTGACCCAGGTCAGGAACCGGGCGGCCTTCGTACTCGGTCGCCTCTACCCGCTCCTCAATAAAACGTCAAAAATGTCCCTTCGGAACAAGGTGACCTTATATAAGGCAGTAGTTCGCCCTATCATGACGTACGCGAGCCCCGTCTTCGCTCACATTGCTCCGAAGCAAATACACCGGCTTCAGGTGATTCAAAAACGATTCTTGCGCAGAGCCACGGGAGCACCCTGGTTCATGCGCAATATCGACCTACATGTCGACCTAGAATTGCCCACCATCGCGCAATTCCTGAAGTCGGCGTCGCGCCGATATTTCGATTCCGCCGCCGCGCATCCCAACCCACTTATCGTAGGTGCCGTCACCTACAGGCCCTTGCCGCTAAACATTTTCCGCCGCGATTACCGAAGACCGCGTCACGTTCTCGACTTCCCTGACGATGAGACGACTATCGCCATCGAAAGGATCAAAAAACTCAAGAAACACACCAACACACACACCGCACTCGCCGGCGAGTGCGGCAAACATATACTAGGTTCCGCCACGTACCTGGCAGGTTTTTCCCCTATTAATGATAGAAGCGTTGCTGGAGTTTCTTCCGCCACTTCTTCTCCCAGCGCCAACGCTCTCCGAAGTGGTAGTAATGTTAGCTCTAGTAATTCCCCCAGTCAGATAATAGCTACCGATCGAGCCGAGGTCCGGCCCTCTCGGGCACCCTCGAATCGGAATGCTAAACGCGTGCTGAGTGACAGCCCAAGCCGAGGTCCCCTCTCGGGGACCCTTGAGCCTGATCACTCCATGGAGCGCCCGCCAAAGCGCCCTAAGAGCTTGGCGGCCTCCCAAACCGGTAACAATAATAGCGTGACGGCCCGAGCCGAGGCTCCCCCGGGAGCCCTCGAGCTTAGTCACCATAACGCGTAATAATAGTACGCCGAGGTTCAGGCTAGGCGCCTCGTGCGCCAGGCCACCTCAAGTCCGTCGGATCTGTGAAGGCCCCTAAGGCCAACAGTGGCTAATCCAGCAAAAAAAAAAAAAAAAAAAAAAAAAAAAAAAAACAACTCGCTTGTAACGAGATTTAGCTAATCTTGAAGCACACCAAATTAAAATTCTTCTCCGTTATCTTCCATTAAATCGAATGACCACCTTCGAAGTTAAGTATAAAAAAAATTTAATAAAATATTTCAAACATATATTATTTTTTTATTATTTTATGATCTATAAAATTTTCTTATTACCGAAGCTTTCAAGCTTCCCAAGACCGGAAACTAGCACGGCAATATAAATAAATGTGTGCGTGTACTAGCGTACACTCGTAAGAAGTAAAACTTTTTTATGACGTTATTTTTCAAAAAATAATTTACTATATGCAACTTTACACAAATTGGTTAAATAAGTTAAATTAGATAAAGTTTAATAAAAGGCTTTTATTATCATAGACATAAATACAAATTCTACAATTATTTCATTTTAGCTTTGTATAATATTTAGTTTCTTATTTGTAATACATAGGTGGCGTTAGTAGTAAATTAAAACACACTATGGTTTGACCGTTGTAATTAGTATGAGGGTCCGCAAAAATTGTTGATTAAAAAACTTGCAACGTGAACCTTGTTTATTTCAACCGCTTTGAATTTGTACATGGTCCTTCGTTGCCGAATAGTCAGCCAGTGAGTAGAAGGCAGGCGTTCGACTCGCGCGCGAGTGTTGTGAGTGAAGTTTTTTTGGAAAACCGAACTTGCGGACGTTGTATCGACGTCGCGACCGCAAGTTCCAGGAGCCGATCGAGGCTTCGAAGAGCATCATCGGTCAGCTTCAGATTGTGTCTTCGGTGGAAGGCCCAGTCAGGTCACGGTGGGCGGTGCCTGCCTTTGGAGAAGAGGAAGTCTCTACAGTGTCGTGCTCTGAAGTATTACAGCTAGCACTGTCATTACTACAAATACTATTATTGAATTTCATTAATTGTAATAGAATTATTACTATCATTGATGTCGTTACTACATATTTGTGTTATTAATGGCTTTATGGTAACTGAAATACGAAATATATTGTTTACATTTTAGAATTAGAATTAAAATAAACCCTTTGATTTTGCTGATCACTTTAATATAACATATATATATATTGTTATGAACACGCAAAGGAACTAACGCCATCTAGCGTCAACTATTAAAACCACTAAGAAAAAGATGGCGCGTAACGCAAAAATGTTACACAAATTTTTTTTCCAACCCCGATAAAGAAGTTTCACTTCAAAAAAAACAATCATCTATACTCTGTGCGTTCGGAACTGTCGATTCTTGCCGTGATTCTATGTCGTGAAGTTTAAAAGCTAACTAACGATAAATTGTTCGCAATAATTATGCTAGGAAGTTGCATTTGATTTTCGTAAAATTATATATTCCAGTGGTTTTATTGATTTATTTTTAAGAGGAACTTACTTTCGTTTCGTAACATCTGAAGTGGGATTCGTTTTCTCATGCGACCATATTCGCTTTTCAATCCTAAGGTACGGCAGTTTGGCTATTCAAATCGGTTAACTTTATTTGTTTCCCTCTTTTCTTGCCGCGTTACAAAAGCGAGGTTATTTCATTTTTCCTTGCTGTTACATCAGTAGTATATACCATTGTGTGGTAAAGATGACCGAAAAACTGGTGAGTACTTTCAATTTTCGTTCACAATCTAGTGATTTTGAAAATGCTTACGCTTGGTTGTAAATAGAT